GACAGATAAGCGGCAACTAATTGGATTTGGGCTGAATACCAATGGACAACTCGGTGAACACAACGACACGAGTATCAGACTACCTATCACAATTTCAATATCACTAAATGCTGATCGCCTGCCTAGTTCTGTCGCTGCTGGTGGAGATCAATCCTTTTCCGGGTCTCAAAATGAAACTTCATGCTCTCTCAGCCCAGAGTATCTTATGTCTGCAGGTTTCAAGCAGCCAAGAAAATTCAGCTCAAAATTAGCCGCCGTCTACAACACGCTCGATAATGGAAAACTATCAGATTCAGCTCAACGTGAGCTGGCCGCCATCTTCTCAAGTGCTTCTAGCCTCAATGCCTCCTTTCTTGACGATAATCACTGGGGAACAAACTCGAAGAATCACGGAGTTTCTCTTTCAAAATGCTCGACCGCTCTTGTTCAACTTTTCCGTCACAGCCAGTCGAGAGAGATTATTTTAAATGCGCTACGAAACAAACTTATTCCTTCACTTCCTCCGGTTCCAGCAGGTAAAAATGTCTATCCTGCCAGTTTTTCATAATATTTTAGACATTGAAACGCTACGCATTTTCATTACAATTCCAGTTGTTCTCCACTTTGCCAAGCAATATCGTTCTCAGTATCCAGGAGAGTTTTCAAATGCCTTGGTTACATTTGCGAGAAAATCCAATGCGATCAAAGAAAATGGAGAAAAAATAATCAAATTATGGCTTGGTGCTCTTGGCCAGCGTGATTTCTCAAGAGTTCTTCATGTGGTCAAATCGGAAATCGAGGCATATCTTGAAAGAACTCCTGCTAGTGATTATAGGTAAAGTATTTCATGGTTGATTCTATTTTTGCTAGCGTATTTTTTAGTAAAACCGACTACCTCACTGTCCTGTGTCAATATTTAAAGCGCCTTTACGAAGTTAATGAAACCGAAAACATCCTTAATTTTGATCAATTCTATCTACGAGGCCTCAATAACAATCCACCTCAGCTTTTCGAAGATTACAAAAACTGGCGAATGGGAAGAACATCATCTCCAAATCGAACTACAGATAAATTTTCCTTCTGCGAATACCCCTTCGTTTACGATGCCCAGTGCAAGTCGCACTTGATGCGTTTCGAGTCTCAAATATATCAAATTCAAAAGGCAAACGCCACGAGGCAGCGGAATGTCCAAAGTGTCGCCCATGGTATCTTGACAGGAGAAGTTCATATTCGGAGTGAATTGGTCCAGTTGAATGTTTCTCGTGATAAAATTCTTTCCGACACAATTTATCAGATCATGAACCAAATTTTTCAATCGTCTGAAGGGCCAAAGGCTCTCCATAAACCGTTACTTGTTACTTTTCGAGGTAAGATCCATCCTCAAAGTCTCATATCAACCGTTTTTAGGAGAAGAAGCCCGTGACGCGAATCCGCAGAGTGAAGCCGGTGTCCGTCGAGAATTCTTCATGCTTCTTATCGAAGCGATTCTCGATCCAAGCTATGGAATGATCAAGGAAGATGAAGAATCAAATCTTGTCTGGTTCCGAAGTAGTGGAATTTTCGACGAAGACGAAGGCTTCAATCAAGAGTTTTTCCTCTTCGGAATTGTGTGCGCCCTTGCTATCTATAACGACAACATTGTCGACATTCATTTCCCATTCGCTCTCTACAAAAAACTTCTTGGTCTGAAGCCTAACCTGACAGATTTGAAGGAGCTTCATCCATCTATCGGAAATTCTATGGAAAGGTTTGACGCATTTAATACCTTCCCCTTTTCAAATTCAATTAAGAATTTTGCAAGCGACAGAAGAAGATCGACTTCAAGACTGGGGCATTTACTTCTCTGTCGAGCAAACTGAATTCGATATGACAACTGAATTCGACCTTATCCCTGGTGGACGAGAAATTCCAGTGAATTATGACAACAGAAAAGATTACGTAGAAACCTACATCGATTACATTTTTAATGCATCTGTGAAGACGAAATTTCAAAACTTCCAAAAGGTAAAACTAAAGTCTCGTTAAGAGTTAAATAGTTATTCCAGGGTTTTAACGCTTTGATGGAGGATAATCAAATTTTCGGGATGTTCCGCGCAGAAGAGCTTCAAAAACTCATCGTCGGAGCCACTGTCGTAGATTGGAGAGCAATTGAAAGTAACGCCAAGGTAAGATGTCCCTAGTATTCATTATTTATCAACTTCTTTCTCGCAGTATCACGAAGGATACCAGGCCGGTCATCCTACTGTTAGAACCTTCTGGGCTGCATTTCATCAGTTGACAGAAGAAGAGAAGCGAAAATTTCTGATATTTCTGACTGGATCGTCGCGTGTGCCGCTTGGAGGCCTTCAAATCAATATCAAACAGGTCAAAACTACCACCGACCACCTTCCCGTTGCCCATACATGTTTTAATCTACTCGACTTGCCTGTAAGTACCACTCAAAGTATCAGTAAATAATCTTTTTTTTTTCAGCCATATACTGATGTCAAACGAACAGTTCAAAAATTACGTCAAGCTATTCAAATTCAAAGCGGTTTTCAGCTTGTATAAAACATATTTTCCTCGCTAGTTTTTCAACTATATTTTCCAAATCCGACCTGCTGCTTCAAATAAATTCATTGAAAATTTTCAATCCTGCTTCATTAAATATTTTTCTTCAGAGATTGGTTGAAAAATTTGATGTGTTTTTCGCGCGAGAACGATCTAATCCAGGCGATTCCAGAGGATCCGGATGGAATTACGATAAATTTTGACTGCAACTCCGAGGCATTTGCTAGAAACTTGTTCCAATCGGTGACAACCATTGAAAACGATGTTTGTGAGTCCTTCACACGCTTTTTTTGTGATCTTGCTTTTCATTTAGTCGTGGATATCGTCAGCAATCCGGTGTACTTCAGCCTTCTGATGGGAGCATCGTTGATTCTTGGTTGCATCGTCACTTGCCTCGTCTTCAAGTGCAGATCCGCTCGAGCTCGAAAGAAAAAATTCATCTACCGACATCCCTCTTTCTCTTGGGACCATCTTTCCCCAACTCGCAAAACTGCCAACAACAAAGAGAACCGAATTGCCATTGTCGACAAATCTGATTCTCTCGTATAATTTTCTTCCTTTATCAATCCATAGATAATTTCTTCCATTGCCATCTTATTCGACTTTCTTTCTCACAAAGTTTCCTTCAATTTTATTTTCCAGAAATTCTAGTTCATCAAAAGCTATTTTACCTCTTTTCTTCAAAAATTTGCATGCTCAAAATTAAAATAAATTATGTCATTGAACTCTTCAGAATAACTTGATAAGAACCAAAGTAGGATTTCTAGACAATTTTCGTTTTTAATAAGTTTTATCATTTCTCTTCTATTAAATTCTTTTGTTTTCATAAGTTTTCATAAGGGACCTTCCTTTTAGAAATTGAATATTATTCTTAAAGAAATTTGATGAATCAAGGGCATCAGCCAATAAACCTCAATCTGAACTGCAACTCTGACGCGAATTCATTCAACGATGATCACGCTGACAAAAGTGCTGATTTTGAAGCACGTAAGAACTTCTTTTTGGAGGAAGAATATAACTGATATTTTAGTTATCCAAGTTATCAGCAACCCGCTTTACTTCGGCCTTTTGATGGCTGGGTCATTTGTTCTTGGCTTCATCGTTGCCACCTTGATTTGCACTCGCCGATTCAAGAAAGCACGAAAAAAGAAAGAACAGGTTCAAACTCAAGCCTTTTCCTTACAAATCCCGCCCTACCCGTTATCGCCTCACTCTACTTACCCTCACCATCTCCCAGTTCCTGGATATCGACTGACTCCTGTTTCAAATTGTACTAACAGAAACTCTTCACCCTTTTATTCAGAATACTCTGTCTGAATATCAAGTTTTTCTTTTGTCCACTTTTTCTTCAATCGTTCATATCAGTTCATAGTCTTTAATTCATAAAATATCCTCCTTATCCTTATTATATCCTTTGTCTTCTTTCTATAAACATTCCTATTCTGATCTTTTTGTCTTTTTTGTTGCAATTTTATCTCTTTCTTCATCATCATTCCTAGCAATATTCCTCAAAAGTATTATATCTTATCTACCTCAAAGTTTATTCTTTTTTTTTATTTACACTTATCTTACGGAAACTTTTGTATTTAACTTAATTTTAGTTGTAGAAATTGAATTAAAAATTTGATGAGTCAAGCTCAAGGGAGCGCGTCAATATCTGGTCAGCCAAACGGCGGAATCAACCTCAATCTAAACTGCAACTCTGAAGCCAACTCGCTTAACGATGATCACGCTGACAAAAGCGCTGATTTTCAAGCATGTAAGAGACTATTCTTGCGGGAAAAAGCTCACGTTTTTAAGTTATAAATATCATCAGCAATCCAACATACTTTTTCCTGATGATGGCGGGAGCCTTCATGATTGGCAGTATCCTCACATGCACGGTTTGCCTGTGTCGATCTGGACGAATGCGAAAGGGCTACAAAAAAGAAATCAAAGAAATACGCGAAGAAAACAAGGTGAGAGCTCTTTTCCATTCAACGCCACTAAATTTGAAATTAAGGAAGAGCGAAAACAACAAACAAACGCGAACAACACATATCATCCCTCCCCGATGATCATGCCTATTTCGCCACCACCAGCATATCATCAGCAGTTGCCTCAATTCCAAACATCGACGCCAATGATTGTGGGCCACGCCGCTTCTCCACGATTCGACCGGAGCTTCACAGAGCCTGATCCATTCCGAATGGTGCGCCCTTTCTCCTTGTTTTTCTTTCTTACTGAAATTAAGTCAATTGGCAAAGTCTCACGAATAAGTTACATCGAAGAGCTTCCTCCAACTCCAACTCGTCCACGACGAACTAGAAACGCATCAGGCCGAAGAACACGACCTAGCAATCTTCGCGCGAATATCTTCGCCGATGAAAAAGCCGAACGAGCAAGCCAGTATTCGAAGAATGAATTTGAATGAAACTAACTGTAGTAAACTTTATAGCGTTATAAAGTTCAATATTTTACTGAAACATTTCCATTTTTCCTCACCGTTTTCCCACATGACCAAAAGCTCACACCAGTTTTCAAACTGCCTTTATCTTCCACTGTTCTTGGTGCACTATTTTAAATAATACAACATATAAAAACAGTCTCTTATGCATTCTTTTTTAGAGAAATTGGAATTCTAATGATAACACGTGCCGGTATAACGCGCGTTTTCCCACGACGCAGGGTCTCGAAAAATTGGATGTGCGGTGGAAGTCCGAGCGCGCTCTCGGGCGCCGGACTTCTGCGCGGTGGGTGGCCATGTTTGAAGAAAACCCCGAGCCGGACGTTCGCGGACTCCTGGCGCTGGGTGGCGAACGCCCGCGGTTGGAAGTCCACGCTTGGGGCTGGACGGCGCCCGGGGTGACGCGCCTTTCTGAATTCGCGCCCGGGAAATAAGGACAGCGCGCGCATTAAACATCCCAAACAATTTATAGAATTAATAATATTTCGATAAATATCACAGTTTCTTGAGTAATTTTTCAAAGTTGAGTAAGTTTTAGGCCAGTCTAAGGAGTTTTTCGGCTTATTAAAGTAGATCGATATTTTCAGATTCAGATCCGATGCGAAACTTATCAAGCTTTTCTCGCTTTTTGAGAGTCCGTTTCACCTGATCAGGTGATCAGATCAAAAAATTTTCGATTACAAATTTTTTAGTTGGGCCAAAAACATATTGTCCCAAAGTTTAAGGCATTTATCTCAAGAGGTTCTAGGGGTTGATTTTTTGCTCGTCGACCCTAAACATAACTAATTCTATTATGAAAGGAAAGGACTAGTTATGTTAGTGTATTATTCAATGAATTATTCTGTGTTTATTCATTGAATTCAGGTCGTTCCGGTCGGCAGGCGATAATATTCTGAAATCGACAAAAATTAGGCTTCAGGGTAAAGAACGAACTTTTTTTGGTTCGTTTGAGGGTTTTCTGTGGCGCGTGGTACTCACATTCCCCCTAGCGCGTGAGCGCGATATGGACTTCCCATCCCGGGCGTTGGGGCGAGCCAACGACCAGCACGCGGAAGTCCGGCGCCCGAGAGCGCGCTCGGACTTCCATCGCACATCCAATATTTCGAGACCCTGCCACGACGCATGTTGACGGTCTGCCCGCGCGTTCAAAACGAGAAGCTAAAACACCCGGTTCAACAAGAGAGTCCAGTCATTCAAATCATGGAGAATGAGATATATGCTGAGCAGCCATTTGCTCCAGTAATTTCAAAGGTACTAATTCGTGATTTTCTTGATATCAATCAATTCAGGGTTTCAGTCTTCTTATCCTCAATGGCAGTAAAATCAACAAACAGAATTTGCTTCTCTACAGCACATTTCAAAAGCTCTGGACGCAGTCTTCCTACAGGCACGCTGCAGATGGTGGGCTGAACGTCTTGTATGAGTTGGACAAGGAAAGCCCCTCTGTTTTTATTCCTCATTGCGTTTCTGGTGACTTCGACTCTGTTAGTAAGGAACTCATCGATGAGTATCAAGCTTACGGCGTTGACATTCAAGAAACGCCGGATCAGAACTCAACCGACTTCGAGAAAGGTTTAAACTCATGCATAGGTAGAATCCGCCTATCTTATTTTCTAGCGCTTCGAATGATTTTGGAAAGAGTCCCTGAGGACCCAGTCTTTGTTATTGGAACTGGAGCAAAAGGCCGTCTCGACCATCAGATGTCTCAAATCCACACAATGGTGAAGATTTCGAATGAATTTCAAAGCCCAGTTTACTTCCTGAGAGATACGTCTCTGATGCGAGTTCTCAAAAAGGGAGCACACAGATTGGCCTTGAATACTGGCTACGAGGGAAAGATTGGTCTTATTCCTGTCGATGGTGAATGTAATGTTCGGACAACAGGTCTCAAATGGAATATTGATGGGCCCATGAGGTAAAATACAATGATTTGAGCGTATTTTATTGTGATTCTAGGGTTGGAGAGCTTATATCTTCAAGCAACGAGAAAGTTTCTGACGAAATCGAAATTATAACCGACGGAAGTCTTTTATTTACTGTAGAAATGGTCGAGCCACCTTCTGTCTGTTGTAAAAGCAAGGTTTTCGATATTTAATAAAGTCCCATTTTGCCTAACAAAAACGAATCTTGAAATGTGCGCATATTACAATTTGCATCTTTCGAAGAATCTCTCCGTTTGTGTGTCGTTAATTTATTGAAAATATGCAGGCATGATTATCGCAAATCGTATGTAATTTTCCAAATTAGCAAAAACTTACATGGTTAGAATCGCGATAAGTTATCTCACCAAGTCGTTTCAAAATACTTCCTCAATTTGTACTCGCCAGTTCGAAAATGCACTGTAGCAGGTTCAATATCAAGCGTTTCCGCTTGTAATGGCGTCATTGGGAAACACCACATTTGTCTTTTTTGGGTCGAGACCACTTTTTTCCGGTCTCTCTTTATTTCGAGAATTTGCAGCAGCTTTCCATCCCGCCCATTCGCCAATCATCTACACCTGTTGAAATTCAGAAAAAGAGCAAATAATTATCTGTTTTTAACACACTTCCGTTCATACCGTTAATGAATCGGTAGTCACTCATATAAAGACATCGAGAGACAAAAGGAAAGCGAGATAAAACTTTGATGAGTCAACCTCAATGGAGCGCCGCTCCGAGCGCGTCCATATCTGGTCAACCAACAATCAATCTGAACTGCAACTCTGAAGCCCACTCCTTCAATGATGATCACGCTAACAAAGGTTCTAATTTTCAAGCATGTAAGTCTTGTAGGAAGTCTTTTCTTGCCATAAATCCTCAAACCTTTTAGTTATAAAAATCGCCATCAATTCACCATACTTTTACCTGTTGATTGCGATAGCTTTTATGATCGGTAGCATCCTCACATGCACGGTTTGCATGTGTCGATCTGGACGAATGCGAAAGAGCTATAAGAAAGAAATCAAAGAAATACGCGATAAGGTGAGACTCATTCGAAATCTAAGTCTCTAAACAGAAATCAAGGAAGAGCGAAAACAACAGACAAACGCCAATAACACCCCAATCATCCTGCCTTTCACACCACCACCGGCTTATCCTCAGCAGTTGCCTCAATTCCAAACTTCGACACCGATGATCGTTGGTCATCCTCCCCGATTCGACCGGAGTTTTACTGAGCCTGATCCCTTTCGAATGGTTTGCTTTTCCTCCTTGATCTCTCTCAAACTAAATTTCAGTCAATTGGCAAAGTCTCCCGAATAAGTTACATCGACGAGCTTGCCGAAACTCCTCCTCGTCCACGACGATCAAGAAATCCAGCGTCAAGCCGACGAGTACGCCCAAGCAATCTCACTCGCTCGAACATCTTCGCAGACGATATGGCAGAACGAGCAAGCCAGTTTTCGAAGAATGAATTTGAGTGAAAAAAAGTCTTGGGCAAGCATCTGATCAAACCAGTGCTTGATTGATAAAATTTTTAGACTTACAAATTTTAATTTTTCTACAGAAACATTTCTAGGGATTCTTTTTCTTCACACTATCACCTAAAGGCTTTAGGCGAAAGTGCACATTATTTTCAAACTGCCTTCACCACTCACTGTCATCGGCGAGTAATACTCGCCTCACTATTTAAAATAATAAACGATGATAAAAAATATTTGTTTCATCTATTTTATTGGAAATAAGCAGGCATGATTATCTACGTCTAAAGATCTCCTTCATATTTGTCCATCATTTTTCTCGCGAATCGCTGGTAATGCTCCTTCTCAGCGCGTTGTTTTTGGATGACTTCAGCTGCGCGCATTCGAAGATTTTCATCGTCTCTCACTGAAAGATATCGTAAACACAGGAGAACAAGAAGATTGAAATTACTATTTTGAGCTTGTTGTTGGAAGATCGCCTTGAGCTTCCAGTCGTCTTTTCCCTTCGCAAAGGATTCGGGAATGTGCATTTTGACTCTATCCCAAACAGCATCAAATTCCATGTCGCCTTTATTCATTGTTATTTTGATATATGTCAGTACCATTTTGATATATAACTACAACTAACCTTGAGTCTGGAAGAGCTGTGCAGTAATTTCTTGGACTCTTAAATTGTCTCTGTAGAGTTGGTCCTCGCTATAATGTATTTCTTCCTCCTCTTCTTCATGCTTGCCGAAATACTCTCGAGGGTGAGGCAAACCGTCTTCACGGTAGTGTTTGTAGCGCGGCTCGTCATCGTCTTCATCATCTTCATCGATATACTCAACATCATCTTCTTGTGGTAACGGCATTTCAAACATTCTTGCATCGCGCCTCCCTCTCATTTTCTTACCAATATCGTCGGCTCCGGTGGAGACCTTCTCCTTTTCAGCATCTCGACGTTTACGATCTTCTGCGGTGTCGTTGTCCTCATCGTCGTCCATGATGATTTCCTCTTCATAGTCATCGTATCCCTCGAACGATGGATCCTCAAATTTTCTCATTCGCTCGAATTCCTCTCGTTCCATTCGTTCTCTCATCTCGATGTAGTCATCCTAAAAATATTTCAATCCCTTATCTTCAAAAGTAACAGTACCCTTGTCGCATTTTTCTTATTGCCTTTCTCAACTTTATCGACTTTTCCTTTTTTCTTCCCTTTTCCGAATTTTTTTCTTTCTTTCTGCTTCATCATCTAATGTCCACGTTTTTGGCTCTCCATGCTTCTTCTTTCTTTCGCGACCCTTTTCCTTGTCGTACTGATGCTCGATGTTCTGATACTGCACCTTCTTTTGATGAATCTTCTCTTTTCTCCAGAGCTCTCGTTCCTCGTCGTCGTCCATTCGAGCTTGCCATTTACGCAGGTTCGCATAGAAATCGGCAATCTTATCATAAATCAAGAATAGATTTAGGAGCTGGACTTACATCTTCCGCTTCATCCAAAGTGAGTTGACGTGGATCCTTGAATCGCAGCTCTTGGACTGCCTTGTTGTTGTAGATTTTGAACTCATCTTTGTTCATCGACTCGACATCCGCTAAAAATAATTTTATTTGCCTTTGAATTTTCAATTGACTTACTGATTTGTCGTCTAACAGGCGCAAAGTAAAGCTTATCAGGGTCCGTTATAATTTGTCGATATGGTTGAGCTCTTTCTCTCCTCGCGAGAACCTCAGACGCAAAAAGAGCATAAAAAAGTTTCATCTTCCCGAAAAAATGGCAAAACACAACTGCTCAACTTCGAGAGACCGTTGGAAAAGTTAGCTGTAATCCACTTGCCCTTTCGAATGTCAGCTCGAATCCGTCTTTACGAGGAGTTTCCTCGTCTCTGCTCCTCTCGCATCATTTTCTTTGATTTTGAGCCATGAAGTTTCTTATTCTTTCGGTAGCGCTTAGATGGGGAAACTGCCAATATGGTTAGCTAGAGTAAATTTTTTCTGATTCTAATACTTTCTAGCGGATCAATCAAAAATGACATTGGCAGAGAAGCATGCTTACTGGGACGAACTTCTCGAGATCCGAAGATTACGAGATAGAGATCCGACTACACTTGAAATCGGCGAAGTTGCTGTGGTGGGTAGCGAACAAAGGTGTCATGTTTTTATCTAATGTTTTAGCTGGCTCAATATTATGAAGATATCAGAGACTGGATCCACCGCAACAAGTCGCCAGAGGAGATGGACAAATTCTACGAGCGTCTGAACAAGCGTAAGACTAAGATGCTGAACGATGCGGAAGAAAAGCGAGAAGTCTACCGAGAGCGGATCAGAAATGTGACTGAAACACTCGCTGAAACCGAAGGTAAGCGCCTTCTGGTTCGGAATCATGGAAGAAACTACTACTTTTAGACGAGTGGGAGTTCCAGCAAGTATGGGATGCCGTCTACCCAGAGAAGATTCCTGGAAGCATGAGAGCATCAAAATCAGAGTGGATGCTCAAACAAGACTTTCGAAAACGTGCAGAAGAGCGTATGTGAACCATCTTAAGTTAGAAAATTTAAACGCTTTTAGTGAAAAAAGAAGAGCAAAAAAGTAAAGGTGAAACATACAAACCGTCGTTCTTGATGAATGAATATCGCAACGAGTATCCAGAAGAAGCATACGCGCAGGAAGCTGAGGATGAGCTTTTTGATGCGCATGAGCATCTGTTTGAAGAATCATACGACTCATTCGGCGATTATGGCGATATTTATGGATCAAGCCACTACGAAAAGTACCAAAACAGTCAATACAACGATGCCGTCTATCAAGATCCAGAAGACGAGGAAGAAGTTATGGCCGAAGAAGCTTGATATTTTTCTTGATGCTTTTTAGTTCCTATATTTTTCAATCAGTTTTCTTCTGCAGTAATAAAGAGTAATAGTTGCCTTTTCAAATCTGCATTGAAATTGCGTTTTATTTTTCTTTTAGCCTGCAATAATAAACGCAAAGACAGATTTTCGTTGGAAACCATACAATTTATTAAATAATAAAGTGGTTTGAGATGGGGTTGGTTGAGACCGACTACTCTTTGCCTGCGCATAGTTTTCAACACTAGTTCAATAGCAAGAGGATCGGGACTGGTTCTTCTTCTGGAATTTAGAAAAGGAAGTGTTTCAGTTTTTAGTTCGGAAGTAGTGAAATCAGTGGGTATTTTACCTAGAAGTTTGATTAGTGCTTGAGTGGTTGGATTCTCCTAGAAAGTGGACCAGTCCCTATTGCTACAGAGACTAGAGAAAAAACAGCTGGGCGTTCTAAGTCATCACTGAGGCCATCCGGAGCGCACTGACGCTCACCAGAGGGCGACCGAACGGGCCTCCGCGTCGCACCCCTGGCAGTGTTTTAGATTTTTTGAAGAAAAAAATATGAATTTTTGAGGAAGTACAGAAAATTCTTGTCAGGGGGGTTCAATTTTTGGGGGTATTTTTTATATATAACTGAGTATTTTATGAATTGGCTCTAAGTGTGTGTTTAGAGTGCATACTCCGAAAACTGGTCTCAATGAGTCAGGAGAGACATGGTAAAGTGATGGATGGGCAGAACGGCGGGCCGATCTCTCGGACAGGTTTAGGTGACGGCCCGGTCCAGATCGGTTTTAAAACCTGCCCGAACTGATCGGATAGATCCGCCGCGACCCGAAAAAAGCTAGAATTTTGGACCAGTGTATCTGAATCGAGGATCAAATCTTCGAGAAGGTAATATAACGAGATTTGATGAGTTAATTTAACCTAGAGCACCATTAGAATAGGTGAGAATGAGAACGAGGAAAAAGCACTTCTGCAGAAATTTTCTCCAGCATTCCTCCCTTTCCGAAATTCTTCAATGATAGAAGAAGTGTACTCTTTGTGTAGACGAGTCAAGACAACGAGATCTTTTTGACTATATTCACAGAATAGAAAGTTTCTATTAGAAACACTACACAAAAGTCCTGAAAAGGACTTCAAATTCGGTAAGGGCGCTGGAGGAAAGCTGCAGTCAGAGTTTTTTCCTACAGTAAAAAAAAACTTATTTCAAAGTTGAGTGAAAGTAGAAAGGATAGTTTTGAAACTACCCGACAGCGCTTAGGTAGGGTGAGTTTTTGGCAGGGGCGATAGACTTTTAAGCGGTGTCGGGTAGGGCTTTAGTTTGGTAAAGAATTAATCCAAGGCGCAGCGAGGGAACTTGGAAAGGAAAACGAAGGTAGATCACGACGCCGAGGATGCCGTTTTTGGCGAGAATATGTGCGATTAGGGTTAACTGCTGTCGTAGTCGTATTCGCAGATCCTGAACAGAGACATTAGACCGCTGGGAAAAACTGAAATCGGTTCGATAACAGCGGCGCTTTTTCCAAGAAATGGAAAGATGTCGGAGTCGAACTCGAATGAACTTACTTGGGAAACGTGCATCCTTCATTTTGGATGACTATCCTTGCGGCCCACTGTCCAGCGGCGACAGAATCGGCGATGCCAGCTCCTTGAAGATATCCGGCGAAGAAGCCGCCGACGAAAGCATCACCGGCGCCATTCGTATCAACGAGCTTCTTGACTCGTTCAACTTCAAAGAGGGCAATGTTGCCCATGTCGTCCGCAACGATGGTTGGTTTCGCACCCTAAAGACGATTTGTGAAGACAGGCAACTCGTGTAAATGGCTGTTACCTGGGTGATGATCACGTGACGCCTTTTCTTCGTGTTCACTTTGGGTAATTGCGCTAAATAAATCGCAATTTCCTCAAGCGACTTGTGCTTGAAGCCGGCGCATTTGGCATATGCCTCCGCTTCTTGCTCGTTGCCGAAGATGAAATCGGTGTATGGCAGAATCTGATCGACCTCCGCTATTTACAGGATCAAACAATCATTTGCCGGCAGTACTAATATTGCTCCTAATATTTGCAAAGCTGTTGGACTGCATCCAACGAGCGGGTACGTGTGAACACTATTCGGCAAATTAAAGGATTAACTCCCTTTGCAATTGTTTTGTCCTGTTCCTGTAAAACACTCGCAGATGTAGTTTGCGGACAAGTTGAACGCGAAGACCTGAAATACACATTTTCAGTGGAATTTTCCACCATGGTTCTTATGTAAGAAAACTACAGTAGTGCTCATGTGATCGCCTCACTTGACACTGCGTCACAATCAAATTAACACATAGAGTAGGAACGAAGAAACGCTAACTCATCCCTAATGACGGAAGCCCCGCCACTGATGCCTTCGTTAGGCTCCAAGGATGGAACCTAATCGAGGACATCAGTGACGGGGCAAAGGTTTTTGACTGTACTTTGGCGGTATTTTACCTGCTTGTCGGACTGAGCGGAGTACTTGGCGACGGCAAGCATTGAGTCAACTCCTTCTTGAGTCGTAAGGAAGTAGCCGGAGAAGTAAAAGATCATTGACTGCTTGACTTGCTCCCACATATCCTCTGAAAAAGTTCAGTTAGTCTTGACCCCATCATGCGTCCTCATTTCGTCACCTCTATCAAGATGCTTTCGTTCGTAGTGTTTGGCGGCACCAAGTCGTGTCACCAACGATCTGTAACCCTGATGTAGGGTTCAAATGGGGCAAAGTCCCTTTACAGAATCGTTTTTTTCTGTATTATTTTGAGCCTTTCCTGACTTCCGTTAATGAGACTGGCACAAGTACCAGTCTGATGCTCGTCAGAGGTCTGCCAGATAGCGTCGATGCCAGAGTCGCGCACTTTTTGGATCAGGATGTCGGCAAGAGCATCGTTTCCAACGGCGCCGGAGAAGAAGGTCGATCCGTTCTCGCCCATCATCCATTGGCAAACACGGAGGGTATTCAGCGTACAACCGCCGGGGATGAACTTGACGGCCATCTTTTCAACGAGTTCTTCATAGAGACGAAGGTGTCGTTTGTCAGCAAGGATGGTGTTGTCCGGCTCAAGGCCATATCTGTAAAGAGCGATGTTTTACGAATGTTCTAGGTGTTCAAATATTTAACCTCCTACTTTCCAAGGACGTGAGAAAGTCAGGAAGGAATAGTTTATTTTTACAAGGAAGTTTTATTAAAGCTACTCTTACGTAATAGTAATCGTGACCGGTAAACGATCATCTAATCGTTTAATAAAGAATAATGAACAGTTACTTACTTGTCGAGGAAAGCCTCGTCGACGGATGCCTGGATGTCGATAAGTGGGTGGCCTTAGCTTGGGTTTTGCAAAAATTCTACATTTTTAGCTTCAAAAGGAGGAGTGACGAAAGAGTAATAAAATAAATCAACTCGACATCACTAATGACTTTAGCCCCGCCGCCGATGGCGTCCATCGACCGGAAGTGTTATGTAAGCAGGTTGATGACCACCAACCTAACCTAGTAACACTATTCTTTCCGATCTTTGGACGCCACCGACGACGGGGCGGGTGTTTTTAAAGCATTTTGATGATGGTGATAGCCGAATTCATTGAAAACCGATGTTGCTATGTTGAGGATTGTACGGGTGACCATAGTCTGTTTCTTAGCTTATCGATTTAGCTAAAAGTCTGATGATGGCTTATGGAAGGTGGTAATCACTAATCAAGGTGGAGTTGATTAGAGCAGCGTGTGCGTTTGTGTTTTCCTAAATAATGACTTTTAAGAATGGAGGGATCAATTCATTGGGGTAAATCATGATCATTGCGAAACCCTTGGATAAACCGAAAAGTCGCTTTTCGAACATCATTTTTGTAGTCTGTCTTGTAGTATCTTTCGATTATAGAAAACACCAAATGGGGAAAAGTTCTAGAATCAGGTGTTAAGCTCGTTTATTCTCGAGATGTTACTAGTGTAACTTCGTGTTATCACCTCAGGAGGGAGCTCCCAGCCTCTTGGATCGTACACTTACCTTTTTTAGGGGGGACTTTGGGGTAGGCTCTAAGCTTGGTAGGTCTCAAATGTAGCTGTAGGTAGCCTGGCGCGAGGACGAAAGTCTGTCTAAAAGATAAAGAAATTAGATAAATTCTCGGTTGTCGAAAAATCAGAAATCGGGAAAGAGAGGAGACGATTAAAGTTTCTCCCGGTTTATATGGAGCCAAGGCGCTGTCTACTGACGTAGAAATTGCCTGATAAGTTTTCGTATCACTCGTGGAGATATTCTCACGAAGACTGCACCGCGAAAAAATATGATGAAAGATAGTCTTTTAGCGTAAGTTGTAATTATTCAAAATTCATTATTTCTCTTTTACTTTTATTTAGTGAAATCTTCACAAATTTAGTTTAGGAAAGTGGCATGCTACTAAGCTTTTTTGAGCTCGAGCACGCCCTCTGTCGTCAGCCCGGCAGCTAAGCTCGCGCCTCAGGGCAGAAATGCATTCAATTTTCCCCGCTTAAGATGCCCAGTAAAGCCCTTTTCCTTTCGAAATGAAATGTAATTATCTTTATGGGCCTGTACGCTCGTTCTCTTGTGAACTTGTTCTCTGGCAGGACTCTCTGTATTGAATTCTAAGAAAAAAAAACGAGAGGACTTGTACTGGGTCGGCAAATGGCAGAATGGACCAGATCATTAGTCACTTTCAACCTGCGCTGTAGATTTCTCACTATCGCACCACACTCGCCTAAGGCCAGTACTCCTGTCTTTTAACACCTGATTTTGTAATTCTGACTCTCAGAATATTCTCAAAAACCATTTCTACGGAAATAAGAAAACGTAATATTCTCTTGATCAGAATTCATCAGATGGTAAATTCTCATAACTCTTAACAAAGCTAAAAAAAGTAAAACTCCATTTACGTAAAACTAGTAGGTGGATAGCGAGTCTGCTGACAGCAACAGGAGCCACTTACTATTGTTCTTCTATCGCTCACTTCAAAAGGCGAACTATTGTTTAAATCCTTCGGGTCCAACTAATCGTAAGTATCTATTCATTACGAAGTTATGCATAATTACAAATCAAAATTTCCCTCCCCATAAAACATTCACGTCATAAAAATCGATTAATATCGAATAAAAACACTGGTTGAGCTGGAACAAGCTGAAAATGAACCAAAAAGGGTACTTCTCTCGGTTAAAAAAGCAACATCGAAACGGTTAGCCAACCCAGGTAGGGAAAAGAGGAGGAAGGATTGTTTACGCCCCTGTTGTAGCCTGCGGGGGTCGGAAATTCCAAGGAACTAGACTACACTACTATCGAACTGATGTGCCCACAAATGTCCTCATCTTCACCGTAATCTTTACGGAACAACCCGTTATCCCGTCTACTTTTAGACTAAAAGTCTTAGTAGCTCTCAGATCAAAACGAAGTTGTCATCATCAAAATTAAAGCCTTACCTAATCTCTTTAATTGACGCTTCTTTTGAAAAAGGGTGTTGAAGTCAAAGTCGAATTTCAAGGTCGAAAGGTTCGAAATTTTACGGATTAAAATTTTTGGCGCGCTATCGCGGTTTACGGAGAGGGATCACTCCATAAAATCAACCTAGACAAAAAGTCGAAAATATTTTCATCGCGTGAAATTGTTGTACTTTTGAAGACACTTTCGACTGTCGTCAAAATATCATGCTTCTTTGTTGATCTGCCAGGGAACATGAAAAACACATAAAAGCATAAATAATCAACGATCATTTTCTTTTATATTTTGAAGTTGAATCTGAGTGGTGTGAAATTTATTCATCGAATAGAAGGAAAGAAGAAAGGCTTTTCCCGGTTCGGGCGGTTTTAAGGTGATTTGTGAACTAATCAATGGATAAATGGTTGTCTTCTGGATAAAAGGAAATGAAGAATTTCGACGATAGACATAATGTCGCATGTGTGAATTGAAAAGTGAAGCTTGCGGATTGTTTTTTGTTTTGTAGACTCGAACTGTGGAGCTATCATTTGTTTTCCCAAGTCCAGGAGACGATTTCCACCATTTCTTTTGACAGTGTTGGGCCCATGAGAGGCTGATACTGAAAAAACCGGTTGAATATTTCCTAATATGGAAGTTGTATGTACCTGGTGCATCCAGCAAAGGAGCCAGTGAAGCCAGCAGCAGAAGCATGTCATTGTGATACAGACCCGATACACCTCACTGGATTCCCATGAAGATCGAACAATCAGGTTCCCAACAATCGCAATCCTACGTCAGTTATTAATATTTATAAACAAGAGAAACTCTCTGACTTGGATCTCAGACAGTAAAGCACTTCGACCCAGATAAGCTTCTGATTTATAAAATATGCAGCATGGAACTGGTTCTTTCAGATTCAGGGACGAGATAAGGTCGCTAAAGAACGAACTAATCCTTATCAAGATATTTGAAATATGTCTGCTTTATAAGGGAGGAAAAGTGTACGTCCAATAGATTAAAATGACACAAAAACCTGCCAATATCCTCGAGTAAAGTCGAAATGAAATTTTTTTTTCACTCAAGAATTATATTTCTGAAAATGAAACTCAGTCCCTATCTCTAAGAAATCGAGAAAAATAATGTGAACTTTCTGAATAAATGAAACTTACAAAGCCCAAATTCCAGTAATAATTCCAAAGATATCGAGCGGTGCAAGATTTGATCCCATTTTCCGATATTCTAAAAAGCCTTTTTAAGCCTCTCAAATTGTTATATAATCACTCAAGTGGCAGTTCAAAGAGGCTTTCTAGCAGTGAAAAGTATTGTTTTGAACTCTTGTGACAATAAAGAAGCCGGATTCTCGACATATCGGCATTTCTCGCTCTCTTCAAGTTCAAGCTCAAATCCGGTCGCCAGAATCACTGATTTTAGCTCTTCCCAAGATAGCTCCAAGCTCATTTCTTCCGTATTCGCGAAGTGGTACATCAACGGGCCATTATTGATCTAGGATTATTCGATTTAGCTACGAAACAACTGTTTTGGTCCCTACCCACAAACCGCCCGGCCTTAAAATTTGAAAGATCTTCTGTACATAATCAATGACGTTATGAGCAGTGTCGATGAAAAAACAAGTCGCCACTGCATGCCATTTCGCTTCAGTATATAAATCTAAGAACTCGCCCGCGCCAAAACTCATCTGCCCTCCATCTTCAGGCGTTTCTGCCGGATCAACGTCAGGAAATCGGACTTCTTTGAGCGCGTCCTGCCAGCTTAGCATGTTGCTGGTTTCGTGTACAAAGGGATGAATTCGATAATGCACTTTATCCGATTCATCCGCTGCGCCAGTTGAGCTGTTCAGAATGAAGCGGCTACAATTAATCCAGTTCAGTTTTGTCGATTAGATGAGATGAGCCGATCTCACCTTGTCAGAATCATGTACCAGGAAAATTCGCAACCTTCGCTTTGAAAACCATGCGAGAAAATCTCCCAAGTGAGTCGAGCTAACCCACAACCTGGCGTGAGGACATGGATCCCTGTTCTATCCGTCTCTTCCGCTGGGAATTCGGAGTTCAAGATGTCCAAGATAGGCCCGTAACACGAAGCTCTTTCCTTTTCTCCAAGCTCGGACCAGTCACGCATGATTTGTTTCAGCGTTGTCACCACTCGTTCGTGCTGCCGAGTCTTGAAAACCCTTGATTTATATAAATTTCTATTTCGAGCATTTCTCAACTCACTTTTATTGCTGATCCAGTTATTTTAAAACCAAAGTTTTCTTCACAATCCTCCAAAATTAGCTTCAGAATTTCCTGATTTTGAAAAACTGCCATTTTCTGATCGTCAAAGTATTTTTCGCGATTTGGCAGAAGTTTCTTGTGAGAATCTGGGAGTTTATTGAAGTTGACGATGTTGCGGTCGATTTTAGCATTCATCGTTCTTTTGTAATTTTTCATGTTGAGCACTACTTGCTCGAAAACGAAGCGTTCTTTTTCCTGCGTTTGAACATCCATTCTAAGAGTCAGTTTTTGGAGATGTTGACGATAATCTTTGGTTAAAATTGGGTTAGGAGAAAAGACAGATTTGAAAAACGGATGGACAGAGAAAAGGAGACGATTTTTGGCGTTTTTAGATGGCAGTTCCACGCTCCAAGTTTTGCTTGATCTCTTGTGTGTACTAAAAATGATGATAAAGCTTCGTCTCAAGAAAAGCCTTACCTTGGAGTAGCTACGGTCAATTTTCTCGTTGAATTTTCTGTTTCGCTCGTTGATGTAAGTAATGTCCTTGTCTTCGTCGTGCATGCGTCGTCTGTGGAAGTTCTTTCTCTTCTCGATTTGTGCCTGAATCGGTTAAAATGATGGTTTTTCGTTGATTGAGTACCTTGACAACATTGACGAGTCTCGATTTTGCTTCTTCAGAGTCCTTGAGTCTTCCTGGAAGAATGGAAGCTGTGGAAAGTCCGGCGTAGAAGTCATCCCCATATTCTTGCTTTTCTTGCTCGTACTTTTCCATATCCACTTTGAAGTCTAAACATGACTTTTAGACAGATTCCAATCAACATTATTGCCGTTTCCAGACATGAGAACATGAATGCGAGACGGCCAAAATATGACGAAAGCTTGTATAATTACCCCGTGTGAGTCTATTATATTGTCTTGCAGTATTATCTTCCCAGGAGATGAAGCCGGGGTCCGGGTTCTTCGTGCGTTTGCGTTTCGCATCTTTTCTCTCCAAATCCAGCGCTGTTTTGTTCAGCATCTTCGCACGCTCGTAATTGCCACCTTGAAAAAACGAACTTGTTAGTCACACAAATCTTTGTCATAAAACAATCTATACAAGATTCTTGCTACACTATAGTAGATTGTGGCCCACATTGTGGGCTGAAAATTTGATATAAAAGTTGATTTTTCAACACTGCTTTCGGGGACGTCTGGCTTGGTGGACCAGGACGTGGCAAGGGCATGAATGCTCACGATTAATCCGTGAATCTTGTTCGAATCCCGACCCAGACTTGGCGTTGAAGCATAACTTCTCGTTCAAACTTTAGGAGACACTGTCCAAAATCATAGCCCTTGTATCCTCGAGGACGCAGGGCTAGAAGACACAGACTCACTCTACAGTGTCGAATCGACACAATAAAAACCGCAAATGACGATGAGCTTCACCAGCTCGGGAGGTTCTTTCGGGTCCCCAAATGGAGGGACAAAGGGTTATTACACAGCCTGGACAGCTGTGGAAAATCTAGGGAGTCCCACCGCCGCCCGAAAGTTTTGATTTTTCAAAATCTATTAAAAAATTACCTGCTGCTTCGATTTCTTTCTTTCGTTCAATTTCAGAAAGTTCATATTGAGCTCGCTCTTTCTTTGCTTCGAAGTTAGCCGGTAGTTTCGCGACGCGATCCTCCTCAACAACATCCCTGTGATTCGCAGTCTTTGCTTCCATGCGCTTTCTTTTGAGAGCTGCGAGTCTTGCTTTTGCGTCCATTTCGATCAATTTCTTAACTGTCGACTTTTAGTGTCGAAGAATCAGAGTGATAGAAAAAATACTTTATTTAGAAGGCATAAATGATCGAAATTTATTTTATGATACAGAAATAACGAAGAATAACTGACTAAAAGACAGTGATGAGCCGAAAGTTAACTAACTTTGTCCTTGGACTGTGCCGGACTGCTTAGACTTGAAAACGAAAATGAGCTCAACATTAAAGCTTCCGATCGCTTCTTTTGTAGACTGCAGAAACCATCAGTAGATTCGATGAAGAAGGTGCGATTACGTAAAATGTGCCTCACTTGGGCGATTTCGCCGCGCTTTTCGGACATAATTTGATCGTTTCGCGTATTTTCGCGGGAGTAGAAATCCGCCTGCTTCTCCTTCTTATCTAAAACAGCCATTTAACAAACATTTTAACAGAGAAACTTACTGTAGATAAGCTCTTGCATTCTGGAAGGAATAGACTCGTTCACGAATTTTTGGCTTTGACGAAGGACTGTTTCATTATCCGGAGCGGAGTTCTCCGGCAGTTGCTTTACTAAACGATGTCGTCTTTCCAGCTGTTGAATTTTCAATCTTTTCGATGAATATGTCCTTTCAATTTCTTGTTCACGCTGTTTCTGCTTTTCTTGCTCTTCCGGGCTTGGCTTTATCGAAAGAGGGTCGAGAAGGACGGAGGAAGGGATAGGGGCGGGAAGATTTTTCAAAGAGCTTTTCAGGGGATGTATTAGTTCGTCCAATTTCGATTGATCAGAGGATTCTGTCTTTTGGATGTGAGTTTCGACTGATTGAACATTTGGCGATGGAATAGTTTTTGACGATGATGATGTGGATATGTTTGATGAGTAAAGAGAGGAGTTAATGCGCTGAGGACTTTCACTTTTTCTTGATGACTTTGATTTTCTATGTTTGTTGTGTTTGCGCTTTTTGGAGGGCGGGGAGGCGCGGGAGTATCTAGTTGACCCGACTGGCGTGGATTGAGCGGGATGAGCAGCAGGGACGTCTTGAGATGAGCTGTCGGTGGAAAGGGAGGGCGAATCTTTCAGAATTTTTCGCGAGGCACCAATACTGTCAGCCTAGATGGATGCTTTAATAAGGGAAAGGGAAGGTTCGCTTACAATTTGATCATTCCAGTCTGGCGGCTTTTTCCACGTCGTCTCTTTCGTTCTTATGTTCAAGTAGTACTTTTTGTCTTTGGTCTTGCTCTTGACCTCGCACCACTCGCCGCATTTGCGCTCCACGCGGGATGGAAGCTTCATTTTTATGGGCGGATGCTCCTGTCTGCTTTTACTCGGGCCAACTTTTTCGTCGATCCGTGCCATCGCTAACATTACATCCGCCTCTGAACAGTTGGTAATGGAAGATGAGCTTTGTGATCCTATTTTTGTTTATGGAATGGAAAAGTGAAAACTGCTGGGGCAGTGGATAAATGTGAATATTTTTCTTTTGATAAAGGGAATGTGAGAGTGTTTGTGTGTTTCAAACACAGTGTTTGTATAAGAACTTTTCTTAGTCAAAGTTTTTTCTAGTGATGAACTCGTGAATCTCTTCGTTGCGTTTGACGCGCGTCTGGATGACGCTCATCTCTTCCTCGAAGATACTTTGAACAACTAAACAGACGTGTATAAATGATGGAAAGAGAGTCTAGAGTACTTTTGAATTGAGTGTCGGCTGTGTTCTTCTTGTCGTTAGCCGATTCGAGGAAGTCAATGATCGTTCGTTCTTCCTCATCTCCGTAGTTGGCATTCTCGTCATTTTCTTTGACATCTTGAAGTTTTCTTTCAAGATCTATCCTGTCACTCTAAAGGTCACTTGTTACTTCATCGTCGAATAATCAAACCCGTTACCTGAAGAGTTTCTATGTCTTCACTGATGCTCATTACATTTTCTCGCCTCTTTCCAATTCGGCTTTTCATATGAGCATTTTCTTCCTCGACTCTATTTAACTCCGCCTTGCTCTTTTGGAATCTTGACTCGAACTGGGTCTTTACCAGGTCGTGATCATCCTGCTCCTCTTGAATTCGCCTAGACACAGATAGAAAAAGAACAAGGAAAAAGATATAAATACTTTTCTAGCTCATCATTTTCAAAGTTCAGGACGTCTGTCTCACTTCTCAACGAGCTAATTTGCTTGTGGCAAAGTTGATCCGCTTCGCCGATGAGCTTTTGTTTTTCTTCAAGCATAGATAAGTTTTTCGCCGAGATGGAAGATGGGATTTTGAATTTTTCGGAAAATTCGCGAAGTGAATTTGCGGCTGTGTTGTAATTGATCAAAATGTCGGCAGCAGTTGCTCGTTCACGGCTTATTTTAACCTCTGAAATAAGTTGAAGAACAGTTTAGGGAACGAAAATTACCAATTATTCCGAGATCTTGTCGTTGAGCCGCCACTGTTTCTTGCCACTTTTGATCCTCTTCAACGAGCGCGTTGTATCGGTTCTTCTTTTCAATGGCCGTCTCTTGATCTCCGATTCGTTCCCGGAGTTCTGCGTTGTCTTTTTTGAGTTGTTCGATCATTTCTTTTTGCTTCGTTTCTTCTTCGCGCAGCGTTTTGATCTCTGCAGCGCCCTTTTCGACGTGGTACTTGCTTAGATTCAGGAATTTTGTCGAGTCTTCGATCGCTTTTGTCAAATCTACCAAGTCGTTTTCGTAGCATCGTTTCGCATTTTTAAAGTCTTTTAGTTCTAGCTCTGCTTCTTCCATGCGCCTGTAAGCATCATCAATGTCGATCTCTTCAAGAGCTAACTGCTCTTGTTTCGACTTGGCTACCTCATTTGTCACATCATCGGTGATATCGTCGATGTCGCCTTCTCCAGCAGCATATCTCGCGTATCCTTCGAAAATTGGGATGATTTCCTCAATATCCGCTGTATCTTGAGCGGCATTTTCCGCTGCCTGTTGAATTCCAATCAAGTCAATCAGCCAGTCCAAAACTCCAATCGCAGTCGGAAAGGTCTGCTTCGTCAAGTTCACAAAGCTTGATTTCACCAATTTAAATGGATAATCAACTGCACGCATAGTCTCAACGATGAGCTCTGCTGGTTTCACTTTACCAAAGCTCATCAAATAATTTGGGCCGAGAATAATTCGGACAAATGTTGAGAAGATTTCATGGAACAAGCCGGTTGTCATGTTGGAAAGTTCTTTGAGCGATACTTCGCGGAAGTTGATTTCGTTGATGAGAAAGTTTTGAAGCTTTTCGACGACTTCTTTCTGATTTCTAAAATAAGGAGATATTAGAATTGGCGGGCTAGGAATATGCTTACGCTTTCTTTGCAAGATCTCGTGGATCATTCGACGAGTGCGTTTTTGGGCGTTTGATCGTCGATTGACCTCCAGCAATGCTCAACCTGTAGCTATCCGCAGTGAGGCTATCTCTTGGTTGCCTACCGCCACTACTTGGAAATTCGGATTTGCGAACAGTCGTCAAGCGACGATGACCATCCATTTCCGATTTACGCGAAAACATTTGATTGAATTATCAGTCTTAAAATTCAAGTCTTTAATTTCAAGAATAAATAAAAACGTGACTGCATAGCCGGAACAGGTGCGCTGGAGATGGGAAATGTTTGGCTTTCATATATCAAAAATGAATTTTCAAAAGCCCTAGCGCTCTTTGATTGCTCTGTATGAATGGTTTTACATTTTTGTCAATCGAGTAAAATATTTGACTTCGGCATAATTCGTTTTTCGGAATCTTGGTTTATCGAAGAGAGACCACTGCCTGATATGAGAGGGATGTTATCAATTGCTCGAATATTTCTACTAATAGAAGTTGTCTTAGCTGATCAGTGCCAAAAAGAAATGGGTTAAGATAATTTCCTCTGTCAAAATTCGAAACTCGGCCCTAACCCAAAGATAGATTTTATTGACTTTCTTGGAGAAAAATCTAACTGCCCATATGACAAGAAGACAGTTTCTGTATTTTCAAGAAATGCAACAACCTGTATTATGGAAGAAGAGTGCGTGGACTACTGGAAACTAAAGAGCTCGAAGAAATGCAGAGAAATATATTTCACTGACGTTTCGTCAAAAAGAAACGATTTTTATATGAAATTAAAAGAGCAGAATCAAAACATCAAGAAGCTTGACAAAATTTCAAAGGGGTAAAGTCTCAAACAACTCGATTTTGTTAAAAGATGATTTCAGTTATTTGAAAAATTCGATTCTTATCTTGGCCTTCGACGAGGGCAGTTATTTGGAACACATTTGTGGTCAACTCAAAAGCATCGAAGTCCTTCCAATCTTCCCAAAAACAATGAAGAGAAAACTGCCTTCAGAAATTTCCAATAAAGAAAGTCTGATTGTTCGTAAGTATTTACGAATACATAAAACAATATTCATCATTTTTAGATTCCGAAACGTCTGGCTTAGCTGTTCATGTGGATCGTCTGGCGAGACATTTGGCCGGCTGCCCGGAAATGTGTCAGAAGCGTTGCATTAGGGAGCCAGGCTTTCAGGCACCGCAGGTTTGCACGAGGAACGATGTTCAAATTGGCAGAAATCGCAAGTGCTGCGGCCCGACAGGCCCAGATGGACAAACAGGGCCTCGTGGTGAACTCGGTAAATATAATAAATTAATATCGCCATTTTAAACATCCGTTTTAGGACCGGAAGGATGCCAGGGAGAGCCTGGAGAATTTGGGGAAAATGGCGAAGACGGCCCGAAGGGTTTCCCTGGTCTCCGAGGAGAACCTGGAATTCGAGGAAGATCTGGCCCCTCAGGAACTCCTGGAGTAGATGGATACCCGGGCATTCCAGGGGAAGTTGGCCCGGACGGACCGGAAGGAAACGCAGGAGAACCTGGAACTGCTGGCTACAAAGGCTTTAAAGGCCCTCAAGGTACGAAAAAATATTTTCCTAGAAAGGATAACAGATTTCTAAGGACCTCAAGGGCCACCAGGACCTCCAGGAGAAGTTGGTGATAAGGGAGATAAAGGTTATCCTGGTGATATGGGCGCTTATGGCCCACCTGGTGGTGATGCTACTCCTTGGCATGAAGGTAAGATCCTTCCATGAAGTTTTGAAGTTCATACATTCCAGTGGATGAAGAAACAAAACAACGACTTTTTGAAGAAGCCTTGACAGACCTGCTTGAAAACGACTACGAAGTTAAAATGCACCTGAAACATATTGTCCAATACTTGCCACGCGAGAAATACTGCGACTGTAAAAATAATTTCTTTTGAATTAAAAAAAAATGAGACCTGTTTCAATATTCAAGTAATATTCAGTTTTTGGAATGATCGATGGCAGCAAAATTAAGGTCAGAAAAAGGAAAAAAGACGAGTGAAAGAAATACAGAAATAGGTAAAGAAAGTGGACTTGAAAATATAAAGAACGAGAACGGTAGAATTGTGCTTCAGTGGAAAAGATATAGTATCTTTTTTAATCGTTTCTAGGTCAGTTGCCTTTCAATACCAACATATTTGATCGCGTCGGATGTTGAGTATCTATAGTCAAAGAAGAGCTCTTCGCCCTTTCGAATGTCCGTTTTGGCGAAAATTCCGATTCTATGATCCCCATTCACTCGGATGATCTTTGTGGCTGCGTTCGGATTCATAGAATGATTCGCGAATCGAATCTTGTTTCCCTTATCGAAAGTTAAATCGTGCTCTGAGCCTTTGATCTTACTTTTCTAGTCGCGTCAATGCAGAAAGAAGAGTTCAAATCGAACAAAAAGCTCGACTTGTGTTTATCGTAAACTTTTCCTCTTCGATCTGCCTCTTCTTGGCTGATTAGTTCGCCACAGTAGTCGGAAATGTAAGTGTTCTTCTTGATGTCATTCTAGTTGTAAGAGTGTAAAAGAAAATAGTGGCTTGAATAACAAACCTTCGCGAAACATCCCCATCCAGCAATGTCCGATGGGGCCATTAGAAGATGCTGATGTAGACCTCTTTGCATTTTTATGTTGTTGCATCGAATTTCGTCGAAATCTTTTGAAAAGTCATCCGCGCCGCAGAGCTTGCAAAGATCAGGATCACACTCTCGTCTGGCGACATAACAAGGGCAAACTTAACTCAAGTTCGAGAGTGCTTTTAGGCTGATATCTTACGATTGGTGTTGCACTGGCCTTTACAATTGCATCCACTGAAACGATTCCGACAGTCAGGGGGACAGGGACAGAACTTTTCGCAGTAGTTTCCTTTTTGATGGCAAAGGCAAGTGTCTTCCTTACACGGTTCATTTGGATGATCACAAGGCTCGTAATTGTGCATGTTGTGGAGGCTAACATCCTTACGAACTAAAAGAAGATATAAAGAATCGATTTCTTGAGAGAATTCACCAATAGTTTTCCGCTTGCCATGCGACACTGGTTTCTTCCTATTCGGAGTTTTGTGAACTATAGATTCATCAAGTGCAGAAGTCGAGACATATGAATCATCAAACGCAATTTTGGCGAAGATCTAAGGAAATTTCGAGTCAAAAGATCCGCTTAGATAACTATAGATTGCTGACAATATACTTTTATAAATTAAACATACGCTTTTGCAACTCTTTTCGCCCATACATGAAGATATACTGCACAAGTTTCCCTGGTATATTTCCAGAAGCGTTCTTACTAAAACGCTTTCCGACTGCGTCCACTTTTCTTCTTCGAACAGTTTTTGTACTTCATCCGGCAGCGGCTAGAATAAATAATGAGGGTTTGCGCTATTTAGAGCTAAAACCTTGTTTTCAAATCCATCTCGAGACGTTTCCGGGCTGGCGAGAAGTTCAACATCCTCTTGAACAGCTTTTTTTGATTTCTTATTGAGTTTTGGCTTGAACTTTTTGACTTTGAAAATTTGCTCGATCTTTTCTCGTCCTCCATCGAGATTCAAGAAGCAGTTTTCCGAGCATGGATTCAGCGGCACTCTTGGCATGTCGAGTTTACGCTTGAGAACGTACGTTCTCGCTGGCGGTTTGGATTGGAAGGTGTGGTACATACAATCGTAACGGTAGCAGCGCGGACAAACAAGTTCGTGAAAGGAATTTAGACACTTGTCCCGTTTCTGCGACTCCCAGACTGCGCTAGGATCGTCGATCGACGGCAGCTTTGTTGAATGATCGTTTTCGACAGACTTGTTCAAATTTGATTCGTTCCACTTGTCGCGTATCGATTCTGCAGTTCCTCGATCAGCCAGTAAACAGCTGATAGCGTCAAAGATTTCTTGACAAGGTTCTTCTGCGTTAGGATCTTTTTCTTTCTCAATACTGAAGAGATGATCGACCAGCTCGTGGATAGTCTCATCGCCGCCTCCACAGTGCATTTTTCGCTGATGCATGTTTATCAAATCATCGAGAAAGCCCCGTTCATGTTCGACAATGTCATCACCCATGTAGGGAATGTTTTGAAGGACTTTGACATCGTCACAGGCGATATTCTTGTGGGATGGCATGTATTGGAAGCTTGTTGGAAGATTGGGAATCATCGGTAAAGTGTGCGTAAGGACTTCGTGCTTTTTTGAAGAAAGGGTCTCGCGAAAGCTCGATATTTTCGTGTTCAATCGAACTAAACAAAGAGCTAGTAAACTTGTCTCGAAGATAACTTGTACCTCTGTAATTATATTGAGGTTGTTCATCTGAAGGGTCAATAACTTCATTTTCATCCATTTGCCGCTGCTTAACAAATAGTTTTTTCGTCTTTTCGCGGTTCTTCGCCCAGCGATTGCGAATTCGATCTTGTTGAGAGGTGCTGATTTTTGATTGCACTCGTAAGAGCTCATTGCCCGCGATTTTCTTCCAGTTCATTTTTTGAACTTTCAGATGCGCGGAATTCTCGGGCTCTGTCCTTTCTTCCGACTCCATTCTATACAGTTTCATTGAAACTATCTTTTGATCCCGTTTTTATGCATGCTTGTAAACTGCTGTTATACCCTGCAAATGAAACACTGAAGTTTTAAAATAGATATTTATTTGTGTGAACATTGTTTTCCTTGTCAATGGCAGAGTAAAGAAAACAAATGAATTTTGCTAGGAGATAATTGAAGAATAGTCATTATCTTACTGTATGGGAATGTAACAGTATGACAAATTGTTGAAGTGAATAAATGGAGTGGCTGTCTGATGCGCGGCGAGAGAAAAATAATGAAATTTAAACATAGTACTTTATGGCAATGGGTTCCGTACGTTAGTACTATTTTATGCACATCTACTCGACAGAGATGAGTTCAGGAGCTTGAAGGTGAGCGTTAGGAACGGCTGGGGCAGCTTGAACCTTTTCAGTAGTGGGAGCGTGAGCTTCTTCTTCCTTTTTAGCACCTTCGGTTTTGCGCTAAAATTGTTTTCTTTACATGATTAGATGATATCTCAGTTACCTCGTTCTTTCCTCCCTTTCGGGGATTTCGAGCTCGCTTGTCAAACTTTCGTCGGCGGCGCTCTGGTCGCTCTCGACGTTCGTTGTTGTTGGAGTCACGTGGCTCCCGAGGAGTTTTCTCCTCTTCAGAGGAAGTAAGTTCTTCTCCTTCGCCATCTTTCTTGCCTGGAAAGAATGATACAGACGCATTTCAAGAAAGGACTTACGATTATTTGGCTCTCGTCGGGTACCTCGTCGGAATCGGGGATTGAAAGGAGCGAGCTCCAATCCACCAGGGGAAGAAACTGCAATTGCTTCGGGCCCTTTCTTTCCTAAAATATCATTGAAGACGTTTATACATTTCAAGTGGATTTTTACCTTCTGCAACATCGAATTCAACTTCCTCGCCGCCTTTGAGGAACAAGCTGAAGCGGTGTCGGCGGCCAGATCCGACAACGCCGGATTGGTGGACTAAATTTCGCTGCAAAGATAGAAAGGATGGGTTTGAACTTACGAAAGACATCGGCTCCTTCATCGTCGCGTTCAATGAATCCAAATCCTCTGGAAACGTTGAACCATTTTACTTTACCGGTCACTAAAGAATCTTTTAGCCACAGAAAATTTAAATACCAGTACCTCCTCGGGTGAGGATGTGTTTTTTCTTGTAAACGCGCTCGCGTTTGGGCTTGGCTTCAGCTTCAGGAGCAGCAGTAGATCCTTCTTCAGCCTTTTCGGGGACCTCTTGCTGGGCGTTTTCAGCGGCAGGGGTGATTTTCGTGACTATATCCCTTATTAAGTCGCCTTTTCTAGAGAGTGTGTTTACCTTTGAGGGCATCAGCGAGTTCGTCGACGGCAGTTGGCTTCTGGGGCTGAAGATTATATTTTTCTTGGATCGAAGCGATAAAATCGCCTCTTTCAAAGGTCTCTTCGACTTGTTTTGACTCTTGTGCACCCATTAGAATCATAAAAGCCTCTTATTTTGAACAACAAACTGATTTACACGAAAAAGTTCTCGGATAAAAACATAAAATTTGTTCTAGCGGTGCTCTAGAAGCGAAACAATATGACACGAAATATAATATTTCAAATATTCAAAAGATTTCGAAAAAAACCTCGTTATTTGAGTTTTCGCCATCAATTTACCTCGTTTGAGCAAACCGGTGCATCACCACTGGCGGTTTTTGCCTCGGCCGTAGCTTCGCTCATCCTTTTTTGTCGATTTTTTACTTAGAGTGGTCGAAAATCTCGATTTTTACGAATGAGCGTTCTCGGGGAAAAAGCAAAAGCGCGGTCCCTGATCTAGAATTTTCGTGGTTAATTCAACATTTCAAAAGTGTTAGGTAATTTTCACAGGCCATCGTGAAATTGAATTCGTGAAACGTAAGAAAGGTCGTTTTTAATAAGTTGGGAAGAACATATGATGAAAGAAATTTCAAGATGTTTCGAACAAAAAAGTGGTGAAATGGAATGAAAGTTACTGAATCAAATGGGGAATTGATGCGAATTAAGAACGAAAGAAATTGCTTTTTGGGAAGGAAATTGAACATAGGCTGGCTTTCATACAATTGTCGACTAGACATGGAGCAGAGCATGCCAACAGTTTTTAGAACGAATGAGTGCCAGAAATGCTTTATCGGGTAAATCAAGGCGGTAAAGTCGGGATATAAAAAGGTCAGAAAACGAAGCGAAGAAAATTGTTTACTGGTTGAGAATATTTCTTGGGAGGTAAATCCACAGTGAGGAAGGTGTATCTTTATATAACGAAGACGAAAGGTATTGAACTTTTATAAACAGAAAGAAACTCGGTTTACTTCTTCGAAGGCGGTTTTATCCTCGGCCACATGCCAAGGTAGTTTCGCGGTACGTATCCTTCTCTTCCAGTGTCGGAGTGGCGGCTAGGATGAAGATAATTTTCAAAATAAACGAATGGGGGAATACCTCCACCACCATTTGTCTTCGTCACTATCTCCTCTACGTTTAACGTAGAGAAGATCTCCTTCTTTGAAAGATAGTTCATCTGAGCTTTCAGCGTCGTAGTCGAAAAGAGCATAAACTGATGCTTTATTCACGACACCAAGTTTTTCCTGAAAATGTTTAGCATATTAAAATCAAGAAAGAAAGATCACCTGTGTTCCGTAAAGATACTCGGTACAATTGACGTACCCTTCATCCAGTTCTTCACATTTTTCTGCGGCTGAAAAAAGAAAACTAGCTTAGACAAGTGTTGAATGGTTGTGTTTTTACCAGTATCATTGTCAGGATAAGTTTCGGCAAAGATCTGGGCGCCATTTTCACACAGAAATTTGACCATTTGTAAGGAATTGCAAGAGGCAGCGCAGTGCAACGGCGTCCAACCATCCGAATCCGCCGCATTTATATCGACACCCGAGTGAACCAAGAATCTTTTGAACAAGTTAATAAAAACTAAAGCTCATTTGAGTTCGTACTTGACAACATCAAAATAACCGGCGCATACGGCATTATGAAGCGCGGTGATTCCTTCGTCATTTGCATAGCTTGGATTTGAAACCTGAAGAAATTATTGATCATAAATCTAAAACGCTGTAATTATTGAAACTCAAATCTCGTGAAATCACGTCACACAAGTTGCCACAAAAGTCACCTTGAGCTTTCTATTATTCAATTGCTTCAATAAAAAGATAAATTTTATTTGTCCCTTTCTAATTTCATACCTTTGCGATCACACTACGGACGACATCAATCTCTCCAGCAAGAGAAGCATCCAGAAGCAGTGCCAGGGGATCAAGCTCCACTCGTCTCGAACTGTTCCTTGGCGCGCCTTGTTTCTTCAAAATGCCTCTCGGCTTTTTGATCGCACTTTTCAGCTGTGGCGGGGAACGAGTGGAGTTACTGTATTTTTCATCCGGTGCGCGCTGAGGCGGTGTCGGAGGGGCATCTTGATCAGCTTTTCCGCTTTAAAATAATTGTAAAAGAAGATCGTGGGTCAAGATAGAAATTGATGAAAGAGCAAAAACTTTCGACAAAAATTCAAACAAGCAGCGCTCTTACCCCCTTGATGGTGAAGATTTAGGAGCTTCCTGCTTGATTTGATTTTCGCTCTCGGAGCTCTGACTTGATTGCTCAGCTTCCTCTTCAAGAGGAATGTTCCGTGGGTCGCGAAAGAGCGGATCAGAGGTCTTGTACAATTGTTGATAGTAGTTGTTGCCTTCTGCTTCCGAGAAGGAGGAGCGCTTTTTCAGTGGTCGCGGGGTATTCGCGTATCGTTTTCGCCACTCATCGAAGACGTTCTTATCGCCTCCTGGAGACACTAGAATTTATAGCTAGTCATAAAGTCAAAGACCGTAGTTGAATTTTGTTCGAGTTAATGTCTGATTCTGCTTGAGAGTTAGAGCTGTAAAATATGAATGGGAATTTTACATGATTTGCTTACAATTAAAAATGTACCTGCCGAAGATTTCGATGAAAAAATTACTAGAATTTATTGATAAACCTCTTTTTGTTTAATAAAATGCTGGAAAAGCCCCTTACCTTGACTGACGAGAGGTTTACTCGAAGCTTTCTTGATAATTTCCCACCTGGCCTTGCTCTTGTCCATTCCGAACCTTTTCTGTTTCCTCTTTATCAATGCAATTTCTTGCTGTAAGTTGCTTATCTCGCATATTGCTTGGAATACTGTCGCCATATTTTCTCTAGATATTAAAAATATGCTTCAATTCATGAATGGTCTGTGTTTCAGTCTGCGTTGAATAAATTTAAAGCAAGCGCCTCCTTGTGGCACTCTGCGCTGGACAATCCTATTCATTTTATTGTTTGCAATTCAATTGCCTGTTTCTCTAATACAGAGTTGAAAAAGCCACGGATATATGCGTAAATTTGCGTTTTTCGATGAATGTGTGCACGGGACGAATGTTTTTGCTGCCAAAAATAAAATACACTTACCGGGCTTTTTTATGCCTAGTTTTCCTCGTGACGCTTGTCCAGGCAGGGAGCGCCTGGATAGAGCTTCAGTGTAGCTTGGTGGCGGTGGACGAGGCTTTTCTTCGGAAGGATTACGGTACTGGAAAAGCGAGTTGCCCGGTGCCAAAGACGATGATTTTGATTTGGAGTCTTTTTGGTCTTGAATAATAAATTTAAATAAAAAAATCAACTTTGATGCGCCTTCACAAGTCACGTTTCTTTATGAAAGGTTACGTTTATTGATTCATTGATGTAAACTTTTTTTGATCTACGAGGGACTCGTTGTCACTTCTGACTCCTAGAGCTTTCTGTTTAAAGAAGATGACAGTTCCAAGGGCTTGTAATTTTTTCCTTACCTTGACGCGTGAGAATTTCACTGATAGGCCTCTGCCCTCGCTTCTTCCGATCAGCATCATCAGGCGCAATTTCCGTCCTTGAAGTGATATTATTCAGCACTTGCGCCTTTTGCGGCAATCCGTCAATTTTTGAACCGATTTTATTTTGCGTTGAATTGACGAGGGGCTCAACTGCAGCTACATTCGTGTATTTTTGCTGATTCTGGCTTCCCTTCGTTTGAGCTGCTCGTTTTTTGTTGATTCTATCTGCAAGTTCGAGGATTTTCATGTCTAATTCTTGGGACTCTTCTTGTTTCTTTCGAAGAAGATCCCGCTGCGCTTGAAGCCGCTGGGATTGATCATTATTCAAGTTGTGAAGAGCATTCAATTCTCTGTTTAGCTTGTTCACTTCTTCCGCCCCGTTTGTCGCTGTCGATGTTTTGCGCAAATCGCCAAGCACACTTGTTAGTTGCTCTACTTTCTGCATCGACATGTTGAGTTCACGCTGTTTTGCTTCAAGCAGATTTCGGACTGAGTCTAGCTCAGCTGATAATAAAGCCGTGTTTTGCTCAGGCCCAACACGCAGCATTCTAAGTCGATCTTCTTGTTCACCTACTTTTTCGCGCAATTTTCGCAGATGATCCGCATCTTTACTTTGCTTAGACGGGATGATTAGTGCTCGCAACCAGGGCTGGATAATTTGAAATCAACACAAATTTTAACACCCCAAAACGGCCCTATTGACCAATCAGGATGGCCGAATTCCCGAAATATGGGTGTTGAGATTTGTGTTGATTTCAAATTATCCAGCCCTGCTCGCAAATTAGTTAGGAAAAACAACGTAACATTTATATATATTTATGTTTTATTACAAATTAAGAATTCTAAATATAATATTTATTATATTTCATTATTGACGACTAAAATCTGCTATTTTTGAACTACTCCCACTTTTCATGAGGAATGATAGCTTTTCAAATAATATAAACACGAAGTCATCCCTAACTGTTGAGATTGTTGAGTCAAGAAGCTCAACCTCTGTTGCTTCGCCGTGAGTGTCTTCTCTTGCTCCTCAATTTGTCGCCTCTGTCGATCGGCGAGAGCATTTAGCTCTGCCAAGGTCATTTCGGCAAACATCGTTCAGGCTTATTAGCTTCCAAAACGTCTTACAGTGGTAACCGAATTCGAGTCGATGAAAATTCTAATGCTGCATTTGCTTCTGAAATGAAGACGGGTCAGTTTTGTGCGCATACCAAATTGACTCCGTGGACAAAAGAGGGAGAGAAAAGAAAGAGGATGATCTCGGAATAATCAATTTATAGACTTCGAAATCGGGCCTTCTTCAACTTAGAAGGATAAGATTGCGTGAAGGACATCGCCTTGTTTTAGACAGCTTTAGCTCATGTTTATTATAACTGGACCAAATATGTACGCGGATGAACAGAGACACTTGCGGATTTATATTTTTAATCATATTTATTTGGCATACACGGAGACACGTTTATATGGTCAATCAATAATTTATTATATTCTATGAACAGTTTATCCGAAGAAATGGTGGTTGACGTAGCCGAAGGTGCCGAGGATTTCGCGTGTGTAAGGAATGGATGCGACTGGGGCACCTTTGGTATCCCAGAAGAGGCAGCCCAAGAAAAGGCACACTCCACCGATTGCCACGTTTCGGGTTATCTTTTCTGTCTTTGAGATCTGAAAGAAGAAGTCAAATGAGCTGTTAGAGCAAGAAACTGACCTTCTTCTGTGGCTGCTGCTGCATAAATGGGTTCATGCCTCCTGGAAACATCTCGTCGTTCTTTCAATCCTTACTCCTTCTGAAAATTTCAAACATGAGTCTCTGCATTATTTTGTACAGACGAATTGTTGTAGCTGGAGCAGTTTCTGTATAGCTTGAGTCACAGGGAGAGGGGGAACACGGGAGATGGGAAAAACGGGGCTCACGCTTTTTCGAGCGGGGCGAAGTTGAGAAGCTTCTCGACCAGATCCACGTGGGTGAGCAACATTCGTCGGCAGCAGTATCTTTTCAATCCAAGGGCATCCAAAGCGTCACCTTCAGCGTATTCAGCCTATATTTATATTCGTAAACATGCTCCTGCTATAATTTAAATCGACCTGTAGCAATTGCAAATATTCCTCCCACTTATTCCCGACGACTTTTCCGCAGGTGAAGCATCGAACGGGAATGATCATTCTGAAGTTCTACACCCGTTTTTATGTGTTTTTTTTGTTCTCAGCGGTTTATTCTGTACAGAGAGAAGAATGGTTCACGAGAACTGCAATTTACTTGGAGACTTTCTTGGCGGTCTGTCCCTCTCGGAATCCGTTGCTAAAAGAAAACGTTAGTTGAGTTAGGAGGGGGCAACCTTACTGGAATCGTCGGTTGACATCCTTCAGGTGCTTTGCTCGACCGGTTCCGGGAGCAGTTCGTCTCTTGGCCTTGGTGGACCAGTTGAATCGGCCTCGCTAAGATAAGACGTCAAAATTTGATCGCTTCAAAGTAGACTTACTCGAGAGTCTCGCTTCTTCTGGAGATGGTAGGCTCGTCGACCGGTGATTCGGGAGATGATATGGGTCTTATCATTGCGAGTACCGCGGGAGGTGGTACCTTTGGTCATTTTCTAGTCCTGTTACGGTCTGAAATTAAGTATTTTAAGAGGTTAATGAACTTGCTCGAGCTTGAATTGAGCTGAAGGAAAAAAACTCTTTTGAGCAGATAACATTACACGAAAGAGAAAAATGACAGAGTGTTGAAAAATAAAGGGAGGAGGGCAGTTGGCGAAGTTAATATTGAACAGTAGGCGATTACTGTGCAATACGTTTCGATATAAGAGGACCCGAGTGGTTTGTTGAGGTTTTTATCTTTGGTTGTTGTAGCCGCCTCGGCCGCCACCACGACCACCTCCACGGTTACCACCGCGGCCACCTCCTCGGTTGCCGCCACGGCCGCCGCCTCGGTTGTTTCGGTTGTTCTGGTCGCGATTTCGGTTCTAAATAATAGTAAAATTGAGGCTTCATGCGTTTTTTCTACCTTGGCGGCCTTCATTCTTGCAGTATTTTCCTCTTTAACCATATCGATAACTTCGTCGGGAATTCTGAGGTACTTGATAGTGGATCCTCTAACGTAGCATTCGTTCATCCTCCAGAAATGATCACCGTCTCGAGATGTGCAGATAACTTCCTAAAAAGATTCGGTTAGTCTTCCTTAATTTCAGTGAGTCCCTTACCCTGAGTTGGAGGTTCATCCAGTTATCACAATTGACCAAGTGTCCATTGTATGTTTCACCATTTTTCAGCTCCACCAACATAGGGTGATTAACTGCTGTTTTCAGCAGAGAGAGCGGTAACATTTTCTAAAAGATAGACCGGTTTCAATTTTGAAAGTTTCATGAACCCAATATTTATTCGATGAAGAATGCGGTGGGTGATAATTTTGATTTGCATGTGTCACGCAAGTTGAATTCTTTGCCACGCACGAGAGTTTTAGTTTCAAAGACTTTTGTGAATAAAAGCGATAGGGGGTCCGATGAGGGTTTAACTGGATAATGAAGAAGCTACAAAAGGGACATGTCCTCTCGGTTCTGACACAGTGCCCGGGGCGAGTTGGTCGAGAACTAACAAAAAAACTAAAGTTTGAGGGAGTCACCAATTGTAGCAGCTGAGTTTTGTGATTTCAAGAATGTCAGAGCAAGAACTCCTTGAAATGACAAAGATGAACATAATTTCCCTAAAGGTTGACATGAGAATGACAGGTATTTTGTCAGGAGATGAACACTGCTAGAGCTCTGGGAACTCAAAAAGAAGAGGATACCATACTGATTTTACCAGTAGGCGCCGGGTCAATCGACTTAGTATGGTGTTAATTTTTGGAAAAGGAAAAAACCTTAACCAGAGTCGAGGCTAGTAGCCACGTTACTGATCGGAAAAACCTTTGGCCTAAATAATAATCTCTAGGATTTTTTTGAAATCGAAACAAAATTTTGGGTTATGCCTGCGCTCGTCCTGGGCGATCACAATTGGTTTCTGTTCCGGCAGTATATAATATACAAAAAGGGTGAGCCAGAACAGAACGCGTTTCATTCAGTTTTCCATCGTCTGTGATCGGGCCCGATACACTCAATAAGGTCCACCGATTGGGTGCTAATGCACGACATTCAGCCGAGGACGGGCAGGAGGGTAGAGGGGTTCGGATTTTGATACGTTAGATTTTACAAGCGTTAAATAACAGGAATAGTGAACAGTTGAGGCGAAAGAGCGCATAAGATGTTTGAACAACGGTTACCAACTTTGAACTATTAATAAGACTACATAGGAAATGGGAAAATTCTAGGAGAACGCAAGGGGGCGAGGAGGAGGGTACAGGATGTCGCGACAATGGGATTTCAGGGGAAATAATTATCGAAAATGTTATAGATATTGCATTTTAGGCTTTGGAGGGATCAAAATGGGAAAATAAAACATTGAAATCAAGGAAGAGTACGGTGAAACATTTTTGAACCCCTTTCCTAAAAAGCATGAAGCTTTTGACATAAAAACTTAGAGAAGATCGGCGATGTTCATTGGCATCTCTTCAATAGTGGTGTTGTAGAACTGCTCAATGTCCTGGAGAGTTCGCTTGTCCTCCTCAGTGACAAAGTTGATGGCAGCACCCTTACGACCGAATCGACCACCTCGACCGATACGATGGATGTAGTTTTCTCGGTTGGTTGGGAGATCGTAGTTGATGACAAGGGAGACCTGCTGGACATCTGAATTCATTCGTCAGCATTTTAATAAGATAAGACACGAGCAACTTACCGATACCTCGAGCCAAAAGATCGGTGGTGATGAGGACTCGGGATGAACCAGTTCGGAACTCTCTCATGACCTGAATGGATAGTTAGTCATCTCAAAAAGGAGTCAAACTGCACCTGTTCTCGGTTCTTCTGGTCCATGTCTCCGTGCATGCAGGAGACAGTGAAATCACGTCTGTTGAGCTGCTGGGTGAGCCATTCGACCTTCTTTCGAGTGTTCAAGAAGATGACACACTGGGTGATGGTGACGGTCTCGTAAAGATCGCAGAGAGTTTCGAGCTAATTCACGGATTAAACAATTCAATAATGCCGTTGATTACCTTCCAGTCTTCCTTTTCAACATTGACGTAATACTGTTTAATACCTTCAAGGGTAAGTTCTTCTTTCTTGACCAAAATTCTGATGGGCTCTCTCATGAATCGCTTGGTGACATCGAGAATTTCAGTGGGCATGGTGGCGGACAGAAGCACGACCTAGGCACAATGAAAATCCGATAAGAATAGGGATGAGTACCTGGATGTTTCCGGGAAGTGTTCGGAAGATATCGTAAATTTGGTCCTTGAAACCTCGCGAAAGCATTTCATCGGCCTCATCGAGAACGAAAATCTTGATGTCTCGGGGATCGATGACCTGAGAGTGTTATCAGATAATACGGATCTTCATCGAGTACCTTTCTAGTGATCATATCGAACACTCGACCGGGGGTACCGACAATGATCTGCTGAGGCTCGGACTGGAGTCTCTGGATTTCGACTTTCATGTTGTTGCCACCAACACAAGCGTAACAGGAGGCGCCCATGTAGTCACCAAGGGAGAGAACGACCTGAAATTATCTTCTATGATTCCTTATTTATACTGATAAGCTACCTTCTGGATCTGCTGGGCCAATTCACGGGTGGGGCCAAGGATGAGGGCCTGAGTGCAAGCTCGGTTAACATCGATCTGCTGGAGACAAGAGATAGCAAAGGTGGCAGTTTTACCAGTACCGGACTGGGCCTGAGCGATGACATCGTATCCTTTGGTGCAAGGGACAATAGCTCGCATCTGGATGGCGGACGGCTTCTCGAAACCATACGAGTAGATACCTCGGAGAAGCTGCTGGTCGAGGGACATGTCATCGAAAGATTCGCAGACTTCGTCCCAGTTGGACTCAATCAAACCGTCTGGGTTCATGCCCTCAGCACCGCCATCGTTGGAGACGACTTTCATTTCTAACGAAGAAGATAAGTAACTATTTTCCGGGAAAGAAAGCTACCTCGCTCTTCTCGGGGTTCCTCCTCTCGTCGATCATCTCGTCGGGATTCTTCGTATCTTCTGTCATCATATCTATCTCTGTCGTCTCGGCGATCGTCGTATCGCGATCGGTCATCATATCGTCGATCGTCATATCGGTCGTCATGTCGACGATCGTCATAACGGTCGTACGCGCTCATTCTTATCTGAAAAGTCAGAAAGTTAGTTTCCTCAATTAAACCATCGTTTTAATCTGGTCAAAAGTAACGGCCATGCTTGCAATGGCTGCGAGTTTTTCATCCTCTTCCTCCTTCGTTATTTTCTTTCGCTTCTTTTTTCTTGAAGGCTCTTCATTCAAATTTATCAGAGCTCCGGAAGAAACTGAAAGTAATGTTCAGGAACCGCGTTCACATGTGAGTCAATAACTTACTCATCCGTAGGCTGGGGCACTCATCGAAAAGCCTTTCTTGATCTGCCAGCCTTTTGTTGGTTTTCTTCTTGGGCTCTCGGAACTCGAAGGTATTCTCGCTCAACTGTTGGAGAAGTTCTGCCAATCGCTTGTACTGCTGTGGACTGAGCTCGATGTCTTCATATGGACCGACCTAAGTGGAGATTGGACGCGCTAGAAAGTTGCCGATGATTTACCTTGATGATTTGGGTCTTGATTTTGGACATCTTTTTATTGCTCTCTTTGATCATCTCGGAGGTTACGCAGGCGGCAAGGAGTTTAGCTCTCATTTCATCGTCGCTATCTGAACTTGTGTCGGAGGAGCTACTTGTTGAATCTTTTCGTACATTTTTCATTCTGAAAGGTAAATGTTGTCAACCTCCTCGAAGAATTCAGTCCGGGCAATTTATCCTTCTCATAAGCATTTTTTCACATACAGGGCAATTCAGGAGCAAAATCAAACTTCATCTTCATTCAAGAGCATGTTTGGGATGCCATTCTTTACCGGAAACTCTCGGCCGGATTCGGGACAAACAAGTTTGCCTTCAACCAATTCAACTTCAATCAGAGCGTGATGGATCGCCTTCAGGATGTCTTCGTTGTTTTCATCTTCACTTGGGCAGTCTTTGGGAAGCTTACCGTCGTGGCCAAGCCAGGCCATTGCCTGCTCTAGTAAAATGTGTATTACAAGAGTTCTTAAAGAGAAATGCGAGGGCTAGGTTCAACAAAATCGCCCGAAACCAAGATCGGGTTTTATCGGGTTTTTTAGGAGATCGGGTTTTGTTGGATCGGGTTTTGTTGGATTTCATCGGGTTTTTGTCGGGTCCGAAATCGGGTTTTTATCGGGTTTTTGTCGGATTTTTGTCGGGTTTCCAACGAGCAAAAATTTAAAAAATCAAGTCAAAAGAAGGTCAAAAACTTGTCTTGGGCGGTTTTTCTTTGGTCAACGACAATTTTCGAGTATCATTTCTAATAATATTTAGATTTTTGTACATTTTCCCATTGTACATCTCCTTATACAATAAAAACGCCTGGTCTAATACGGTCAAATATGCCATGGGCTTGAAAATAGTGGGAGTCAACCTAAAAGACTGTTCTACTAAAGCCTTCAAGCTCAGGCGGTCTCTGAAATTCTGTCCTCGAAATGGATCGCCGATTGCCAGGGACATCGCCGAATTTCATTCTCTTGCCAGAAGATTATCTTTGGTAAGATTGATGTGAATGTCCTCTAGAGCTCGTTCTCTACCTTTTACCGGTTTCGGAGGCAGTTCTCATCTATTTCGAGTGCATTTTGAGTAAAAAAGGGCAAGGGAGGCTTTTCAGACCGACTGTGATTGGCTGAAAAGGCAAGAAAAACCCGACGAAATTCCGACAAAATCCGACAAAAACCCGATCCTACGTCGGGTTTTGAAATTTTCAGGATCGGGTTTTGTAGGGTGAAAAAAAACCCGACAAAACCCGATAAATATCCGATCCGATATCGGGTTTTCCGGGCATCGGATTTCGATTTGTTGAACCTAGTGCGAGGGGAGGAGAAACTTACGAAGAGCCTCGTACTCAATTCGTCCAAGCATTCGTCGGATAAAATCCGGGTTGAATTCCTAGAATAACGATAAGGACGCCGTCAGTCGTTGGCATTTTACCTGCTCCACAACTCGGACATTCTCGGGTTTGATGAGAAGAGGAAATCGTCGGGTAATTCCCTTAACGTGGCTTTGCATCATGTTGTGAGTCAAGAGCTTCATCGTTTCTTTCTAAACGAACCAGGGTGAAAATTCTTATTTTTCTGAAGAGTTTCTTTGAACTGGTATTGTGCTAGAACAGATAGATACAGGCAGGTTGCTTGGAGGTTTACTCGTCTGGGATGTCGAGCTCTTCATCAAGATCGAGATCGCCCAAGTCCTCGAAAAGGGACTCGTCGACTTCGACTTGGTTGGCGATAGCGAGCTTGACGTCTTCATCGCCTCCTGCTTTCTTTGAAAGGAAGAGTTGTTTACCTACAGAACCGTTACTGCTGGGCAGAGAACCTTCCTCGCTCACCGGTCATTCGCCCTTTTAATTCTGCCTCCCGCTTTTTCTGTTCGGCTGATTTGAGCGATTCGAGTTCAGCGTCAAACTTTTCCTTCCATTTCAAGAAAGATTCGACTGTAACTCTGGTACCCTCGAATTTCTTTCGAGCAGCTTCCTCTTCCTCCCGCTTTTTCCTTTCTTCTTCTTCCTTTTTCCGTTTTTCCATGGTATCAACGAGGTCATTGAGATAGTCCTGAACACCGCTAGAATTTTTTGTAAGAATCGCTTTCGAAAAAGAATCTGTACCTGATGACAGTAAAACAAATCTGCTCGCCAAGTTCTTCCTGGCAAGTTTCGCGGATAAACTTTTCGATGCCAACGCAATCTTCTGGATCGATGTTTTCAAAGTCAAGAACATCGCATTCTAGCACAGCGTTGGGGTACTCTTCTGGTAACTGGAGGCGGAGTTCAACCCTTATCTGAGCATAATAGAACTGTGATGGAAGAAAGTAAACTTACTGTAGTTGATTCTCCTCTGTTTCAGATTCTAACTTGATGCTAAATGAAAGTAGGTCGCCGTCATGGCGCTCGATTTCGGGATAAATGGATTCTAGAGCTTCGTATTCCTCCTCCTGCTCTTCCGAAACCATTCTAGCGTGAAGAAATCAATAAACTTGCCTCTTTTTAGTGATTAAATACTGAATTAAATGAATTTTACTGTACCATACAGGAGATAAAACTTTGAAATGGATTGCGCTTGACCAAAAAATTGTCTTTTATAAATGGGCAATATTTTCCAATAAGTTAGAATGTTGATAGAAAGAATTTTTTAAAGAATTGTTACTGGAAAATAGCCTGAAGAAATAACGGGTTGACAGAAATAAATGGTGAGGAGTTAAAGTTGAAGATATTTGGTTTAAAAAAAAACTTGGAAATGGTGTAATTAGGTGTTTTAAACATCGTCAAATAAAGAACGATTAGGTCTGCTGGAAGAGGACCCTTTCGCCCCAGAGTCCCAGTGTTCGTCGCCGGAGTCGTTATCTAATTTATAATTCTTGAGAAGCGTTTCACATTTAGTGTTAGCTACAGCGAAAGATTGGAAAATTCAACACTGATTTTCCACCGAGTTAAAAAAATCAAGGATGATAATAATGGTAGTAAATGTAAGCCCCACAAAGCTTATTTTCAAAGCAAAAATAAGCTGATAATATTTCCCCATTGAATTTCACCACATGCACCAGAGATAAATGGAGTAAATGGGTATGACCGAACTTTATACCTTTCAAAAGTGAAACGCGTTCCTCATTCACCCGGTCCCAGTTCGCCGAGGAGAAGGACTCGTTATGAGCGGTAGATGAAGATGCACGCTCTGTGTAATTGCGCTCATCCTTTTTTGTCTCGCGCTCGATCCGTCTTTTCTCTTCAAATTTTATTAATCCAACGGGAGAGGAGGAAAAGATCTTACCTCGGTTGACAAATGCCTTTCCCTCTTCCATAAGATCAGTGGTGAGCTCGTCGGATTGGAGAAACTGCGCGAAACCGATAGAAGAGAGGCAGCGAGTGCCGAGTTTGAAGTACGTTCCAGTGCAGAGGAGGACGATCAGAATGGGGAAATAAATAAAGAAGCGATCGCTTACTAGAAACAGCTAGATATTGGTCGAGTCATGAAGCTCTTACTTAAACTAAGATGACCCATCAGGTCGGTGTAGGCGACGTCAACGAGTTCCTCGCCATCGGTGACGCCGGAATCCATATGGATTAGACAGAGAAAGTTGAGACACAGTGGAGGAGTGAGCCGGCAAAGAAACATGCCGATAAAGAGCAACGAGTAGTCGTCAGTTTGGTGATTTGGCGCGATGTAATAAATATTAAAAAGCTATAAACATTCTCAATTATCGAGAATCGCTGAAATCGACAAACCTTGATCTGGAAAAGAGTCCAGTACGCACAAAGACACAAGTAAGCAATCGTGATGAAACAAAACAGCTCCAAGTTGAAGTAGTTTTTGACTGAAGCCCAGTGCCGCACTAGAATGGCGAAAATACTGAGAGTCGGGTTTTGCATCGAAAATGTACATTCCGACCAAATGACCATCGCCGAAAAGAGGCCGAAGAGGATCGAAAGGAGCTTCATCACGTGCGAGCGGAAGATGCAACGCCACCACCATTTCAAAGAAGATGGCAATAAAGAGCTTTCATCTCTTGTTGAAAAGGTTAGTTGATGGATAATTGGATGCTTTCTTACATTGAGTAGTGACTTTTCCAAGTACGATCCGCTGAGAGGCGATTTTTAATTACATCTTCGCTGTACAAAGCTCGTTGAAGAAAGAGTTTGAATTGTGTTTGAGTTCTGTTTTCGCGCTGGAGCGCTTTGTTGAGCTTTTTATGAAGACGGATGAGAGTACTGAGAGGTTAGTTTGATAATTTTGGCGGAAGAAAATGACCTACCGTTCGCTGGGCATAAGATCTTCATCCGGTCCGTTTTGCGATTCCTCTCTTGCCACTTCTTCTTGAAAATGTCCAGGACACTTTTTTAGGATTGTGTTCACGTGCTCCCTGAGCATATGGCCAAATGGAACTCCCTTCGATGCCTTTTTCACCTCTAGTAGGATTTGATCAAGCTCTTCTGTCGCCTCATGCTTGTCTTCTGTGACTTTTGCGAGGCTGAAGTATTCCCACTCGAGCTGATGCTGAATATTCGAACGGTACCAACAGGAGCGCGGCAGTTCTACGAGTCCGTAGCCGAGAAGAAGGACTATTTTAAAATTATCGGAGGAAATTTAGCGATGCAAAGTTACCTAAGAGAAAGAGACCCCAAGTATTCGCCGCTTGAATGGCCATTTGTTTGAGGGCTGATACTCCCTGGTCCTGGAAGAGATGCGCCGCCAGGGCGTAAATCAATAGGATGAGAATAATCACCACATATGTTCCGTAGTAAATCGCATTGTCGATCAGCGCGGTTCGAGCTTTCGCGAGCACGGAAAATTCACCCGCCTGGACGTAAGCAGACAAAAACGGGATCAGCAGCCAGGTGAATAGTTGCGTCGTCCAGTACACCACTTTGTACAGTCGAGGGATCACAGTTCCATCTACGTAAGAAACTGGCTTGATGCATTGCGAAGAAGGATCGACGGTTGAAGTACTTGCGCTGGATTCTTCGAGGATTGGGACGAGTTCTCGCTTCTTTCGAACTTTTCCATAATCATCTAAGGGTCCATATCTTGAATAAGGTCGCTCTTCGTCGAGAACTTGGCCATTTTGGCTGTTTGGAATTTCGGGAAAATCGACTGGAGAGTCGGTCGCGTTGATCACCGGCGCGGTAGTCGTGGTGGGCTCGGCGTCTGATAGACATTGGCGGTAGAAGGTTGCGGAAACGTCGTTTGGAAGAACAGTAACGATACATAGAGAGAAGTACCAAGCAATAAATACAGCTTTTGATCGGTTTTTTTAATCATTTTTACGATTTTTCAAGAAAATGAAAAAATTGGTAAGATCCTTTTGAATAGTTTGGGCTCTTTGTGATTGAAAAAACCTGCCTAAAACAACACCTGGAGTAGATTTCCTCAAATTGCCATATTTCCAAAGCATTCCAGCAGCGAGTAGAAACGCCCCAGCCAGCTCAAATGCCAGCGTGGCGACCGCCATGGCCAGATAATCGTCAAACTTGACTGAAGCTCAAAGCGATTGAACGAAGTTGGAGGTGATTCCAGCGCGCATGCTTCCGAACCAGTTTCGTCAGTGTCGGATTTCTCTATCTCACTGCGTCAAAATTGACCAATGGCGAGCGCCCGACGGAAAAATAAATCACCCAGCCAGAGTCTCCTGGCGCTGCAACCGGACCCAGCTCGGCGCGCTGATTGGTTAGTCAAAGACGATTACGTCATCGCTCGGGACGCGCGCGAGACCAAAAAGAAAACTCACACGCCGCCAGTCGTCGACTCGAAAGTCGAGTTCTATCGAGTTTTACGAGTAGAAAAGTGATAAAGGAAGATTATTTTCTGAGAGGAATTAGGTAAGAAGAAACATTTGAGATACGAAAAGAGGATGAAAGGACGAAGGAGAAATTATTGAAACTCAGAAATTATTATTTTGAAAAAAATATTTTATATTAGATTTTACTGAAAAAATCAAAGCAAAAAGAAATAACAAACTAAAAAAATTCAGATAAAAACTATTTACTAGGACGAACACTTTAAAATTATCTTGAGTAGCATTTTCGTGGGTGTTCTAATCGAAAACATCGTGTTTCTATTGGCCAGTTATCTTCGAATTCAGCTTTTTTTCGCTACTTTTTCCAGATTCGTATGTTTTCGTCTTGAAGAATCATCAAATTTTCAGATTTTCATAATTGAGAGGAACTTTTTATTCTAGCCGATTCGCGAGATTCTTGCTTTGTAACTTATTACTGTTCTTTGACTTGTCAAAATGAGTGCAGAAGACGGAGAAGCTAATACAGAGGAGACTATCCCCACGACTGATTCTGAAATGAATGATTTGGAACTGCAGTCAGAGCTTCCAAATGAGAATGAAGAGGCCGAGTCTCCTAAAAAAGAGGAGATAACGGAGGAGGAAGTTGAGCCAAGACCAGCGCAGGTTCGCCAAGTTCGCGTTTCTTCTAAGACCGCCGATTTGAACCTTGAGATACGCCAAAACGAAGTCAAGTCCGTCAATGAGAGGTTATTAATCGTTTTATTCATTTATCACAGATTCAATTATCATCATTTACCGAGTGAAAATTTTCAACTATTCGAGTGTGAAGTTTTTTGATTACATTGTACCAAAGAAAGCTTTTTTGCTGGTGAAGGGGCTGAATAATCGAAGTTGTCTTTTTTTACAACAGAATCGCTAGAAACTATCGATGATCAATGTAGCAATAATAATCCTGAACATCCTATCGGTCCGTTAAAAATGGAAGGAAGATATGAAAGTCTTTAAATTGCCCGAAAAAGAACAAGGAAAAAACACAGAAGGCCAGAGTTCGATTCACGCATTGAATTGTTGGTAGCAAGTCGTTGTTCTTTTTGACCTTCTGTTGACGAAATATCTTGTCGGGGAATTGAGTCCTAAAGTTCTGCCTTTTTCTTTGATCTAGTATTGTAGTACTTCCGCAGCATGAACTTTGATGACTCTTCGTCGAAAGTATTGCAATCCCCTTTGGAATATCTTGGCATTAAATGATGTTTGCAGGAGATTATCAATGAGACTGAAAGTGTTCCTGAGAACAAGAACACAATGTTGGTCAAAGGTTACGGCCCGTAACTTACGGGCGAAAGTCGTTGACACAGTTTATCACCGAGAAAAATCCAAATATTTCGGAAAATGTCCACAGTTTTCCTTGAAAAACCTTGCAAATTGTCCAAGTTTCGGCAGCACAACGAGGAATATGAACTTTACGAAGGGTCTTTTAATAAATGCTTCCATCCATTTACTATCTTGCACAAATTACTTGAGAGGTAGACATCTGCCTTCGACTAATATCAAAGTATCACAAGCATTATGTGACTGAAAGTTTTCCTGAATCTTTTAAAAGATGAGATCGGAATACTAAGGCTTTTTAGATAAAAATCTACCTAATTTTCTAGCTTTGCTACTCACTAAAATTTAGTGGTCTGATCATCAGACCGTCTGATGACACAATTTTAGATATCCCAGAAGCCTTGCTTTCATTTGGGCACCATATCAAGAGATCTGGGTCACTCGCAAAAGGCAATTAATGGGACCAGAAATTCCGAAACGACCACTAGAACTGTTAAATCGATTTTTTGGTTGCCCGGGCTCACTAGAAATGGCTCTTGAGTAGGTGCGTCCGGAAGGCTTCAGTCTGAGCTTTCTAAAGGCTAATAAAAACGATTAAACACTTCTAGTGCCAATTTCGGAACTTCCGGTCTTATTAATTGCCTCAGGGCTTAATTCAGATCTATTGATATGGTGCCCAAATAAAAGTAAAGCTTCCGGGCTTTCTTAAGCTGTACTATTAGGATGATTTCAGAAAATTTTTTGCGGGCCCGGAAATCATCAAAAAGCTGGTACTGCCTATAAATGCTGAGTAACGTCAGAGTTATCGACGAAAATAAAGTAAATGTTGAGTAAGCGATCTATTTCTGACCGATAGGATGGAAGGAACTTCAATTTTATACTCAATTGCATGAAATTCACTCTTTCAAGGACTAAACTTGCATTTTCCATGTGAGAACGTATATTTTTAGCGCTGTATCACAACTTTGGGGAGGTGCTAAAGCTGACCACTCGTTGAAAGTGGGAAACGGAGGGTTTGAAGTAAAGATCGTCGATTCTGGAGAAGAAGCTCTTCATTGTCGAGTCGGTTGGACTGTCAAGGAATGGAATTAAGATTTTAGTTGTCTTGAAAAATTTTACAGAGGCCCGATTTAGTGGCCCGTTGTACTACCGTGTTCCCTTCTGTATTAAAAAAAGTTCTTTGATAAATGACTTTTTGAGGGCCCTCCCCACGGCTCAATGGTCTAGGGGTATGATTCTCGCTTTGGGTGCGAGAGGTCCCGGGTTCAAATCCCGGTTGAGCCCGTCTTTTGACCATTTTTTCTTTTCAATTCCAATGCAGTCCGACGCAAAAAGCTACTTTCTTCCCCTTGGCGAAAATGAAAACTCGTTCGGTTTTTGTGCTTCTGGAAAGAAGCTCGAGAATGGTCAATCAGCTGATTACGTTAGTGAAGGTTACAAGGCTGGGGATGTTGTTGGATGCTGGATAAGCAAGAATGGGACTACTGTTACGATGAAATTTACTGTGAATGGAGAGGACAAAGGATCTGCTTGGGTAAGTCATTCTTTTACGAAATCGAGTCCTAACGATGAGCTCTAGTCGATGCGCATGGAAGAACATTTGACCTTTGTTCCCCACGTCTTCATAAAAAACTGCTCTCTTGAATTGAACTTCGGTCAGTGCGACAAGCCATTCTCCACGATTCCGGAGAATTTCTGTCTCTTCAACGAGGAGGGTATCGAATGCGAGGAAATCAAGACTGCTTCTCCAACTATTAATTTGTTGACTGCTTTCGTCGGTCTTCCTGGTGCTGGTAAAACAACTTGGATGGAAAAAATGCTGCCTGAAATCATAGAGGTGAGGTTCAAAAAATCAATGTCGATCTCAGTGTTTTTTTACTGAAATCAAGTCTTATTACAAAATTAGGGCCGACCTCGCCCCGTCATCACTGGAACACAGTACCTTGCAGAACAGATGAAAATCTCTGGTCCCGGAACCACTCACAGTACTGAAGATGTCGCGAAATTCAAGAAGGAGAAAGCCATTGAAGCCCTTCAAGTGATACTGAAGAAAGCCATCGCCGCTGGTCGTGATGTAATTGTCGATGATTGTAATACCCTTCCGGTTCAGCGACGCACTGTCTTTGCTCCCTTTCAAAAAGCTGGTTACTACTGTCAGGCTATGATTGTTGTCCCGAAAGAGGAGGTACGCGTTGAAAGAATGGCATTGAAAGTCGCAGCTGGAGAGCTTGAGTTTCCAGAAGCTGAGCTGAAGAGAATGAAAGCAGAGTTTTTCGCGCCTGAAGGAAATGACGGTGTCTTCAATAAAGTAAAGTTTCTTGAACTTGAGCAAGAAGAAGCGACAAAGCTTGTGGAGGAATACAACAAGGAGTTCAAAGAATTCCTGAAACCAAAAGAACCAGTCGTTGATTTGACTAAACGAGTTACTCCTCCAGTTGACCGAAAACGCTCTAGATCTAAGTCTCCAGCTCGTAGACGTCGAACGCGAACACGATCGCGCAGTCGAGATCGTTCACGTCGACGAGATCGAAGTCGGGATCGTAGTCGAGATCGAAGTCGCGAAAGACGTCGACGCCGTTCTCGTTCGCCCAGGGATGATCGCCGTAGACGTTCTTCGCCACGAAGGGATGATCGACGCAGAGACCAAAGTAATGATTATGGTCGCGGAGGAAGGCCCACTGATCGAGGACCTCCACGAGCTGACGGACCTCCCGCGTGTCTCAGAGGAGTCCGCATTCCACGAGGCTTGAAATTCGTAGTTCAAGTTCAAGAACGGGCGATTGCAGCGCTGGATATGTATGCCAAGAATATGAAGTCAGTAGCTCCCGTCTCCGCAACTCGAAGCATGGATCGCCTCTCATTAAATCGATCCAACGACTCTCAGTCAAATTATAAACGGCGAAGTGAAGCGAGTTCTGATCAAGCGTGGGATCCTCGTCGTGATGATCGAAGGTCTGATTCTCGATCAAGTGCTGAGCCACGCAGCGAATATGCTCGCAAAAGTTTGGACCATGATCGCAACAATCGCGGATATCGGGATGAGCCCTCTTCTCAAACTAACATGTCCCGAAATCAGGGAGATCCTAGACGCAGTGCAGGCAGCTATCAGCAATCGTCACGAGAAGGACCTCCTTCATCGAATTTTAATCAGTCTTCCAGGCCCCCGATTGATAATCAGAAGTTTGGTCGATCAGACAACTCTTATCCAAACAGGGAAAATGACCAAAGAGGAGATCAACGAGGAGCAATGGGTGACCCTCGAAATGATCCAAGAAACGCCCCCAGAAATGATTCTCGCGTAGATCAACGAAACGATCCTAGAAGCGATCCAAGGAATAATTCCCAATATGACCCTCGGACCGCTCCTCGTAATGACTCTGGAAATGACGGCTGGAACGCTCCTCAAAACGATTCCAGAATGGGTTCAAGAAACGATCCTCGAAATAACTCAAGAAATGATCCTCGTGATGATCCTCGTGATGATCGATCGAACAAATCTCGAAATGATCCTCGAGGCGATCCTCGACGATCTCAAGAAGCAACTTATGGAAATGGAGGGAACAAACCTACACCAAGATCCAGCTCCGGTTATGATAAATACGATCCGTCAGAGCCTACTCAAAACAGTTCTTTCAATTCTTCATACAACAAGGATCCTTACAATGACTCTCAGCGGAGCAATCAATCATACGGGGCGTCTCAAGAATCAAAGAGCTCTCATGACTCACAAAGAGATTCCAATCCCTACGCATCGAATCCATATTCTTCAAACGACCGAAGCACAAACTCATACTCTTCTGGTCGCAACTCGGCTGACCAAGGCAACTCGAACCCATACAGGGACAATCCATACAATCGAACACCGGTATGTTCATATTATTGGAGTATTGGCAATACTGTATTGCCAATAATAACCATCAGATCATAAAATTATCAACGTGTCGTTATCTTTCGTGCAATTATTCAAGAGATATTTTAGACGAATGAACGAAGAAATGGGGACCAAAATAATGCCTCGTACGAATCTCCTATCCCTAAAATTCCGTACAGGTAATGATTGATTAGAATAAAAAGAGGGCTTAGTACAATTTCTAGTTCGAATCCGTACGATCGTCCACCTCCCCCTCGATTCCAGGAAGACCCACGAAAAGCCCAAAAACGGGCAAATGAAGAAACCGAATATATTCCTTCCACTGTTGATAAATTCATGAAGGTAGTTCGTCGCCAAGGAATTTAAAAGTAAAGCAAACAATTTAGTCGAATATGACGAAAGATGAGGTCTTCGCTGATCTCAAAGCGAAACTTTTCGAAAATCCGTCCGTCCAAACGAGTGCCAGCGGTGTTCCTCCGCCAAGTAAACGTCGCGCGCATTCGCCTCCTCGTTCTCGATCTCCACCTCAATCTTCGAACTACCACGATTCTCCAGGACGCGTCTTTGGCGGAAACCAGCCGCCGCCTCAGCTCTCAAACAACGATTCTTACGACGACATCATTTCCACACTGCCACGTGCCGCCCAAGAACGCGCGAAAAACATGCCAGCCCATTTACCACCAGAGCTCGTCGTGCAAGAGGTGAGATCTTTTGAAAGTTAACTTTACGATTATTTGCCAATTCGCGCCGAGAATAGTTTCCAAGTGCAATAAATTGATATTATTAGCGATAATGGTCGTCCATATTTAGTGAGAGAATATTTCAGGCTACGAAGCAGCCAGAACGGCCTGGTTATCACCACGACAATGGTCCGCCAATGCATGACATGGGCCATCAACGAGGAGGATTTAACGGCCCTCCGAGAGGAGGTGGCTTCGACAATGGTTTCCGGGGCCGTGGCGGATTCCGAGGACGAGGCGGATTCCGTGGCGGCGGATTCCACGGTGGCTTCGACAATGGAGGCTTCCGAGGCCGAGGAGGTTTCCGAGGTCGGCCACCATTCCGAGGACGTGGCGGAGCTCACTAATTTAAAGTTCACCAATCATTTACCCTGTAGCGAAATTTTTCTGTACAAAGTTTTTATTTTATGCTACTGGAGAGATTATGATATCATTTGTACTAAATAACGCTAGGAAATATTTGCATAATACATATTTGCTCAGATTAGACGTGATTTCTTTTAGACAGTTATCGCGACTGCATTAGATGAAAATATGGAGGAGATCAAGACGATATCATTTGCCGAAGACGAAATGAAGCACATTCCTCAACAGCTGGAGGAGTTTTCTTTCCCAGCGATCCTCGAACTCAACGTCGGTGGGAGCAATTTCACAACATCGTAAGATCTATTAAAGCAGTTTTGAGCATAAAAATGTTTCTAGGTTGTCGACAATGCGGAAATATAAGAGCATGTTTTCCTCCATGTTTAGTGGGAAATTCGAAGTCGTAAAAGACGCAAATGGGCGATATTTTATCGACCGAGATCCAGAAGGAAAGAGATAAAAACACACCCGATGCTTGAGAAATTCGGAAGCATTTACCCTCTTGCAAAAGTTTTTTGCCATATTCTCGACTTCATGCGCTCCGATGCTTTACCTCCCAGATGCCATTTCCTGAAAGTGTATAATGAAGCCCTCTACCTCTCATTCGACTACCTCATTGGTATGGTTTGCCTTTTGGAGAAGGATTTTAATATTCTTTTAGAAAAATTGTCAGTTACGCAGCCAGTAGCTGGAAAACTAGTCCGTGATTGTTTTCTGCGAGGTACAGGTAGTGTACAGACTGGTGTTGTGTAAGTTATGATCTTGACGTTCGATTCAATATCATTCTATTTCACCTCTCTGTACTCGAATATGTCTGGTATCATCGTATTCTTAGGATCTTTGAAATACAGCCAAAAGTTTGACGAGCTCATCCGACTTGCAAAAGAAATGGCCCTTGCACAGGGTGGTGCCAGGAAGTCAAAGATGAAAATTGCGGTTTTCAAAGACAAAGCCGAAAACATGACTGAACATAGGTGCGATGTGGATCTCGAGTTCGGACCATGGCAAGGCGATCCCAATGTGCCAGATTTGACACGGTTTTATCATCCTAAATATCTTAAAAATAACTCTAAATAAAAACCGTTTGAAAGATCCACTGCCTTATGGAAGACCTCAGAAGCCTTGGCTACACCAATACAGAAGCACATTGCGTTGGAATCTGTGATGAACCACTTCTTGAGAAAGATTTCGGTTACTGTCGCAGAAGCCTCTATACAATAATCATCCAGTGGTGGTGAAAATCATTCCTTCTTCTCTTACGACCTCTCCTGAAACACAACAAAATACTAAAAGAAACATAATCGCATATTTTATCCGTGTCATACTTCCGACTTTTCCTTAAGTTCCATTCATATTCAATAAATTTCATTGTTCAAAAAAATGCATCAGAGTCTTCTTTCTCTTCATTCAAGCAGGATATTTTGCAAGGCATTCCAGGCAGTTTTCCTAGCACATTCCTAGACCATGACGCCTCGATAATTAGACGACCCTTTTAGCCGGCATATTATCAGTAAACTTTTAAATAGGGCAGGTTGTCGACGAGAGGATGTGACTCCACGCAGCGCTCGACTTTGCTGATGGACAAGCTTTTCAGGTGGCGCCCTTCAGTCGAGCAACATTTAACCGGCGCTGACACGGCACACTTACCGCAGAATAAAATTCTGAATTTTACATTCACCAGGCCACCAGCTGCAAATAGACTTTTTTAAAGATGACCACTCGACCACAGGGATACGGACTTACCCGAGAACTCGCTGAGAAGAATGCTGCAAAATACTCTGTCGAGGACGAGGTACTTTTGTTTTGATATTCAACCTAACTTGAAATCATAAATGAAAATGATTGATTTCGCGTTATTGAAGAATCTTCATGGATACTCAATTCTCGCAAGAATTCAAAAGAAAAGAGCTGTGTCCACACAATCTGTGCAAATATTTGCCAGAAACTACCAGCAAAAGACGAAAATATGTACGTCAATAATTTCTTTAGGTAGAAATCGTCCAGTGGATCTGCGATGTTACCAGTGTTCCTGCTCCCTCTGCTCAGGGACCAGATGCATTCAAGGACTTCCTCAGAAGCGGCGTCGTCCTCTGCACCCTCATGAACAGTCTGAAAGAGGGCTCCTGCCGAAAGCCACACGATACTTCCAAGACAAAGCTCGCTGTAAGTTGAAGCTTGTTCATTTCAAATCGTGCTTTGTTGAAAGTGCTCCGTGAGCTTGAGATTAAATCGTTGTTTAGGCTCTGCGACAGAACAAAGAAAACGAAAATATTTCATTTTTCCTTTCTGCTGCTGAAGCATACGGATGCAACAAGGCCGATCTTTTCCAGGTAGTCAACGATTTAATGATACATTCGCTAATTTTTTTGAAAGACTGTCGATCTTGTTGATGGAACCAACCTTGCTCAGGTTCAATCCACTCTTTACAAACTCGGCGGACAGGCTCAGAAGCAAGGCTACTCCGGTCCTACTATCGGCATCAAACAGGGTTCAGAGAACAAGCGAGAGTTCTCCGAGGAGCAACTCAAATCTGGCCAGAATATCATCGGCCTCCAGGTTTTATAAATGCGTTTTTACTCATTTTTACGTTTATTTTTTCTTTTAGATGGGATCCAACCAGGTCGCCAGTCAAAAAGGCATGTCCGCATATGGTGCCACTCGACAGATTGTAAACAACACACAATGAGAAAATATTCTTCTGGTTAACCAATTTTTCACTGGGACATGTTCGTAATAAATTTAGCCATTTTCAAGATAGCCGTCAGGCCGCCGCTTTGAAGGATTGTGAATTTATAGATTTAACATTTCAAAAAAGACTCGAAGACACGTTTCATTTTGATTAAATCATGACCTCTCGTTCACCATTTAAAATTTTTTATTGTAAGACTTGTTACGAGCCACTAATTCAGAAAATGTGAAATTTAAAAAATCTTTGTTTATGAAAAGTTCAATGAATAACATTTGCGCCGTCGAATTCCGGCCCCTGGATATGTTCCATCACCGTTATCGAATCTCCGAAGCAGAATATTATCTCACTCAAGGTTCAGCGAGAAAATAATGACGTCGAGTTTTATCGGCTGCATTCTTACGTGCACGTTTTTATGCATCTGCCTAAACATTGGCTTTTTGTACGTGATCTTTGAACAAAAGAGAAGCTGCGATCGAGTGGTGGCGGAGTTGGAGTTTGAACTTGAGGGATATTTTCAAAGGAGGATATCGAATGATTTTACAGATTCTTTGCATGTTCCCAGTCACAGGAATGTGGCTAAAAATCAGGGTAAGAAGCTCTCATGTCCAAAATTAGACCATAATCTAACTGTGGGAAGAATTCGTAACATTTGAGAACCCATAAAAATGAATAAAACCGAGTTCATTCAGAAAGACTACCTGCACCTGCTCCGCTCGTAGACCGTTCACAAAGGCCCGCTTCCGCTGACTCTTCTCCGCTCAATCTCCCGTCATTAGCGGGCAATAAGCCTCCAGTAAAAGAGCCGATACAAAAGGCACCGGTGAAGAAGTCCCAATCACCGAAAGAAGAACGTGAGATGTTGAAACAATTTGCTGATTCAATTCCTGACGCACCAGAGCCACATTTGGGAACTACACAGATTCCGGAGTTTGAGGATAGTCAAATTGACCATGTTCCAACTGTCAGAAGTACAGTTGATAATGTCCACGTTGTGAAGGAACAAAAAGAACTTTCTGCTGGAACTCCTGACTTCCTTGAAGAAATTCCTCCAGAGGATAGTTGATAGACATCATTAATGAAATCAAGGAAGAGAAATTTCTATCAGCAAACAGTCAATCGAGCCTGGCCGGCATTTCAAAAAAGAATCCAGAGAACCGGCAGAAGATGAAGTCGGGATACAACCAGAACTGAAAGATTGGGAGCTACCAGAAAAATATGCCACGTCTGAAGATGTTTCGAGTTTTCGAAATTTCGACATCCTTATTCAGCCGAAGATTCACAAGGATGACTTCGGTTTCGCTGTGATGGTCTATTCTGAGCTTTTAGAAGTTGCCAAAAGGCGTGCTATAAGAGAAACATACGGAAGCAAGGTAGTTGAGAGATTGATATAACTTATATCATATAAGATAAATATTTTTGCAGATGAAAGAAGTGGGAGCTACAGTAATTTTCCATCTGGGACGCGCAGAGCAGCCAGTAAATAATATCGAAATTCAAATCGAGGCCGAAGAAAACAACGACATCGTGCAATACGATATCAAGGAGAATGCGTATAACAAGACACTTGTATCACTGATGTCCTTGAAATGGTTTGATAAGGTTCTATCAGATAACACGCCTGTCGTTGTTTTGTCCGACTCAAGGACTTACATTGATATGTCGCAGTGGTCGGAGACTGTCGGTAAGCCTCGGAGAAGAAAGAAAATAATATTTAAACATTGAAGGTCTTGGAGATAATAAACGCGACTGGTCGGTCTGTTCCCAAGTGCGATTCTACGACGAAGTTCAACGAAAAGGAAAATTTGGAGCTTCAGAAGAAATGTATCCGATGGAGTTTTATCCAACCTATTGCCAAGCTGGCTGTTTTGGTCTATCGAGAGATGTGGTCAAAGATATTGTTGAAATGATACCTCAAACTCGATACTTTTACCAGCCTCAGAAATACATCAGGTTAGTCACTAACCGTTAGTGAGAGAAGAATCAACTGATCTATTTTATATTGTCCTTCAGTGGTATTTTACGAAAGAAAACGAATAGAGCACCGCCTAATGCACTCAAAAACGGACCTCTGATGTGCCAACATCTTGATGATATGAGATTTCTTTCGAAAAGATATAATTTGAGCTACAGTTCTGGTTCTATAGAAGGCATGCTGCGAGAAGCACATGAAAGCCTGATGAAATAAATCTTAGTGCACAAATTCTTTGTGATGATTATTCTTTTACGGAAATCGCAAAAATCCAGATTTATCGGAACCGTCTTGCTACAAGTAGATCGTCATCGTAAAGCTCACAAATGACGCTAGTAATGTTTATTTTTTTTCTGACATTCCGCAGTTTTTGCACGTTTCGGGGCTAATAGGATAGCGCTAGGAGAGTTCATGGTTCGAAATCTACTGAGAATTGCAACAGGCTACTAATTGACTGCATTTTCAACATTTCCTATGACCGCTGGAATTATTAAAACAAATAATGTTTTCCCTTTTTTGATGCACCACCGGAGGTGATAAGGAGAGAATAAACACTAACAAAGTGAATATAAACGACGGTGAGCCCTCAGTTTCTCATTCTGAAAGAGAACAGAACAAAAATAAAATGAAGCTTTTTATTCCGCTTCTTGCGACACTTTCCTCAGCTGAAACCGACTGCAACAAAGTCCGACGCTTCCTATACCCAGATGCAGCCGACTGCCCAAATGAGATGAAATGTTCAGGCGAATACGCTTGCTCTGTGGACAAGGACTCTTGTGACTTGTACAAATGCGTTTCTGCTAGTAATTGTCCAACTGGCACTACCTACGCTGTCTTCAATCCTCAAGGAAGCACTGGTAGTGGATCTGGACACGAATCGAACGATGTTGAAGGCTATTTTTGCGACCCTGATGGACTCACCTGCGGTTTCGACAACGATGGAAACTTCTACATCGATGCTGTCGTCAAAAACAGGCAACCATGGATCGACGGACCTGACGATGACGATGAAAAACGCAAAGTTACACTCATCTCTAAAACTAAACACGATCTGCACGTACCCAACACTCCTTTCAAACAATTCCACGACAGCACATGTGTCGGCGAAGAGATCCAAGGTGGAAGTAAAGTCCGATTCACGAAACATGTCAACGATCCATTGTGCAAGGATGAATTCGACTTCAGCCACATTTTCAGTGAAATTAATGGCTTGACCTACATTGTCGACTTTTACATCGGTAATTACTTGACGAGTCGTTGAAAATTTTACCAAATTTATTAGGATTTGACGATTACTGGGTTGTAAACGAGTTTGGTTACGAAGGAATTCTTCGAGGCGGCGTTTCCAACCAATTCCAGTGCCGCTTGAAAGCGTCTGACAATGGCTGGATTGATCCAAATCCAGAATCCAGCAGAGATTACGATTGGTTTGAATATGATGGTGACATCCCCTTCTCATTAACCGCATTCGTCGATCAAGAATTTTCGGAAGAGTACAAAGGAGGAATTATCGAACTTGACGATGATAGCAGAAACAACGGACTCTTTGTGGAAGCTAAACACTACGCTAGCGATGTAAGCGAGCTCGAGTCTCACATCATGCATCTCAGGTAAAATTCAATTCCAGTTTGGTTTTAATTTTCATTTGATTCTAGAGAATGCACAAGCAACAACTTTCAAAAAATCGGCGAAGACGATGCTGGCAATCCCATCTTCGAGGACACTCCCTCTGGAACCTTCGCCTTTTTAAATGATGGCTGCATCGACAACGAAATCTTTTACTACTCACAAAAATCCTCACGAAGTGAGTGGACATCAAAGGCCAACACATACGTGAATGATCAATTCAATTTGAAAGTGATGGATCTCAACGGCGCATGGAAGGTAAAGTCTCTCAGAGTCGATAAAGAGCTCATAACTTTATAGATCAAATACTCCTGCGACATGGTCCTCTGCCCTCTTGATGTCTTCGGGAAAACTAACCCTGGATCACCCTGTCACTTGTCCGAAGTGTGCCCGAATCGATACGACAATCTCTTCCACAGCAGATACGCGAAAAAGTCTCTCGCAAGAAATGACGATAAGGTTCCGATCAAAACGTTCCAAGAGGAGGGAGTCATTCTCTTCTCCGATGCAGCCGACACCGGAAGTGGAACATTTGCGCTTGGATTCAGCTTGGTAAGCCTCCTGATGTTTACTTTTTGAGTTCATCTCTGAACAATCATCTATTTCTCATAATTCTGTACATATTCTATTGGAAAAGCATGCAAAATAAATTAATCTGAAAATGATTTTTTATGTTTTTATTTATTCTGAATTGTATGGTGAAAGTATCGAATGAAGTGGCAATAGGAAAACAAAGAAGAAATAAAGAAATAAATAAAGTCGAACAGTTGACTTCATCAGTGAATGAAAATGAAATTCGAAAGTAAGGTTGCTTAGGAGGTTTCGTCGATGAGTTCTCGCGTGCCGTCAGCGTTGACTCGCCAGGTTCGGTAAACGGTCTGGACTTGTGGCTCAGGAACAACGGGTTCGACGTAGACAGGTTCAACGTAAGCGGGCTCGCAGACGGTTTTGCCCTGGTTCATCATCATGAAGAAGAGGAGAGTCTCGTTGTCGCTGTCGTCGTCCATGAGGAGGAGAGGGAGCATCATATCAGTGCCAAAAGCAGAACCAGGAGCTTGGGACTGCATGGCCATCATGAGAACGAGCATGTCAATGGAACTGTCATCATCGGAATCGTCCATGAGAAGGAGAGGAAGCATCATGTTGAAGTTGTTGTCGAATCCTTGCTGGGTGTTGAGGCCGCCAGTCATCGAGTTGAGAAGAACCATGAGGAGAACAGAGTCAGTAGAGTTGTTGTCATCGTCGAAGAGGAACATCATGGGAAGAATGTTGTCCATGCCAACTGGTGAGTTGCCCATAGATTGCATCATAAGCATGAGCATGAGGTCAGAAGAGGAGTCATCGTCGCCACCGAGAAGCATAAGAGGGAGCATGGAAGCAAACTGGTCATCAGTTGAGGTCTCGCAGTCAGTTTGGAGCATCGACGAGTAAAGGAAGAAGCTGGTGAAGTCGATTCCGTCGCTACTTCCATCGTCGTCGGAGAGAAGGAGAAGAGGAAGGATCGAGTTCATGTCGCTAGTGCTACCGCCTTGCATCATCATCATCATAAGGGCGAGAGAGTTGTCAGTCGAGTTGCCAGAATCGAGGAGCAAAAGCGGGAGAAGATTGTTCATCTGGTTTGACTGATGAGGAGCAACTTGTTGTTGCTGTTGCATCATCATGACAAGGAGCATGTCGTCGAGAGCATAGGCGCAAGTGAAAAAGAGGCCGAAGATATTCATTTTGGAGTTTTTGTGTTTTTTTTCTGTTTTACTCTCTGTTTTTGCTTGTTGTAGTAGAGGAAGTTGATGATTTGATGAGGAAAGCAGAATCGAGCTCGCTTATGAAGGTTTTGCTAGCCCTCAAGTGGCTGACCAGTTGGTTCGAATTCCGCTCCAGTTACCGTGCCGGTCGTAAAAGATCGGTCGATAAGACATGTTTATGCTCATCTGGAACGGCGTTTACGGACTGGTGCATCGTGCACCTGTCTTTCAAGTTTGCTCAGTATCCGATTAACTTTTGCAAGTTTGATAAGAAGAATACTAATTGACAAATAATGTCTCGTAAAATCAGACCTAGACTGCTGAGTTCAACTTTACCCACCCACAATTCTCGTAAAGACCACATCGCACAATAAAATGAGAAACGCTGGAAATTTCCCAAAAGCTCGACTATTGTTTGCGCATGACGTCAAGTCGTGTTTTCCTCCCAGTGAAAAAAGAAAAAATTCAAATCCACTCTTCCGAATTAGAGTAAATATCGAGAAAAGCGAACGAAAAGCAGAAATTTTCTTTAGCTAGAAAAAATTATTTTTGTGAATGTGCTTGAGCTTGAGCGCAGAGACCTCGCCGCGAATCAAATCTTTCGTCTACTCCCTCCATGTTTCTGTAATTTTCATACTGATCGCCGCTTTTGAGCTAACAGAAACAGGTAAGGCGGAGAATTATAAAGTCTTTCACCAATAAAAGCTTTAGAAGATAACAAAAGCCTACGAAAAGGCATCTTCCTCGTGAGCCTTGGACTCACACTTCTTTCCCTCCTTTACGTACGAGCAAAATTCAGCCCAGGTCTATGGGATGAAGAAACAAATACGGAAGGCCGAGAAGATACAGGGCCAAAGCCTCCGACGTATGAGAACATCCTAGAATCGAATGCAGAAGTTTTCAAGAGGATGGCGATCGATGACCCTGAAGCGCCGCCTCCGACGATTGGAACCGGTAATTTGCTCGAATTTTATTTCAGGATTTAACAAAAAAAGTTTTTTATCGGTTATTACTTTCTTTATCTTTACGAATTTGCGCTCTTTCTCCCATAAAACGCATGTTAACTTCCATAAAATTATTCAATTATTCAGCAATAATTTCAGTCAAATATTTGTATCATCCAGTTGATCAAGGGCAGCTTTTTTCAGTCAGTTAGTGAACTCGAAAATATGTACCCTCTCTTGGCATGTTGCAAGTTACGCATCTTTCATGAAGAATAAATGGGTGAGCATGCGCTACGTGCTGACAATATTTGTTCAGGTCTTCGAATCGGTATTCCCGTGAATGATGATTACAAGCCTCCGAATTACATTCAATCGGAAGGAGAGCCACCGAGCTTTATTGAATCTACCGGGATCATCGAAGTTCAAGCTGATGGGACTTCAATTTTGGAATCGCAGGGAAATCTAGGTTTCGTGGAAAGATTGCAGAAGACGCCTGTTCCGGAACGACGAACTCGTACACGGACAATCACGGATCGCTCCAATAACGATGGATTTCTAAATTCGACGAACAGTCTTTTGGTTCCAGGAGAGCGTATCGCCGACAGTAGGTTTTCGGTGGCAATGTCTACAAACAGCAACATGCAAAATTTACATCAATGAAAATCCATCTTTTCTTCTATTTCACTGTTAATAAACATCATCAATCGAACAAAATTCAATATGAGAGTCATTGCAGATGTCCGATCAAGAAATTTTTCCCACTACCTGAAATTTTTTCTTTGCAAAAAATCCCAAAATGAAGATTTTCTTGTGTTTCATAAGCATGATTGCTTCTCAAGGCATGTTTGATGCGAAAAGACACCGCAAAGAGCAACAAAAACAGGCGATTAAGAATCAGAAGATGGGACAGAAATTCGGAGCAACGAGTCTTGTTGATAGCGCATTCAAAGGTAAAATAGTCGTCCATAAGAGCTTAAAATTAGCGAAAGGTCCACCTAAAGCGGTGCCTATCGAGGAGTTCGATATTCTTACGGAAGACCGACAGTTCATTTTTCACAACTTTTGGCTCGAAGTTCGACATCGAAGCTTGAACTGTTTCAATTTTTACATGGAGCAGAACTATACCTCCGTGATCAAAATTAGCTCCCTCGACGACGACATTCATCCCTCTGCGATTATTAAAGACGACGAGAACAGAATCATTGGCAAAATAAACCCAACTGGCGATAAATCCAGAGGTGACATGAAACTGGAAGCGCTCCCTCGAGACGGTTACGTAAACATGTGTCTCTTCAACGTCAATGGAGGCTTCGCAGCAGCGGAAATCGGCGTTGAAATTATGATAGTATTTACTCCTGGAAAAGTGAGCATGGTGCTAATTTTATCATCTTATTTCTGTTAAGTCACCGTTTGGTAAGAAAATGACGCTTCCAAACGCAGAAGTCATGGAAAGCGCAAGCGAAAACGCCGAAGAAGAAATGGAACTCCTCGAACTTGTAAGAAAATTCGACGATCTGGTGGCAGGACTGCGAGTCAAAATGTTCAGCGCCTGGCGAACTATCCAACAGGTTTTCATTTTTTTAGGAGCGTTTTCTAGCTTTCTTTCAGATGAAAATCTTCCATCACGGGGACGAAATTTCGCAAGAGCATCAATCAGACATGATAACAAATTGGAGTTTGTTTCAAGTTGGAGTGATGGTGCTCGTCGTTTTCTTACAAGAATTGGTTCCTAAAAATATCTTTTCTATCAAAGGAAATTTTTAGAATCAAATAAAGTCAGAGCAATCCGAGGATTTTTCAGTCACATAAATCCCGAAACTGATAAAGGAAAAATCTAGCCTACTTCTCTTCAACACTTTAGGACAATAATCTGTATAAGAAAAATAAAAAAAGAACGCTAAATCAAATTCTCTTGTCACTTCTTTTTTGTTAAATAAGGTCATTCGCAAGAGATTCTCTCAGACGACAAGGTCTACAGTCAGATTTGACAGAATTTGACAAATCGCCGATTACGAAAGGTTAAGGCATAGTGAAGTGATATCCCGCACAGCAGGAGGAAATTTCTTCTCATTCTTATTTTTTTTCATTCCAGGATTATTCCATACACTCAAAATGAAAAAGAAAGATTTTTCGTTTTTTCTCTTTATTTTAATCTCTTCGTCAAAATGCTGCGATTATGATGAAGAAAATGGCCTCGTCAATTGTACGGCCTATGATCAAGTAGAGAAACCTTTTCCAGAGTGGATAAGAGCTCTGGACGTTACAGGAATGATGTCGAAATATAATTGTTTCGCGTGTAAAATTATCGGTATCTTCGAAAGATATGGGCCTAAAATCTTCATTTTTCAAGCATCTCCCACTGAATTTGGACAGATTGTATGCATCAAAAAACGATCTACAGAACTTGTCTGATATTTCGAATCTCTGTAGTATTACAGAGGTCGACCTATCTTCCAACGACTTGAAATACATCGAGCCTGGCGACCTGACTTGCATGGCTCATTTGATTTCAGGATAGAGTCAAAGCAAATCTGCACTCAAAAGACCCCTTTCAAAGGGTTCTTCTTTCAGACTTTCGATAAGTATCGCTTTCGCAAAACTGGATCGGCGACGTGGACGAAGATCTCTTCAGGAATCTCACTGAAATCACTTCGATTCAAATGGCGAATATGAATCTTCATTCACTCCCCGTTACTATTTTCCGAGATAATACTCTGCTTTCATCACTTGGTAAATTGTTATTTTTATCTTTCACTCTAAAAATATCCCCCAAAGATCTAAGCAATAATCGAATCAAAACGATCCCTACAAACTTGTTTGCTAACAATCAGAACCTGGCATTCCTGGATCTGTCCTTGAATCAAATCACGACTCTTTCTCCCGAGGTAAAGTGTTTTATGGCCACATGATTGATGAACTCGACGTCAGGTATTTCTGTCCTGTCCGAAGCTGACTCAGATGTTTCTCCGTGACAACGAACTAACGGTGGCCCATTCAAGCTGGTTCCGGTGCCGGTTTCATAAAAAGCGAATTCTAAAACGTCGCTTCCAGATGATTCGATGCGTTTTATGAAGCCAATAAAGTGCTTTTTACTACAAGTCCAAATTTCGACCTTACATCGACCTCTCTGGCAATCCTTGGAGCTGCGCTTGCAGCATGATTTCCTTCAGAGCCTGGCGGAATCGAAACAAGTGGTTTATGGATATAGAAGGATTTCAAGCTTAGTTTGTCGAAATTATTATTTTGAACTTGCTTGACTTGAATAATCGCCAGATTACTGACCTCTCTTGACTTCTAACCCGACATTATCAAAACACTTGCTTACGCAATAGTTACTCGATTGAACTCAAGTCTGGTCAACTCGAAGGACCTTTTTTCTAAAAAAAAACTATTTTTAAAGATGTAAAATGCTGGACACCTGACATAATTCGCGGAGTCTCGATGGTAGACTTGGAAATCGAAGACACTCTTCAGGTTGATTTCTTGCTGTTTTTCTCTAATTAACTTGTATTTAGGATGATACGGGCGATAAATGCGCTTTTCCAGCTGTCCTCGATGTGGTGCTCTTTAATCGTGAGCAAATTCTAGTCCTTCAGACATCCGCCGTGGGTATCCCGCTTCCCTCCATCAAATGGTACGGCAAATTGAGTGGAAACTCGACGTCCGGATGGAAAACGCTAGAATCTACAATGTTTGATAAACGAAATGATTCAATTGCGAGCTTCGCTAAAATTGATTTCTTCGAGGGTAAACAATCACTTCCTGTCTCGTTTAAATTATGATTAGGCACGTTGAATATACTCTGCGTGGCGGAAAATGTCGCTGGGTCAAGCCACGAAGAGATTTGTCTGACCACTGATGTCTCAGGTGATGTAGTCCAGAGGGATTTCAGCGATGGCGAGATGCATGTGCTCAATAACCTGGCCCACAAGGGCCAGATAGACTTGGCTGCAGTCCAAGCTAATCATTAAAAGCAAATACGCAGCTGTTGAGCCACGTGATTGCTGATATATACTTTCTGAACGAGTGTTCTTTTAGAAGTTTTATCGAAAAGATGCATCCTCATCAAATTCGATCCTCAAGGACGACTTCTTACGTGGATAACACCAGATACTCTCATGCCTTCCCGAATTGGATTGAGGTACCGGTTTTATGACGCTATTTTTAGACGGATTATTGACTAAAGATAGGCATCTATTATGCTCATATCAGTTTCAAGGAAAAAGAAAAGTTTTCATGTTTATGATACTTACGTAATTAGTCAACGAATAGCCAAAAACACTTCGCTTAAATTTGCGTCAGCAGCCCAACCCATCCCATGCATGTGCTTTGAAATGACGAAAATAACATGCCCTTAAAACTTTCGACAAGCAAGAAAAGCATGAAAACAGCCTAGCGTTCTGTTGGGTCCAAAAACAATCGAGTTAATCGTGCCAAAAAGAACCCACGGGAAAATCCTCCGCAGAAAGATCTTTATGAGCTATTAATGAATTTACAAGCCTTTGTTATAAGGGCGTGTACTGGACTGACCTATATCGACCAGTTGAACTTATCACTTTAGACAAACGAAGATGATGGCGAAAAACGAGACCGTATTTGCCCAGCATGTTATTCCAATATCAGCTAAAGGAAAGCTTCATTTAAAAACAACGAACAATAATGTCTTCTTCCCAAAGCTTCTTAAGACGTTCCAACTCCTACGAATACTCCTACCATCGAAAGTTCTGTCAACGGGGGTGAAATCGCTGCCAATACAAATTTGCCGAGCTCAACTATTCAAATGAAAGAAGTGCATAACGATAAACCTGTCCACTTTTCCACTAGAATAGGAAGAGGAACTGTGTTGCCAACCAGCGTTACTCATTTAACGACTACTCGCAAACTGGAGGCAGCGTCACAGGATTTGGATTTCCATGATCATTTTACGAGCTAATGATCCGCTAAGAATCCGAGCAAATGAATAGGACATAGGACGGTAATATTTCTTACAAATCCAACAAAAAAGTCGACGACGGAAAAGCCCCGACCTACGGAGAAAACTGTTGTCTCAAGAAAAAAGGCTCAAGAAATTCTTGTTTCGCGAACGTATCAGGAAAAAATCCTTGCTTCCCTTCATTTATCCCCAAATGGATACTTTAGAAACAGAACGATTGGCGACTGGAGATTCGGGTAGTACAGTCAGCACCTCACTGTATGAGTAACGAGAACTTAGTGACCCCATAAAGAACATCATGAGGGGCATCGATCCCTACGTCCGTCACAAAATCACTAAAGAGACTGCAAAGGTGATAATCTTTTTTATTCTCATTGCGTCCGTGATGCTTCTTGGCTGCTCTGGAACATTGGTCTGGATCATGGTTTCGGAAAAGAGGAAGAATAAGAAAATTACCAAAAGAATGTCTTCTGTTTCTGATGCATCATTTCATAAATAAAAATTGTAGATATGAAGCTTTCATGCGGAGTATATTTTCATAAACTAGCTTGAGTAGATTTTATTTCCGGTGTTTCAATAACAGTAGCCAATTTTTGTTATTGAAATTCAGAAAAATAAATATTTTTGAAAAATCTCCAAAAGACAAAATTTCAAAAATTGGGTCGACCTGGCGGTTCGATGTAATAGCAATGTTTTTATTTAACGAATATTTCGTAACTAACGCAGATCTCGCTTGCTGCCTAAAATGGCGCGAGCGTGATCGAGCGCCCCACGGGCGATGGAATAAAAGGGCGCGACGCGACTAGCTGTAGCGGCAGTCACCCTCATCTCCACCACCCTTGAAAAGATAGTTTTCAAGCTTTTAAAAAATCTACCCTTTTGAAAAATCAAACGAAGAAACAGATAGATTTTTTTTTCTACAACAGAATAATGGAAAGAGAAGATAATCAAACTCAGTCCTTAGAAGAGCTCGTACTCAAAAATATACCGTAAGTACAAATCAATCCCAATGGGTTAGGGTTGGGTTAGGGTTGGGTTAGGGTTTAGGGTTAGAGTTGGACAGCGGTCTACTGCGTTAATTAATCAATTTTTGGCCTTCGATCTTGTAAATTAAATTTTATCACCAAGTTCAAATTCAGCCGGTCTCAGCAAAACTAGACAGTTGTTGAAAGTTGAAAAAATAGAGAACTCAGATCTGTCTCAGACCTCGAGTTATCGCAGCTCCCAAGCTTTGGTAGTGTGAAAGAAAAATATGGCCCCATACAAATTTGAACAACGCCTATTTTTAGATCGCTCGCTATTTTCAGCAGATTGTTGATTTAATCCTGTCGGTTAAAAAAGATCATCAACCCTAAATCTTCGTTTTAAGATGGGCATCGTCGGGAAAATACGAAAACAACGGCTTCTACACCGTCTTCACTCCCGGCTACAACAAGTCCACGTTTAGATCTTAACTTCGCAGACAATTCCTGATTCCCTTTCGACGGAATTCCCCACCTCACAATCTTTCGTCGCTGCTCCAAATATATCTTCGCAACTCCACAATTCACAATCTTTTTGAAAAGTTCAAACAAAACATTGTAGCTAACGTTTCTTTGTTGTGTGAAAACTATCAATAAAAGTGCACTTACTCATCAATTCGTTCTCGCAGAGTCACCAAAGCAACAAAATCTTGTCATATGTATGTTTGACAAAGACAAAGAATTATGCTACGCATACTTGACTTCGAAGGAGTGGCAAATCAAACTGTTATTCAGACAAAAGCGGAAGCTCGCGCAATTTACTCATAATATCTAACTAAATGTGACAGCAAGATGTGCCTTTTGTTTATCGATTGATTGTATATTTAAAATAAGATTTGTGCTTGATGATTATATTTGGAAGGATAAGTAGCTGACTTTCCAGAAAAAAAATATCGAATAAACTTTGTAAAGTCCACGTAAATAAGTGTTTTTTCAGAGCGCAAGAAGTAGAAGACTCGCCACGGCAAGGCCAAGAGCAAAATTCCCGATTTCGGCGCTATTTGTGATGATGACTCCTTCTTCATAAACTGTTTTGATCAGAACATCGTCGTTCTTGGCGGGGGAGGTTCTAGCATGTCGAGCGGAGAAGAGATTGTCGTATCGGTTTGAACATTTGGTGTTCAAATGGCAAGGTTCTCCGGGAGACGTGGAACCTTTGAAAATATCGAGCGGACAGAGAACCATCTCACATGAGTATGTGATCTAAAAAGGATAAATTATGAGATTTTTTCAGAATTAACCTTGGCGCCGTTTCCTCCTGCAGCTGCATCGACTTGCAACTTGAATTGATCCTTCACAAAAGTCTTTACATCATTTGTCCATTCGGTTCTGTCATTCTTTTGGGAGTAGGTGACTATGTTGTTGTCCATGCAGCCATCATTCAAAAAGGCGAAAGTTCCTGAGGGAGTGTCTTCGAAGATCGGAGTGCCATCGTCGCTTTCACCGATTTTGAGATAGTTGTGGCTTGTGCATTCTCTGGCAACGTAGATAAAAAATTTGAAGTAACCATTATTGAATTTTACCTGAGATGCATAATGTGTTCCTCCAAGCCATCACCGGCCCCATGCTTAGCTTCGACAAAGATACCATCATTTTCGTACTCGTCACCTAGTTCGATAACACTTCCGTCGTACTCCTCCGAAAAGTCTCGATCGACGTATGCTTTGAAGGTGAACGGGATCTGACCGTTATACTCGACATAATTGTAGGTTCTATTCGATGAAGGATTCGGGTCGACCCAGCCGTGGTCAGAAGCTTTCAATCGGCACTGAAATTGGTTCGAAACACCGCCTTTAAGGATTCGTTCCTCTCCAAACTCGTTAATGTGCCAGTAATCATCGAATCCTAAAAATGAGCAGTAAGATAAATCATTAAAGCTTTAATTACCGATGAAGAAGTCGACAACGTAAGTGAAGCCGTTGATTTCACTGTAGATGTGGCCAAAGTCGAATTCATCTTGGCAATTTGGATCGTTTGCACTTTTGCGAAAATGGACTTTTGTTCCATCCTCGATCTCCTCTCCGACGCATTCGCTGTCGTGGAATTGTTTGAACGCTGTTCCCTCAACGTGTTGATCGTGTTTGGTCTTGGAAATAAGCGTAACTTTTCGCTTTTCGTCGTCATCTTGAGGCGCACCGATCCAGGGTTTCTTGTTATCGACGACCACATCGATGTAAAAATTTCCATCGGTGTCGTATGAGCAAGTTAAAGCTCCTTCAGGATTGCAGTAGTAGCCTTCCAAGCCGTTGATCTCGTGATCAGCGCCATCGTCAGCACTTGCTTGTGGATTGAAGACGGAATAAGTCGTGCCAGGGGGGCAACCAGTGGCACTGACGCACTGATACAAGTCGCAATCGTCCTTGTCTACAGCACAAGCGAACTCCTCGGAGCATTTCATCTCTTTCGGACAGTCCCCTTCATCAGGGTACAGGTATCGGCGAACTTTATTACAATCGGTTTCCGCTGATGAGAGCGATACTAAAAGAGGGACAAAAAGCTTCATAATTTTATTCTTGCTCAGAATGATACTTTTTGTAAAGTATAACTGTAGCCGACAGGCTGTCGGTTATATACCAGATGCTGAGACTCTCACGAGTGCTGACCGTATAAAAATTACTGTAAACTTTATTTACAACCGCCGTTGCTGGGGAGTTGGTTGATTCTCACACGATACAAGCCGGTTGCAACACAGCCTTTATCAATTTATTACCATTCCTAGCCACATAAAACCAGGGCGTAACTTTCACGTGGTTTTCATAAAAATGATAGTAGCTTTATAAGTTCATATTTAGTAATTCAGAATTGATGCCTTATAAAAATATCCATATTATTTTGTCAAGTTGGCAGAATAAGTATGACAGGGCACGTCAACGGGAATCTTCAGTCTGCAAAGCAAAACCGATTTGCGATCAACGAGGAGAATATATTTGCAGTAGGTTTGTATTCGTCTATATACCACTCTTGCAAATTAAATATATAAGTTTACAATATTAAGCGCACTGCCGTATTTTTAGCTATTAAAAGTGCCAATAGTAGAGACATAATCTCAAATCACAAAAATCATCAAAATTACAACAAAAGTGCCATTTTGGCGAATCTTCAAATCCTTGGATATGTCATTCATATCTTGAAGTCTTCATTTTCTTAGATTTCGTTTTCAATTTTCCGACTCATCACTTCTAAATTTGCTGTCACAGCCTGCAAGACGTACGCAAGACATTTACCACAGTCAGTGCATAGAGAAGATTACTCGTTGAAGCGTTCAATTATCCTGGATTTAAACACAAGATCTTGCTTGTCACTCCAGAGAAAAATCATTTTTTTTCTGTGAGAATGAAAAGTAAGAGATTTTAGTTGCTTTTTCTTTTTTCAGACTGAGACTTAAATTTATAAACAGACAGGAGGAAATAAATCAAATGAAGGAAGGATGATCATTTCAATATTTGATGCAAATTTTATGTGCCTTTTAGAAATGAGAAGCTGCGAGAATTAATGCATTTTAATTGCATTCATTTCTCTTATTTTTTTTTCTCGAAGGATCGCCTCAAAAGTTTTCATGCAATTAAATCGTCTTTTGAATTTTTAATGGAATTTATCCTCGAGTTTAGTTAATTAATCCTAGATGCTTTGAAGTGGATCTATCGGTAACTCCATTACTCGTCAATAATTTTAACCGCGAGATTTTAATTAAACCCCTCCTACTACTCCCCACCTTCTATAACCTTTGCATAGAGACTCTATGCCATAGAGTAAAAACAAATAGTCTAATACGCATTTTTATACGTTTTTGCGCCGAGTATAACTGTATAAGATGAATATTCATACGTTTGAGGTGAGACAACGATACTCAAAGAGAACCTATTTGACATAACGATGACAAGAAATTATCGAAATACATGATGAGCTACACAGTAAAAAATGAATGCCTGCAAAGTGCTGTCACTAGTATTGTACTTGCCAGATTCACTTTCGAGTATAAAGCGGATATATTTCTGAAAAAGATTCGCTAAATGCTAATTTTTCATTCTGTTTAACATCGGATCTCTAATACCGTAAGCACCAGCTAAAATAGATGCTCATCACCATTTGTCTTCTGTCGACAGTCTGCTGTCGAGGTCACTATCCAGTGAATTGAGCCTATAGCATTTGTAATGAATGTTCCGTGGTATAAATAGACCTCCACGTGTTCCTATTTGTCAGTGAACCCGCCCTGAATCCTGTCGACGGTAGATATATAAAACGAAAAAAGATAGAGGCTGGGTGTCAGCTGGCCTTTTTTGCGATTAAAAAGAATAGAAATATAGCGGCGCTCTTGTACCGAACTGACTTGTTGTGTTACAGCAAATGCCAGATAAACCAGCGGTAGAAGAAAGATCATCCCTTTTTTAGCAACACATTTCGGGCCTTTTTTCCATGTCCGGAAATGGCGACGGAGTATTTCAAAATCCCTGCGCGAATTCCACGCTTATTTCAGAAGGAAAAATTGAAAACAACAAAGAGACTGACAAGAAGTTTTTCTCAGAGAAAATCATCATTTTTCAATAATAAAAAGACGAAGATACGGGAAACGATTCCAGATGGATAATAACCGTCTTGTCAATCGCATTTATTCAAGGTAGATCTGTAATGGCTGGTATATATTGATGTTAGTCAATATTATCTCACAATAAGAGAAAATCATCGTTTGCGTCGTATTTATCTAGCATGAGACCTAAAAGTTAACTCAAGGGATTATTGGAAACACTTTGGTCATCATCGTCCTTTTCGTCGGGCGATCGAAGAAGAAAGCGAACCCGACAGCATCGTTGCTTCTTTGCATGAGCATATCGAATATTTTATTTCAGCTGATTGTCCTGCCTGCTCAGGGAAGAGGGTTTATATTCATCATTAAACGATTCCTTCATTCAGAGAAGGATTCAATCAATGTTAAATGCCTCGCTTTGTCGACATAATTAGGATGGTCTGATATTTAAAACCAAAAAATGAATCAATATTAGACAGGTTTTTGAGACTGGCTGGTGAACTTATTGGAAAATTAAGTTCATCAATGGACAATGATTGACCTGACCCTTATAAGTTATAACTTTGAGAAGCTATCTTATTACTCTTCCTTGATTCCAATAGCTATTCACGTCACACACGGGTTCCTTGATTGCCTTTAAACTTATTTCTTTCACCCTTTTGTCAGATTTCCATTCACTCGACACCCTACTGGCAGCACGGGTAAGTTGACTGCATTTTATATAAGCCTTGACTTTATCTTCAAGACGGTTAATGTGTAAATTATCCTTTTACATGGAAGACATGGCGTCAAGTGAAACTTCTTTGCTCCTGTGCCTTTTAGGAATCGATCGCTTTATGACTGTAGTTGGCTTCAAAAACAAGGTTAGATCCGACTCTTTAGAGCTCAAATGTAACTGACCCATTTACCTTGCGGTTTATAGACTCAAAGACTACCGCATCACAGAGCATTTATCGCACTTAGGAAGGGTTCAAATCTCAATTCAATATTGATTCGCTTTGAAGCAAATTGTCGATGTGACATCGTCTGTAATTGTGAGATTCTTCTGTAAAAATGTTGGTACTTCGAATATAAACTACAACATTCGAACCATTAAAAAGCTGGATGTTGTCAATTGCAAGTGCCTTACCGACAGCCATTGGAGTCAAACAAATAGAACTCGATGTGCCGAACATGAAGCTATCAACAAATGGAGAGCCTTTCACAACGCTATCATTCTGTGGGCCCGAGGATTGGGTGCTAGAATGGAGAATAGCAAGAAGCGTCTTTCTTTTCTTTGTCCCTCTTTTAATTATCATCACTTCATATTCAACAGGTATATTCGGCCAATAGACTTCACGATTGAGCTTTTTTCGAAGTGTATTTGAAAATAACGAGGCATATGAAAAAAGTCAACTTGAAATCTGCAACCGCTCAACAGGGTATTTTAAAGCTGCTCATAGGCAAGGCCGTTCAAAGTTCATAAAACAGGAATAATCGACTATTTTAATAATTCAATTATATAGCCCGTTAAAAGCTCTGATGGTCAGTTATATTATCGCATGGATGCCATATCACACGTCAAAGATCGTCTTTATGCTAGACAGGGATCTACTTTTCTCAACTTTATGCCAAATGATTAGAATTTTAATGATCCCATTTGACAGCTTGGAAGACCGAATGGAGCTGCAGTAGATTTCTGAATATGGTTCAAGTAGTTTTCCAGTTGATGGGTCAAGGTTTGTCTAAAACATAGAAAGCGATTTGCATATTTTCTCGAAGTGGCTGGCTGCGTCGATCCGATTATTTATTGCTTCCTGAGCAATGAGTTCCGAACCGATCTTTTTCATATCCTCAGCTGCAGGAGAGGTTGAAGGGAATTCTAATATCGAGCACAAGAAATATTACGGTAACCTCCATAAGATTCCAAGAAGCAACTTCCCTCGGAAAAACGATGAAATACATAAACTCCGAGCCTTCAGCAAGTAGGAAAAGTTCTAAAAACTATATCTATAAAAAATTGGGAGATTTTTTAACTATGAAAAGCCCATTTCATTCAAAGAAGCCACCGAAAACAATTTGTAAAGCGTAGAATATTTTAATGATATCATCATCTGGTGCAGTTCATATGAAAACATTCAATAAAAGTGAAAATGATTGCAATAAATTCAAAGAAAACCCAAACAAAAACAAATATCGAGCCATAATCTATCTGATTTTATTGCTTAAATCATGTTTAAAGACTGTAAAAGCCTCCGTCAACTTTTCGCACGTATCCCCTGTTCGTATTTGCTCCATGATGACCCCGGATGAGTTGATTTCCATCCTTGCTGTTTGCCACTTGTTTTTCATGAACAGTAACCCTTATCGCGATCTCAATATGTCTTATTTCGGCATTTGAAGTTTCACCAAGTGCTCAACAAACAAGGAGGAGCGAATCTCGCGCATCAGTATTTGTCGGGCAGTAATTTTTATTTCTATTTGCAGATCGCGTTCCTTATCGGCGGGTCAGCAGGATCGAAGGCCAGTTTTTCTTCAACAGTGCGGTTCTTCAGCTTTCGTCCAGTGTCAATTCCCAACGTTTCTCGCTACAAAAATATTTTAAAAACGGAGGTTCTCAGCGATCCTTACCTGGACAAGAACCTCATTTTTGCTCGCGTTGAATTTCCATGGAACATGAGTAGTTTTAATTACAAAGTCAAGGGAGTCCCGAGGAGCTTGAGGATCATGATAGTCTCGTGTTCGCCTAAATTGAATAAAATATTAGGATTTTATGATCGATAGAATTGAAATCAAGGAGGAACTAAAGCAATAAAATACACAATATAATTAATTTTGGCAACAGAAAGGCAGGTTCAATCATAAGATTATGCCCTTTCTCAAGAAGGGATACACTGAAAATCACCTTTGGCTCTGTAACGTGTGAGTATATGCCAATCTTTGAAACGGATCTTCTTTCCCTACCACGTGACGGTGTTCTAAGAGTTTATATTAATAAATTAATGTACCAGAAAGATACTTTCTCGGTTGCCGAAAGTGTTGTCGTTCTCGAACTTTTCAATTGGGAACGGATCTCTGAACATGATGAAAAGGAGTAATTGAATTTAAAAATAAACGAATCTTGCCAGAAATCGACAGGGACACCCTCTCCATGGTGATCGGTGAACAATGACGCGAAATACTCCTTATTTACTAAATCCGTTCTACAGAATAAACATTATTTAGAAAGTGAAGAAGAATAAGCTTTTATAAACCGCTGAAAACAAGGAGGAGTAGGCGAACTTCACTAGAATTGAAGACAAGAACTTTATGTATTTTGTTTTTGCTTTATTTCATTTATCAATCGAACATGGAAGAAAGTATCGTATGTGAGTATTTACAGCATTCATATTACTTTGTCGGGTTGGTTTTTTGAAAATTATGACACCTTGGAAAAATAAAAAAACAACAGTCAGAGAAACGCCTACATTAGGTTCTTTTTGAAGGGCATTTAGAGTTTTAAGGGGAGCAATGGTCCTCAATTATCCGTTTTGAGGAATTCAATCGGTGAGAGTTTGAACTATTCAATTGAAATTTAAAGAATTAAAAAATGTTCTCCTGTCTGAAGAAGAATTGAAAAAAGTGGAGAAAGCAATTGACAGCATAATTAGAATCCAAAAGAATTCAAAAGCGACTTTGTTGAACTGATAGCTTCTTTCACTTTGCATTGTTTTGTAGAACAGAATCTATACAAGAAATATGTCCAGTCGTTGATCCAAGCTGCGGAGCCCTTGCGGGATCGACGAATGAATCCGAATTCTCAAGATCGTCCTCGTCTGGATCTGCCAGGAGCACTTTCTCGTCTGTGTTGCAAAATGCCATCTCGATCGTAAAGTAGATCGACCAGAAGACAAAGAGTCCGCTCATGAGCGCAAGAAGCTTCAGCGTCCGATCTGAAAGTTGAAATTGTTAATCCTTGTTTAGAAAAAAATGCTTATTTTAGCTCAACTTCCCACGCCCACAACTAAAGTTTTATGGAGAAAGAAGAGAGTACCGTGGTTTATTTCGTCACGAAACGATAATAAAGATGATAAGTTTATGAAGCAATTACTCACCTGAAATCGCTTCGGTAATGTCAAACGGAACTGATTCTCCTGGCGGACAAGGAATAGAAAAATTCGACGCGGGGTCGAGTTTTTCACCGCTGTAGGATTCTTCTACTTCTCGGCGTCGTTCTTGAACATCTTCCGAGGTTATAGAAGAGCCGTACAGGGTTAGTTTCCAATAGCGAAGAATTCCATGATCGATGACTCCGCGGTCGCGAACAATAAGATAATAATTTCCAACTGAGGATTCGCCCCAGCAGCGCACAGTCGAAAACGTCCAATCTTTGAAACCAAGTGGGCTGAAAAATATCGCGTGTTATTTATGGAGATCGGCATTGTTTGTTACCTTGTATCCTTCGCGCGATTAGGGCCGACAAGCGACTCAGTCCCGCTCGGACAAACAATCGAGACTTCTATGTCACCACGTTTTCGATGCTCGATCGTTAATGTCACTTGCACATGCTCGAGAGTGATAACGCGGTGTAAGGCAGCATCCCGCTCGCTAACAGAAGCATGAAGTCGGAGGAAATCGTTTGTTCGTATTTTTTCGTTGTACCCGATTGTCTTCAAGGGATTTATTTATGAGCTTGAGCTGAAGGTTAATTTTCAACGATTTTCTTCGATCGAAATTTTGTTAATGCAATTACTATTTTCCAAGTAACCACTGTATTGCCTAACATTAGCCGTTATATTTGGCGAACGCATATTTGAGGATGGGTTCTTTTCCTTTTTGTATTTTTGTGAAAAATAAATCCCTTCCGGAGGAGAGAACGAAGTGAGCATGGGCGTTGTCCTCCAAACCTTCGCCGCGTTGACAAGTCGCCAGGCGTCCAATAGTCCAAAGCCGTACTGTGCCGAGTGTTGCAGCCCGGCCGCATTAGTGAACCAGGAGCGCACGTTCTTCGGCTTATGGGATCCCTTCGTGTGCCGCGCCGTATAAACAATTATATGCTGCACATCGCGCCAGGTCAGACAGGGTCGCACCTTAATATCTTTTTCAAAAAGCCACGTCTACTTGTCGGCTCATCAGTCTTTAGAGCGCCGAAGGTACAGCTGCTTTAATCGACCGCAACAAATTTTATTAAGAAATCTGCAATGCAAAATTTTTGCGAGGATTTTCTGCGATCTTGTTTGGCGTCAATACAAGTTCTGCGCGTTTGATCTTATAGGTTCATTCCGGAACAACTTTACGTGACAATAAAAACATTAAACAAAGAACCTCGTAGTACAAACCTGGAGCATAAGGGCGACCATTCCAGCAGCTAAGGGAGTAGCTGCAGAAGTACCAGTGTGAGAGCTGGTACAACCCGCTCCAGCAACTCCAGAGCCAGATCTGCCCATTGTCCAATCAGTGGTGACGATTTTTCTAGTGTCCCTGCCGCTCGGATTGCCCGAAGAAAACGTCGATGCCAGCATAGACGCACATTCCTCGGCATAGTAAGGCATATCACCTCGTTCGTCAACGGCACCAATGGTGATCGTGTAGATTGAGTTGGCATATCCATCAAAGTTGCAATTATCTCCTTCGTTGCCGCCGTTTCCGCTTGCAACAATGTAGATTGAACCGAAGCCACGTCGACCAGCGGTTACGCCGTGAATGAGTGCTGCTTGGGCGAGTGGATGCGGCCCGTCAAGGGTCTTTGCATCATCTTCCGGGCCCCAAGAACATGAGTAAATGTCGTTCACATCTAAATTTACTTTAAAAATGAAAGAAGAAAGAATGTTCTTTAGAGTCATATTTTATAACCTAAGTTTGAGCTTCTAAAATCTTCAACATAAGCGTAAATAGATAGATAGCCGGAACCGATCCGTTTTGCTCGGCAATGGCGAGATTAAATCTAACCTAGATGTTTGTTAAACGCCGTGGCTTCCATCGAATCGGTGATGGGACCATCTAGAACTCTGATTCCGGAGAACTTGGCTCCAAAGGAAACTCCAACGCCGCAGACGTCGTTGGGCACGGCGGCGATTTCGCCAGCGCATCGCGTGCCGTGCTTGTTTTCCTCGTTTTCGTCGTATTGCGGCATCGGATTGTCGTCGTTTGAGTTGAGGTCGAAGGAGCCCTTGGGATTGTAATTGGCCAGTAGATCTGGATGATCCCACTGGACGCCGTCATCTACCACAGCGACAGTAACGCCACTTCCGGTCACGTTCATCGCCTGTTCATTAAGGTTGGAAATCTGATAATCCTCCTGCGAAGGAAATTAACCCTAATTGCGGAAAATTCGACATCAGCCTGAAACAGACAGCGCCCGAAAAATTTGCGCATTGTTAAAGACCGAAAAACAGCATTTTTGGAGACCGCTGCTCGGGCGCTTGAAAGAGCAGAGCAAATTCCGAGATAATTAAAGGAGATAAACTATCAGAATATGTTTTAAGGGTTCATTTACTGGTCATTTAACGATCTCGCGCTCAGATGAACTAAGAATGTCCCTTATTATTAGCTTAAAATTTCTCGTAAAATGGGAAAATACGAATTGATGATCTTTACTACAGAAGATTTTCCTACAATTGAACTTTAGGCAATTGAAAATTGTAATCTATCTTTCTCAGTTTTAATCATAAAAACTGCCGCTTTGACATAACGCTCAAATGTCAAGAAATCATAACTTTGAATCGCCCTTTTCGATTTGCAACCCGTTCCCATACGCCCGTGACGTTGCAGTCGTTTCCGGGAAATCGCCGGTTGAACAGATGCCATTGATTTGCGAACTCCGGGTCTTCGAACTTTGGCACGAGACTTGTCAGCGTTTTGAACTGCTTGTCCGTTAGTTTATGAGCGCGGGGCTTTGTTGAGATGCTGATGTTTTGCAGTGCGCGTTTTGGGACACGCTCTTCGATTGACATTTCGATGAAGCGCTAGAATCAGTTAACAAATGTCTTTGCTCAAAATATGCGTTGCTTAATTTGATGATTTTATTGACCTACATTTTGATGACGACATTTATGATAATTACGGTTAGGGCAGTCCTTAAATTTTAAAAGGAAAATTACCTCATGCGCCTTTGGAACATAGTATCGTTTCTTCCGGTTTAAGAGCACCTGTGGCGAGTAGTATTCGACATGAGGATGCCGCTTGAGCTTTTGCTCCAACTTATTCCCACGCTATCAAATTTAGGAAACGTTTCTTGTTTTTGATCTCATAAATAAGATTTGAAAGAACAACTTGAACTGACTAATACAAGATAATTTTATAGCGCGTGCCTGGAACTCCCTCAGATCAGTCGATTCTTCGTCCGGCCTTCGAGTAAAGAGGTAGTGACCGATGAGCTCGCCAACTTGTCCGTGATTGAGGAGATCGTGCTCGCGGGCAATCTGCTCCGCCAGCTCGTCGAAGAGGATACGGGTTGAGTTGATATCGCTTGCTCGCAACTAAGCGCATTTTTAGAGTTCTGAAAAGGGTCGAAACAATCGAGCTAACCTTAATGGCCCATTGCCAAGTATTGCCTTTGAAGTGGAGGTATTTTGGTGGGATTAAATTAGGAAAACTCGCCCCGACGAGTGCGAGTAACCACATTCGAATCGCGACTTTCATCTTTCTTCTTGCTGTTTCTCTGTTTTTTCTTGAGCTTCAGTCCATCTTCAGGCGATTGGATGTGACCAGCTGCTGGTCACAAGTCTGGAGTCTGAAGAATTGTAAAAATGTTAATTTTGCTTTAATTTCGCTGTCGAAAGTAAATCGAGTGGGTTTACGAGTCAGGGAAGCTGATGATCTCATTCTGATCCTGGCGCCAGAGAATAGGAAGCCCAAAACACTAATGTTGTAAAAGACCAAATAACGTCAAGTTTACAAGGCAATGAATAGCTTTTTTATGTAAGTTAGGTTTGGAGAATGAGTCTCTTTTAGATGCAGTCGGTAAGATGGGCAAAGATTTATAGACCTTATCCATGGCTTACTGTAAAATCCAAGGTTTATAGACTTTAGTTCGTTGTATCAACTGTTATTCGATGACAACAGAGTTAAACAAGGAATGTTTTATAAAAAAGATATTTTTTGGCAAATAGCAGATGGCGTGGCTTTTGATGTAAACATCGCGCTAAAATAAAACGTTCTAGACCAAAATTGTAAAAAAGATAGGAAATTTCTCTTGTCCCAAAAATATTGAAAAAGCGGTCATCGATATACTCCCGCTGAAAATCTCCATTCACCCCGCTGCGATTCGCCCTTTTTCGTGACTTTCTGTTTCGATTCCTCAATTTTCACTTGTGTATTCGACTACTGAATCAAAGCAGAGTAAATCTTTCAATCAAATTTATTGCTTTCTCTTTTGACAAAACACGGGTGTAATTTTAGAGAGTCTAAATATTTCCTGCAATCAATCTCGAAACGCAGAAGTTTAGTTAATCGCCCAGTCGTAAATCGCTCGATCATAATTCCTACATACGTCCACACGGATTTTTTTACATCACACTAAAGCCACTTCAAAGAAAGTTGAGAAAGTTTGAAAGTAATTCATGACTTCAGCGGTTCCTATTCTAGGAATCGTCGATCATTTTTATTAATTAAATTTATTAGAGTTGATTTATTTTACATTGATAGTGAAGAATTTATTTATTTAATAATTTTATTAAATTATTTATAAAAAAATAATTTATTAATTTATTTATTTAATTAACTTCTGTTTCATAATTTCATAATAAACTATTTGATAAATTGGTATGTTAGGTGATTTATCTTTCGAATAGCGCCGAAATAATGACCTTCAATTGATTTCAAATTCACTGACCTAACGTTCAATTACCGAGACTGCCTTCTAAAGAGGAGCGCAGGATTCTTCCTTGTTTCAATCTGTTAATCATCATGTCAAAATCCAAAAACCAAATCTCTTCTCAAATCGAAAAGCGAGCGTATTTATAGTTCTTTGTCAAAGAGTATATTTAGATAGTGCGAAGCGTAACTCGTTCCAGCGCAAATCAAATTTGGAAGAAAAAAAATCGCCTCGTATAAAAATCCCTCTATCACGCTGTCAACCCCCGCTTCGCCAATTTTAAATTTTCAAGACTTCTGTAGAAAACCTGAGTCAGGGTTTTTAAAACTTTTTTCGGCGAAGCCGCTTTGCGGCTTCGTTCTTGAAAAAGCCGCAGCGGGCTTTTTGCCAAAGATTTTTCAGAACCCTGACTCAGGTTTTCTACACAGGTTGCCCAGTCAGGTTTTAAATGCCCCAGTTGGACGGGCAAATAACTTTTAAACTCCTATTTTCTCCATAAAATGCCTCTCAGCATCCGACTTGTGGCAAAGTAAAAGATCTGTTATAAAAAGTTTACAATTAGAAACGGAAAGGATAAACATTTTCCTCTGCGGCTTTCTACCGGAATTAATTTTCCGAGTTGATTATGCAAAGCGAGCCTTCCTTTCTTTCGGAAATTGAGCATAACACCTTTCTAAACTTATCTATAAACAAAGGCTTAACTTTTTTCAGCGGCCGAGAAAGAGAGAGCGCTTTTTTCTCTCAACCCCTGAGCATTCCAAATGTGCCGGGTTAATATCGGCTTCCTTATTACAAATCAAATTGATGTAAATTCCGCCCAGGGTGGAGGGGGATCGGATCGCAGTCACTGCCGCTCAGCTCCAAAAACTGGTGATTAAAAAGGGATGAATTCGCTCGGCGCTTCCTCTAGGTCCTTAGCTTCTTGCCAAACCGCTGGCTCGCCTTTCAATGGACCGGCATTTTTACGTTTACGTTTCTTTTCGATCCCATTATTTGCTATCAGAAAATTTAATAATAAAAAATTTCCTGTAAAAATATCAATCGCCAAATCTTCCTAAAAATTCGAAAGTTCGAAAATGACAAAATTTAGTGAGAAAATCAGCCAAAGACACAAAAAAATGTCAAATACGAACAGAAAGTTCCACACTTTAGGATTAAATTCTCACGATTTCGGAAATTCTAAAATTTCTCAGGCGGCAAAGAATTATAAAAAGGGATGAAATGGAATTTTGGAATTTGGAATTCTGAAATCCTCAAAATCTCATGCCAATCACGTTCCAAGTTATATCCCTTTCAGAGAAACTTAAATTCATCTTTTATTGAAAAAAAGAATAGAAATGAGGGAAATTATGCTCAACGAATAAATATGACATCAGTTATCTAATTCATCATCAAATTTCACGTAATTACTTTGCTTCAAAAACTGTTAAATTTCGCGCTTTGGACGAAAAATTAATTTAAAATCGCCACAAATTTATTTAAAATTGTCAATTAGCGATAACTCAATTCATTTCTTAACCCCGTCTAGGAAGCCCTTCGCCTATCATTCCCGTCTGAAGTTCCCGGCCGTTTCTAAATCCTCCTTATCGCCCGTTTCGAAGAATCTCCCGAATTCTAGCGTTCAGAAAAAAAAATTCTCAAAAACACGCTCTGGCTCCAAGTCATGTTTTTTCGCGGAGCAGCGAAAAAAGGCGAATAAAAGAACTTTCAGCAGTAAAACGCAAAAATAAGAAAAAGTTCTTAAAAAGGGCAAAGAGTATGCACGTGAGCTTCTTTTCCTGCGAACGAGCTCGTTTTTTTTGACTGAATAATGTTCTGCTGGATAATCAAATTATTTGCGCCTCGCCGTGGGATACACGACGTTTAGCACAAAGCGACGTTTGGAACAAACGACGTTTGGAACAAAGCGACGTCTGGAACACTGTTCTAAACGTCGTTATATTCCAGGCGTCGTTTTATTCTAAATGTCGCTTTTTGGTCTGAAACGCGTGGGCGCTCAGAACGAATTAGATTTTAACGAGAACAAGTTATTTGCCTCAAAATATTAATTTGATAAACAGTATAAATTCGATAGAATAACAATAATGATTATCTTATGATATGTTTTAAGGAATAAATATATTATTAAACATATATGTATGTGATTTAAATATGTAACTTATTCAAAAACCCGAAAAAATCTGAAAAAAAAACCTCAAATAATATTGAATGATATTAACATGACTCAGAAGAGTATTTTTTACTATTTGAATCTAACAAAATAACTTATACTCTGGCATTTTTCAAGAGTTCGTATTTGTTCTAAACGTCGGTTTGTGGAAAACGTCGTTTTTCAAACTGATTCTAGACTAAATCAAATTTTTGAGAGCGCCTACGCGATTCTTAGCGAAAAGCGACGTTTAGAATAAAACGACGCCTGGAATAAAACGACGTTCGGAATAGTGTTCTAATCGTCGCTTTGTTCTAAACGTACTTGTTCCAAACGTCGCTTTGTGCTAAACGTCGTGTATCCCTCGCCGTGCAGCCGAGGGTACAGCTTAACATTCACCCTCGAGCATTATTTCTTAGTTTCAGAATAGACCTTTTTCTCTCTGCGCAGGGATTGAAAATTGACAGTAATTGGCAATAATCAACGTCGTCTTATACAAGCTTCTACTTATTGTCTGTACTTCTAACTCTAATTTTGTCTAGCAGCCGGCTGATAATTATAAATCTACTACTAAAATTAAGACCAAATATTCCCTCTCAGTTTTGATTCATTTATGATGACCTCTATTAAATTTAGCCCTAACGGTTAGGCTCCTAACCCTAACCCTTGCCTAGTAAAACCTGCCTTAAACCTTTCTACAAAAGAATTATTCTTTGTCCTACCCACTAACCGTAACCCTAATCCAAAATGCCAGAAAAAAGCCCAAACAGCTGAAAACCGTCTAAAAACGACCTACCTTCCGACTCTTGTTGGTTCAAATCCAACGTGTTCCCTTCTCGGCGCTCTTATCTTCTAATTTTTATCTCTCTGGTCAATCTCCACGTGACACTTTTTCACAAAGTCCTTCTCTCTATCTTCTCCTTTCGAATTTTTCTTTCTCTTTCTCTCTTTCGTTTTCGATGTTCGGCGTTTTCACTTTTTATCGATTTTTCTTTTCCTAGGAACAGGAAAGATAAAAATTAGAAAAGATTTTTTATTAAAAAAACAAGTCTAAAAAAGGCTGAAATGTGCCTCTGAAAATGTGTTTTTGTGAGTGTGTGTGTTGTTGGTGGCAATAGGGTGATTCTGGTGGTGGTGGCGCGGTGGTGGCTAGCTCTGGCCTGCGCTGAGAAAGAGAGAGAGAGAGGGCTGGTGTCAGTTCCAGCCACTGCGCGAGCCGCGGGTCTTCAAGCACAGCACCACCAAACTAACTAACTAACCAACCGCGCCATCACTCCCCCTTTTCCTTTTCGCCGCTCACTCATCCCTTGTGACTGAGCATTAACGACGCCGCCTCAGGGAGCCAGGAGAGTCATGTGATACGAACAGAAAAAATCGAAAGAAAGGGGACACACAGGAGCAAAAGCAAGATCAGAGGCAGTGTCAGTAGTTATTACTCACATCTGAAAAAGGGTTGAAGATTCTTCGAGAAAAAAAAATCAGAAAAAAAAAGCAAAAATAAAATTTTAATTTCAAAAAAAAATTTTACAAATAATTTTGCGCCTGAAATAATATTATTTTCGGTGTTTTTTCTGACTATGTTTATTATTCGATAAATAATCTTAGAGCTACTAGTAGTCGAAATTTGATCTGGCCATTGTACGCAGGAGGAGAATGCACCAAAGTCCTCGGCCTGAGTCTGGTGACGTCAATGAGTGCTGGCACCACACTCTGGGGTGCAGAAAGAACGGCGCTCCGATTAGAGGCGGGCTTTGGGTGGCTTGAGCGCGCGGCGCGCGTGCACACACAGCACCCGTCACTCAGCAGAGCCGACTATGACTACTAGTTAGTCGGACATCACCGGTTCGGGCGCTTCCACCACACGACACCGTGCGAACACACACACATACACGATCGCGCGCGCTCACGCTCAGCAGCGCCATGCAGTGATTTATCCAATTTTCATGCTGTTTTCCTTATATTTGAAAATTTGATTAATAAAATATTCTGAATTCTTAAGAATTAAGCATTTTTCGAGAAAATAAAGACCAAAAAAGCCAAAAGAAATAGCTCAAAAGCTTCAAAAAATCCAGGGTTTATCAAAAACCCTTCAGAAACACCCTTATCAAGTGTCCCTTAGTTTACTATACCAGTAATACTACCTGATGATGACCATCATTAGATAAAATGGTTATTTCTGTGAAAGATTTGCTCGAAAAAGGAGATCAACTTCGAAATCAAAATCGACTATTCTGTTTTCAGCCTTATTTACCTTCTCTTTCACTTTTCAGATTATTTAAAAGTCGAATATTATTCTGAAAGTCAAGTATTATCGTCAGCATGTTTTATTTCCCCAGAGCTTCCCTGAGTAAAAGCGTCGCTCTTTTCACCGCCTTATTAGTCTTTTTAGTTTTGAAATTAGCAGCCAGTTCATTACCTACTATCACTTTTCCATGGCGAAAGAGTTACCAGCAGGGAAAACAAAATCTCTGATTGGGCGCTCAATTACTTGAAGTCTCTTGAGATCGCCCTTCCGCGAAAAAACATTTCCCTCTCGCCTAGTAGCTCTTCAGAAAGGTGCTTGCTGGGCGAGTTTATTTGGAAGTGACTGGGCACTTATGAAGCGAAAAATTCTGAATCAACAGAATTTTAAGCTCTTTGGGAATCATGGAAGAACCAGAATTGTAGCATCTCTAACCCTAGCCATTGCCCCAAAATAGTGACCTACCGATTGAACCGTTTTTAACCATCAGAATGGAGTCCATAGTCAGACTAGGCCGCAATTGGTGGTCAAAAGAAAGTCGGTCTTAGCCAAATTTAATGAGTGTTTTTTAGATTCAAAAAGTAATTTTACGACTCATTATTTTTCATTATGAAAAATGGATAATCTGAGAGAACAGCTCCATTATTTTTTATTCGACAGAGATGGAGATTTGCTCTACGAAATCGGAGCAGTAGCCGTGGCGTATGGAATATACAAGATCGCTTATATAATTTTGAAGAATACAGTGTTTCATCCGATTCCGACTTTTCCGTATCCACAAACGAGGGATGAGAATTTTAAGGTTATCAAAAATGCACTTGAAGAAGGAACATTGCCGAAGATTTTCAGGCCGCATTTTTTTCCTGGATCGACTTTCAGGAAACAAGTTAGGAAGCTCCTATTTAGCGGCCTATTTTAGTGCCTAACAGAACATTTCCCAGATAACTTTTCTAAGTAATTTTTACGTCATCACCGATTTTGAAATCATGAAAGAAGCCTTCTCAAAACGTTCAATGTCGAACCGTCAGTTTTCAGAGAGATTTGAATGTACCATCAAAAATATGCTGCGGAGAAAAGACTACCACGAGATTGCAAAATCTATATTGGATGAAAATGACCAGCTGCTCAAGAATGGCGTTGGAAATTTGGCCGGAATCGCTGAAGGACGTTATGATCAGTTCCACAAGAAAATCAGGGCTCAATGGCATGATACGATGAAGGTAGTTTTCTGAGTTGGGGCTTTTATTTTGAATGGATTTTATAGCGTCTTGTCGGGAAAAATAAGCTCGCAGAAATCATTCAAGCGTCGACGGAAAATGTATGTCTTCATCTCGAGCGACTAGGATCAGATCCTTCGGGAATAGACCCAAGAAGAATTTTCATGAACGGAAGCATCAATGTTACTTCTGGACTTGCCTTTGGAATAAATTACGACTTCGAAGATCCCGAATTTTTGAAAATTGCTGACTACGTTGATAGTTTTTTCGTCGGAGTTTTGCACTTTATCTTGAAGTGCATTTGCAACAATGCTCTTCCCCTTTGGACATTGGTTGTGCAATTAACTCTTAAAAACGAAAATAATGATGATGAGTAATTCTCTAAATTAGATAAAAAAAAACCATGAAAACCATGAAAAGATCAGCCAAAGTGACTTCTACAACAAACTTTGGCTGAAAACGCCACTAAAACACTTTGAAGATGCTTTGCCGCTTTTTCACAGTTATGTTTTCAAAGTATGTTTTAGATGCAATAAATTTGAAGTAAAGTCCTTTTTTAGATTATCAAGGAGCAGCAAAAAACCCTAGACCCTGCAAATCCCAGAAATCTTCTAGGTATTGTTCATTTTTTTTCCGAGCTACAACTAAAATATGAGTTTAGATACCCTTCTAATCGAAGCATCAAGAGATCCTGAATGGGGATATTTCACTCTTGCTGCTACAATCGTAGCGCTTTACTTGGCTGCTACCGATACTTTAGCGTAAGCCGCTTTGCAAGCAATCATTCATCATAATTTATTAATAATGATTAATCATAAGAAACACTCTGACTTGGCTATCGTTGGTTCTTGCTGACCACCCAGAAGTGCAGGAAAAAATTTACGAAGAGTTAAAGTCTGCCCGTGAAAAAGACAATGACCTGATAAAAGAGAACTGTCCTTTTACGAGATCCGTTTTGTTGGAAAGCAGAAGGTTGAATCCGATCGCAGAAACGCTCGTTCATGTTGCCTCGGAGGACACGCAAGTCAAAGGGTTTACTTTTCCGAACAACTCGCAAATCATCGGTGATTTACTGTTTTTATAACATTCTTAATTAATTCTAGGGTCTCTTGCGGCGGTGATGCATGATCCGAAAAACTTCCCAGAGCCTTCAAAATTCATTCCAGATCGTTTTATTGATGAGAACGGAGAATTCGTCAATGACCCAAAAGTCTGCGGCTTCTCTGTCGGTCTTCGAAATTGCATCGGTAAATCGTTGGCGATCGAGGAGTACTTTGCTTTTGGGACAAGTATGGTGGAGAATTTCGAGATTAAGAGGTTGAAATTATTTATATTGTCAATTTTAATTGCTTTTTATATTTTAAGGATTGCTGGAAATATGGATATTGCTGACCATCCTGGCCTCAGAATTCCAAAAGATGATATTCGCCTTCAATTTATTCGAAGAAAAAATAAAGCATAAATGCTTTTGACCTGATAATTTCTGTAAAATAAATCGATCAAGAATATATAATAAAATTGTGCTATTTTTATTTACAATTTATCTTATTTTTTCTCGCTCTAAATTAGTTTTATACATTTCGAATTTGCTGAATGACATTGAGCAGGCGATTGAAAAAATAACAGAATGCATAAACTGCACAGATTTGGCCAATTGAAGTTATCAAAATCATCCAGTCGAAAGGATTGAGGCAGTCATTGGAAAAAGGCATCCCGTAGATGTTCATATTTGATTGATAGACGCAATTGTAATGCCGATTTGAGTACCACTCCATCAAATAATCTTAAATTTTAGAATTCAGATGAAGTAAAGTTTTTAGATCTACCGGTTGGTCGAACAAGCCGAGGGTCTTCTCCATAATGATTTTGAATATTTTCCATTGAGTCAAGCAAACTCAGTGCATTTTGAAGCTTCAGTCCGTCGACTACTGTCCTTTTATGGTTGAAACTCTCGGCGATCGTTACTGTCTGGGAGGTGAAGACAGTACTGATAAGTTGAACAAGGGAGCCGACGGGAGAAAAAAGGAGCATCATGAAAACCATCGCCGAAAGATGCATTTTCGTACAGAAACTGCGAGAAATGTGGAGGTAGTCGACGAATTTCGGGACTGTGGTCGTGATGAGTAAGAGCCAAGAAATGAACATCGGCAGCGGCTTGATGATGTAGGAAGTAGGCATTGGTGAAGCAGGGTTTTTGAAACGGACGGAGTAGAAGTAGACGAAGAAATTTGAAGGAAGCTTGAAAGTTTTATGAAGCTCATTTAATGACAAAATTTTCTCACCTGGAAAAGAATTAATATTACTAAATAAATCGTCACTTCAAAAGTGAAATGCAAATTGACAAGTTCCGCTGCATATCTCGCTCGGATAACATTACAAATGCAGAAAAATATCAAGAAAACCAAGCCAAAAACAGCGCTTTATTCAGGCTCAATTAACTGTTTCTCTAAATAAGAGAGAGAATAAAACTCGATAAAGATTGAACCTGTTCCTTATGAGTAAACAAGTGCTGAGTGCTTCAGATTTGGTCAAAAATGGCGCTCCAAAAGAGGAGTAGTCGACCCAAACCCAACTTGTCACTGTAGCCTCGAGTAGTAAAATGAGCGGCCCGGACAAGAAAGAGATCACAGATTGACTGTCTGCTTCCGTTCTTCCAGATTCGTTCAAGACTGTGAAATTCGTCGGCCAAGTGCAGAAGGAAATAAAACTCGACGCGCTTATTATTATGATGCCAAATACAGCGGTGAGAAGAATCAAAAATACTCCAGAAGGCGATTTTGCTTCACCAAGAAGCTCGATTTTTACAGACTCTCGATTGAGCGCAAATTCTTCGACAACGTAATCCAAGAAAATTGCCACAAAGTCTTTTGTTATTTCAGGGACAGACTTTGCGTTTGTCGCTGCATCGTCAGATTCAAATATGAAAACACTGTCTATTGAAGTTGCATTTCCAATACTTCTGATTCCAATCGTCTCGGTCGCGAGAAATCTAAAGTCGCTCTGAAAGAAGCTTTCGCTCAAAAGATGCAGTTTCTTGATAATATGTCCAAAGATGGGCGATGATGAAGGCTTGTCGATTGTAATGACAAATTTTTGGTAAAGCAAGGAATCTGAGTTAACCGACTTTGCTGTTGAAAATTTGGAAAGCTGAAGGCATTTTCGATTTCCAATTCGAAGTTGGAACTGAGTCGTTGTGTTTGCTTTGATAGGCAGATCGCTTCCTTTGAATTCGGTACTGTACTGATAGTCGGAAACATTCACCAAATAAATTTCATCGTCAACATGCAGTGGCTCGGAGGTGATGCCTTCTATTCTCAGACGCATTTCAAAGGGAGAATCAAAAATGACGTTATTCAGAGCAGTCACAGCATATGGATTGGCAATAGTATCTACTTCTATATTGAACGGAGCCTTGCCAGCGAGCAGAACAGATACTTCGATTGTTCCGTCAATTGCGCCACACGTGTCGATATCAATCGTTCTACGAGCATTGTCCTCTACAACCAGTTTCTTTCCTAATTGATAAACGGCTGCTGCCATAATTGACGGAGCCGCTTGTTCGCAGTGAGTTCCGTTTCCGTAAAACTCTGGCGCAAGGCACTCGCATTCAAACCCACCGATTTTGTTCGTACAAGTGGAACTGTAGAGTCCGTATTTGACCCTTGTTTCTTCTCCCGTCGCGGCCCAATCTTCCGGGGCGTGGCAATTATGAGTTCCTCTAGAGCACTCATTGATATCAAGACATTTGTTGCCCGTAGAATCAGATTCGAACCCATTTGGACAAATACATTCATAACCTCCCTCTGTATTCTTGCATTTTGCCAGTTCGTCACAGTTATGAAGTTTAAGAGCACACTCGTTGTAGTCGAAACATCTGTATCCATCGCCTTCATAGCCATTGTTACAGTGACATGTCGCCATATCAACATTACAGACAGCGTTGTCGTGGCATTCTAGACAAGGTTGCGGGCGAACGCATTCGTCTAGATCAGTATCGAGTACCCAGCCAGCTCCTTCATTGCACACGCAGACATTTTCCTCGCATTTCTGGCTTGAAAGACATTTTGATTCACAGATTTTTGTCTTTTCAGAAATCCCTGGACATTCATTTGATCCAAAAGGAGCACCAAGGCAAACTCGACTCTTTGATGTCAGAGAAGGGCCACATTCTGATTCGCATTCTGACCATGAGCTCCAAACTGACCATTTAGGACAAGCCTGATCATTACATCGTTCTAAATCAGTTTCTTCGTCGTAAGGGCATCCTACATCACCAATTTTGCCGTTGATGCAGATCCTTTGCCTAGCTCGCTTTCCAGCATCACATGTTGCCGTGCATTTTGACCAGGGCTCCCATTCCGACCAGTATCCGCAATCGTCATGGTGGCAGATCTCTAGCTCTATCAAATCTCCAATACACCCTTCGTCGCCAACAGAGCCGAAGTTGCATTTTCTTGTTCGATTTCTTCCACCAGTAAAAGGACAAGGACCATCAAATTCGCAGCTAGACCAAACAGACCATTGAGCAAAATAGGGGCATTCAGAGGCAAGGCACGGTTCTTTCTCGATAAGAACGTCAGTCATATTTTTCACCTCTGGGCAGACCTTTCCATAGTTTCCAATTCGATCGCAGTAGTTTTTCCTCGTTCGAACATTTCCCTTTCCACATGATGCCGAACAAGGAGTCCAAAGGGACCAACCAGTCATTCTAGCGCAGTAGCCAAGGTCGCATTCTTCAGTTTCATAGCTTCCAGTCGGACAGAGATCACGATCTTGGCAAGTTCGGAATCGCTCTCGATGCCCTTCGTCGCATGTTCGATCACAAGGAGTCCACTGGCCCCATTCTTCCCAAATTATTCTCTGTCTTGTTGGAGCAGCAGTGATTTCTGTAGATAGGGGGTTTTCTTCGTCATCATCGAATGAATAGTCGATCCCCATGTCAGAAAGTGAAGAATCTGCGTCCATGTAGTCACAAAACTCTCGATCTGTGCAAATTCTTGACTCGACCGAAGCTTGTTTTGGGCACTCTCCAGTAAAACAAGAGCGAGTTCTAAAAGACCTAGAAAATGTATCATCACATGGAAGTGTGCACTGACTCCAACTTGTCCACTCATCCCATGTCCATGTTGCCACTGTAGTTTACAACGAAGTTGAAGTTGAAGTCGTTGTTTGAGTTTTTGACTGTGTTGTCGAAGTAGTTGTTGTGGAAGTAGTTGCTTTGGTGGTGGTGCTTGTAAACGTAATGGGGCTAAATTCTGCAGGGCCAAAAGCAAGCATTTGCTTAGGCATCCAACTTACTTCTTCGATATCCGCAAGGCAATCTTCTTCTGGGATAAAACAAGTTTTACTTTCAAGACTATTTCCAATACAATTTTCTTGTATATTTTCAGTCGCATCACAATTTCTCATTCTTGTTGAAACCCCACTTCCGCAAGATGAACTGCAACGCGACCACTCAGTCCAGTTGTTCCAGTAGCTACAAGGGCGATCGGAACATTTTTCCATTTCTATTGCAGCTCGTTTTTGGCAACCTGGCAAGCCGAATTTATTCTTATCCTTGCACATTCTTGTGCGACTTCTAACACCATCGTCGCAACTTGCGGAGCATCTTCCCCAATTACCCCAGCTGAGCCACTCACCCCGGCAAACATTAAGTTGACAACTTTCCTGTTCGAATGATTCTGCGAGAGGACAATCAGTATCACCGATATTTCCATTTGAACAGGGGCGATATCGTGTTCGTTCTCCAAGGTCACAAGTTTTTGAGCACTTTGTCCATTCCATCCAGGTTCCCCAAGAAGGGGCCAGTGATCGAATTCGTTGGCTTTCATCTTCGCTACTGAAAAAGCTCTGAATATTTGACAGATAAGAAGCAAGAGACTGTGTAGTAACTGAAGGGCGTGTGGTTGTATCGATTTCCATGGAAATTTCATATTCCTCATCTCCACTTCCAGAACCTTCTGAGGACCCCTCTTGAATGTTTTCACATCTGCATTCTTCTGTTTCGATCGATGTTGCATTATTTTCCGCCCAAAAATCAGCACAAACAGTGGCATTTGAAGGCTTGATGCAAACGAAAGTATCCATCGGGCACTCAACACAGCCTCGTCTCCTAATTCTAGAGCCAATAAGGAACCGTGAACTGACTTCCGGATCCTCACAGTCAAGATCGCATGGCTGCCAAGAGTTCCAGAGTGACCATTGAGGGCATCCGTGTACTTCGCATTTGCCAGTCTGTTGTTCATCATCGTATGGGCAAGATACTGATCCAACGGCGTCCCCAGTGCAGTTTCTCAACCTTGATTGCAGCCCCGGGCCACACGTTGTTGAGCACTCTCCCCATTCACCCCAGCTTGCCCATTCAGGGGAAAATGATCCACCAGAGCAATAACCGTCAAAACACTCCTCTGTGATATTTCCTGCGCCGGGGCAGGTGACATCTTCGAGCTCATTTTGACATGCGCGTGTTTTTACTCTGACTCCTTTCCCACAAGAATTACTGCATTCTGAGTAGTCCGACCACTCACCCCAATAAATCGGGCAATAATGCGTCGCACAAGAGATTTGCTCTGTTGCTTCCGCTGAATCACAACCGATCTCTCCAATGTTTCCATTTATACATGGTTTTTTCCTTATTCTAGCGCCTGAGCCACATGTTCTGCTACAATCACTCCAATTTTCCCATTCACCGAGGTAAGGGCACTCATCAAGATCACAAGCAATGATCTCCTTTGCACCTTCCGATGGACAATTATCTGCTTCTCCAATTTCCCCATGTCGACAAAATCTCTGTCGAGATTTTGTTGCATCGCCACATGTAGCAGAACACGGGGTATAAGGGCTCCAAAGCGCCCATCTTGAACAAGGTTGAGCGTTGCATCTTTCTGTTTCGTTGAAGTTGACAAGCTTTGCAGGTGGCAAGCAAGGAGGTTCTGGAACAGTTTCGTTTTCCGCCTCGAGATCATCAAGAAACTCGAGCAAATCTAACTCTTCAGCTTCTCGTCTGCCTTTATTCTTTTTCTTTTTATCCTTTTTGGATTTGTCTTTAGGTTTATTTTCGCTAGCTTGTTCTGTGCATTTTAGTGCAGCTCTCATCCTTTCCCCTCCATCACATTGTCTTGTGCACTCAGACCATTCAGTCCACAGTTGGGTCGTTGGAATGATCGGACAAAACTCACGATTACATTCTCCTCTTTGAAAAGTTGAGTTGATATTCTGGGCGAACTTTGGAATGTCTTGATCTTCCTCGTGACAGCCGATCTCGCCAATTTCACCTTGTTTACAGCGTCTTGTCCGAGTCTGCATTCCTTTAAAACCACATGAAGACGAACATGTATCCCATTCTGACCATTTCGACCAAGAAGGACATTTTTGAGTGTTGCAAGGCTTGCTCTCCTCTGGATCTTTCCCACACTCGAATCTTGGGAAGATTTTTTCTTTGATAATGGAAGCATGAACTATATGAAAAATTTTCAAAAATTTCCTATAGCATTATATAAAGACATGATAAATTTAAATTGAGAGGCGTGTGTTGTTGAGTTTGCAAATAACGGTCTTTTTTATGGCCATGAGTAAATATTACGGGTCGTTGCTATTCAGTCAGTCAGAATACTACAAGTTTAAGTCTAAAAGTGAGTTGCGAAAATGAGCTCAGTGTATGACATAAATGAAGTCAATAAAATTTTACGAGATTCAAGAGTACAAATATGGAACACAACAGCCGCTTTATCAGCATCAAGAACAGGGCAACACCCAAGAGACAGGTCGAAATATACACTGGCTGATGCAGAGTTTCATCTTCGAAATGAGATCGCAAATGTTGAAAGTGTTCAACAATTTTTAGATACAGATGTTAGTAATCAATTTCAGGGTAATATTTAAAATTTTCTAAAATATTGTATCGTCTATTTACTTAGATATGGCTGTTGTTGCCGAAGTCATTGCAAATATTTTGAAGAATGAAAAAGCTTATTTAGGACTGTGAGTAACGAAAAGTCTAAAAGATATAAGGACTGATCGTTACTCGGTTTGAGAAACAGAAGCACAAGTTGCGGAATTTATCCCAAGATTTCAGAACTTTATGGGTAGCATGAACTATTTTGCTCCTGCAATCAAAAACGTCACGAAATTGAACATTGAAGAAGGCAACTTGAAAATTTGAGATTTAATGAAGATTGAAAATTAAGGAGAATCGTCAGATATTGTCGGAAGAAATGACTTCTATCTTCCATCGAAAGATGAGAAGTGCCGTTATTGACTGAAAAAAAGATGAAAAGAAATGCATGAGAACTCCATAGCAAAAACATGAAAAAATACGAGATCATTATGATACAAAAAAAGAAGACAAAAAAATAACAAAATAGCAAAAATCAGAATAAAAATATTTATTATTTCATCCTTAAAAATTTATTCTACATTCCATGTATTTATATGAGCATAACAAATTGATTCATGCTGAACTATTCAGTTATGTCTGTCTGTTGTTTTCAATAAAAAACCCTTTCCTGGCGTCTCCTACGAGTTTGACGAGTTTCGAGTAACAATATCTTTCCCGGGTGACAATGCCAGTCCCACAAGTGATGGAACATTCACTCCAAGAGTTCCACTCTCCGAATTCACCCGGAGGATACCTCACAACTCCAAATGATCCCGCTAATATCATGAGTTGAGGCTCTTTTTCTACCTTGCTTGGCAGCTTTGTTTTCTCATCAAATAGAATAAACTCATTTGGTGGTGGAGAAGGCGGGGCTAATTTGTTAAACGGTTTAATATAAGCACCTCCAAGAATCATCAGCTTTCCCTGATAAGGAACCATCGTCATATTTTCCCTTTTCTCAAGAAACAAGTTTCTGTAGGACTGCCAGCTTGTGTCAATACTCAAATTGTCAATTGACAGAAGATGAGTTTCATATTGAAGAGGATCGTCGTCATTACGAGTTTTTGTGACGATAAAGATATTTTCGTTGAAAACACAAACAGCATCATGCGGTGTTGAAGGTTGAAACTGTGGGGGAAGATCCGGTCCAAATGTTATTGTCTTGTTGTTGATATCGTTATGGTGAAAAGTTATGACTTCTACATCACCATAGAGATCGAGGACATCCTTGAGTGGTGAATTTTGTCGCTCTGCTTCCTTGGTTCCGAGGAAAGTGCTAAGTCCGGATAGGAAATTTTGCATTCCAACTTGCCTTCTTTTTCGATTTTCAGTAATTCCACGTGCTCCTAGGGTGTTTTCTTGCTTTTGACCACCAATGAAGAGTAGCTTATCCTTGTAGGAAACAAGAGCGCCGCCATCACGCTCAATTTTCGTTTCAAAAAATGTCTCGAATTCAAGATCTTCATTGAAAACTACGCATGTTTTCCCTTCATGAAGCCCGCAAAAGAAGATTTTGCCCATATGAACTTCGCATGATAAGCTTCTCTTGAGCTCTTTTGTCAGAAAGGGCCAGTCAACCGTCGGAAAGAAGCTTTCAACGCCGACGTAATCAAGATATTCCTGATCGATTGATGAGCCGTCAAAGAAATCAAGAGGATCGAGGATGAGGCCATCAGTCAAAGACGTCCAATTTGATTCACTTCCGTCGTGAATCCAAACTCCACTTTTATGGCCAACTAATAAACGCTCCCCAAAAAGTTTGAAGCACCAGCGCATTTCTGTCCGCTCAAGTTCTTCAAATCTCTCTAGTGGCCAAGGATTGCTGTACTCGTCCGAAAAATCACCGATGAGAGTTCTGAAGTACTTTCCTTCTTCTAGCGTTCGTTTTTGCATGTCTTGAGTTTCGTCGAATCGCTTACCGTAAGATACAAACGTGAGTGTTTGAAAGCCAAGTTCTTGTGTTGGTCTTGGCGCTTCGGTCGTTGAAAGAGTAGCTGAAGTCGTTGTTGTGGTAGTTGTGGTCGTAAGTTTGTCTTCGAGCGCAATCAGGCCCGCGAGAGTTGATTGGAAACCAGCGTTGTAATCAAGTGCCACTTCGTTTGTTATCCAGTTTTTTCTGTCATTGATAAATACATCTGTGACTGTGTCTGCTCCACCAACGAGAGCACCGTAGAGTGTCCAAACAGCTTCTGTATTATTTCCCTCAACGCAGAAGTCTTCAGCACCGTTGCACGATGAGCCCCGATGATGGGGCTCCGATGGATAGACATCGCCGTATCCTATCAAATACGACCCAGTTTTTCCATCAATGACAGGTCCATTCAGAAGATAATATATCTGCCCTTTGACTTCCTGAATTAAACCAAAGTCTTCTTGATCTCTTGCATCCAAAGCGAGCAAAAACATTGCATTCGCATTGTGCCTTGTCGAGCCCCATTTTGAGATCCAAATGTATCCCTTTTCTGTCCTTTCCCGTCTAAAAATCGAGGTCTTGAATTTTTCGAACCTTTCTTTGCTCGGCTCGTTGTCGAATAAATTACTGAAGAGATAATGAATCGCGGGATGTTTAGAGTCCCAGTTGAAGGATTCGCCTTCCCACCAAATTGTGTTGTATTCGATATCCCCGTTGATTGCTCGTTCTTCCCATGAAAACGCCAAGGCCTTCATTTCTTCCGCAATTGATTCGTTGCCTAGAACAACGGCCGCTTTATGGACCCAAAGAGCTGCATAAACATGTTCGTCTGCAATATGCCAGCTTTTGTAGTATTCTTTCAGCTCTGGAATCGCATTGTGCAGATAGCCATGGTTCTCGAAACAGCTTCTAGTCATGATAACCGACCGATTAAATAGCTCTTGAGATAGCTGCTGGTCATCAGCTTGGAAATAGACGGCAGCAGAGGCAAATGTTGCTGCTACTTGGCCAAGCAAATCTGACGCTGGATTTTCTTCATTTGAAGTAAACGAAGGTCGAAAATGATCAATCTTCTCCGGTGGAATCCAGAATGAATGCTCGGTCGTTGGAAGGCCAACCATTCCTACAATACTGAGTTCTTCGTAATTCGCCTTCATCAACCAATCAATGCCCCACCGAATGATTCTATTATTAGCTTCATATTGACCAGCGCTTCTATATCCGATCGGAAATTCTAGCGCACCCCAGATGAGCAGATTAATTGCAAAAGCCATTGGATATGTAAATTTTACCGAATCTCCAGCATCAAAAAATCCTCCCGAAAGATCCAGCTCAAGGTCGCATCCATCTGCAAGTACTGAATCGCCGCGCCAAGGAATTCGACTCCAAGAGGGTTTCTTTCCAGCAATTTGGGCTTCGTAGAAAAGGGTTGAAAGCGAAAGTGCATAGCTGAGGTCGTAGGTTTGGTACTGTTCGCGCTCAAGAATAGTTTGCTGCGGATTTTCGACTACAGAGCCAAGAGTTTTGTTTCGACAAGTTTCTGGTAGAGAATAAGTTGTTGTAGTCGTTGTAGTTGTGGTTGTGGCCGTGATTGAAGAAGATGATGTTGATGTTAATGTTGAAGTCGAAATAAGTGTTGTTGAAGTGAGATTAGCAAAAATATCGTCCAATGAAGTTGTTTCCCTCAGTGTAAAAGCTGTCATCTCAGTTGTCGTGGTTTTGGTTAATAATGTGGAAGTTGATGTAGTAGTAGAAGATTTCGTAGCAATTTGCGCAAAAATTGTTGTTGTGGTCGAAGCTGTAGGCTCTTCAAACCAGTCGATCAGCTGAATTTCTTCTAAGGGATCAGGGGTTGTTGCCAAGAGCTCATCAAGTTCCGCAAGTGGATCTGGCGTCGTCGCTAGAATCTGATCCAACGCATCGAAAAGACCAACAGTTGTTACAAGAAAATCGAGATCAAAAGCTTCAGTTGGCGATTGAGTTGATCCAAGAATATCCCAAAAGTCAGGAGCAGCAGTTGTTTGATATCCCTCACCATCGATGCAGTATTTTTCGTCAGATTGATCAATACAGTCATTTATTCCATCGCAAATTTTCGATCGAGGAACACAACCTTTTATCTTGAAACAAGTAAAATCGTCTCCGTCGCATAAGTGCTTGCATTTTTTCTTGTGCAAAGAAAACTCGTCAAAATTGATCTTCCCATCCTTTGTTCCTTTCGAGATGATCTCAATATTGAGCTCTGGAAAATCAGTTCCCAAAAGAGGTACTCTTACTCTTTCCCATTTATTTGAAGCGGACAAGTTCTCATACCAACCAATTTCTTCAAATCCAAGAAACGGCTCTGTAAATCTAACCCCAGCGGATCCATTTTCAAACCAGCTGCGGTAGAAAAACTCGAAGCAATAATGTGTTTCCGCGACTAATTCAACCTTCGGTAGCTCTAGAACTATTTCTTCATCATCTTCTTCAAACTTTGCTCTAACGAAGTGCTCCAAATCTGAGCCCCAATCTCGTGAAATCGACCATTTCTCTGGTCCAGTCCAATTTTCGCAGAAATCTCCACCGTCAAAGCCACAATAAAAAGAATAAGCAAATTTTATATTTAGTAAAGCTAAGATCTTCATGTCAATAATTCCGCATAATTCAAAACGCAGTGGAATTTAATTTCCATAAGGTGTTATGACGCAAGACAATAACAAAGAGGAAAAGAGGAAAAAACTCGTCGGTGCACCAAAAAGCTCACCCAGAGGGAATGTCTCAGTTGCCGAAATAAAAGCTTTGATTTCACGCTCAGAGCCTTTATGAATCCATTACCGGCGCTAGAATAATTCGGTGAACAAGCTTGAAACGCGTGCAAAATCTGTTTTCTGAGATTTTATTGTACAACTAAGTGATTTATATAAGAAGTGTGCAGATTAAGATTTTTTAACTTACAGATGGGCCACTGAACAAAATTTTTATAAAAACAAGTTTTTCAAAAGTCAAAGGTTTTTCCGACAGCGACTTTTCTTTTCTTCGGTGGAGTGTCTTCAGTTGTATTTTTGTGATCCCAGTTCACGTCGCGGCGCTTTTTGACGATGAGTCCATCGAGGTTGAGGCGAGGGATGGGGATCGGGATAGACTCGAGCTGGTCGAAGTCTTCGTCGTTGACGGAGTTGGAGAGTTGATTCAGACTTCGCTGGATCGCCTGAAAAGAAAATAGTCGTCAGATTTCAAAAGTATGCGGGGTTTTGTATTATTCTTTCTGTATATTTGGTGGGGGTGTAACGAATGGATTTTGTAAGCTGTTGGTAAATCTTACGGTTGAAATTCGCTTTCCCTGTTATAGATATTTATAAATTGCTCGATATTTCTTGGTTATTATGGTCTTTAAATCAACAATGCATGCTTACCTTCGAGACTCTCTGCGTAGACGGCTTTTCCGCTGCAACCAGTTCATTGATCATGATACTCTGTTCCGACGATGCTTCATTGTCGTCGCTGATAATGGTCATCTCTGGCGGAAGCGTCATGATCGACTCGTCAAGTCCCGCGTCTTTCATTGCTGAAAGGATAAGTTTCAGAAAAATGAAATAAAACTGAATTGTACCTGAAGATACAGTGACACAGCTCTCATCAAATAAAGGCGGATTGGGTTTGTGCGGCCTAATGAAGCTCGATTGCTTTCTCAGTCGTTTTTCGGGAAGCGGCGGTGGCTCAACAAACGTCTCTTCGGCCTCATTTTCAGCAGGTAATTGACATACGCACGCTTGGTTTTGATTGTCGTCCCTAAAATTAGTTTTCAGGAATTCTCTTCGGATCTAATTTTATCAGTAAGGATTCCCGATCAACAGATATTTTAAAAAATGTATCATCCTTGCTTTTGACTAAATTTATATTTTTTTCTTGAGAAAATCTAATTTGTGATTCTTTATATTGAAACTTACGTCATTGGAAGTTGTCTTTTCTTCTCGCTCTCATTCAACTTTGCTTCGAGTACGCGTACTTTCTCCACAAGTGTTTCTTTTGCCTTTTGCTCCTTCATTCTCAGGTCAATAAAAGTCACTTCCCCGTCTCCCGGCGAAATCGCTCTCTTTATTATCTCTATCATGAAACACACAACTACTAATCAGTATATGCAACTAATTATGTAACCAGTCAATGAAGTTCGAAGGTAACCATCTTTCACGGTTAAAGACTTTTACCCTTCAAAATATTTGGGGGCTATTAATTAATTAACCTTTAGCTTTAAAGTTTAAACAATTTTCTCTGAGAATGACCCTGTTTTTTCATCGAAAAATATTGACCTGTGCCTGTTCGAATTTCTTTTTCCACTGTTTCAATTCTTCGACGAGTCCCCTGTTCTCCCTTGTGAGAGCTTTAAACCGCGCCGAGTCTACCGTCTTCGTGCAATATTCATTTTCCAAGTTGTTCTCTAAGTTCTCGAGCATATTTCGAATATTCTCAACGTCGCGGCACGCTGAAATGAGCGGAACTTCCATACAGACTTTTCTTTTACGAAAAAAAATAAAGCTATTGAAAAGGCGGGTGATTTTGGGGCTTTGTCGGAATGCAGCTTTTTTTCGGATCTGGGTCGAGCGAAGATTTTGCACAGATGGACGGGCCGCGCCAACCGAACCAATTTGAAGTGCGCGCGAGATGCAACTGAAAGAGGGCGGAAGAGAGATCGAAGGTATCCGGCCGAGTAAGTGCTGATTCAGGGAAACTAACAGGAAGAATGCGCCCTTTGAGAGTTCGGCGGGAGCTCAAAATGCGCATTCATGTCTCTTTTTCTATTTTTGGATGAAAATGGTAAATTTTGTTATGACAAGAAAATATAATCGAAAAATAAGAATCCACTTGATTTGATATTTATGAAATTTTGGATTCTCTTATTATGTAGGCAAAATATCTGTTTACTACGAAAAAATCTTGATTCTGGTTTTCAAATAGAAGTAACCAAAAATCAAAAATGGGATTTTTTCCATAAAATCGTTGATAACTTTCTATCTGCAGATTATATTTACATCTTTCGGCGTCAAAAATCAGGCCTCAAGCTCTCCCATGAAATCGACCGCTTCATTCAAGTGTGTATCCGCTAAACAACTCACCCTCCTGCCGCGTTAACCTGCTTTTTGTTGGATAAGCCAACAGCTAATTTGAAATATAACAGTTGAAAATTTGCAAATATTTATTTATATATTTACTCCGTCAGTATCAAGTAAATGAAACATGTAGTTTTTGGAAGTGGATATGTCTGTACAGAGGTTTTGCTGAACTTTGAAGATAGGGTGGTTTGGACTGGTTTACTGTAGCTGGTACTGTAGCTCTGAAGTCGTCTAGAAGCGATAGGCGCCGATCCATATGTTACAGCGCGTCACAAATGTTAGCTTTTTCCAGGGCGAGAAATGAAAAATCAATTATGAAGTAAATAAACTCATGGAATATGAGGATTTTTATTCATTGGTAAATGTGAACCCCTTCCTTTCGATGTTGAAGTTGTGCGATTGTTTCAATATCCACCACATAATATCCCGGCCCCTGTATCACTTTCTTCGCCATCAGTATTGCCACAGAATGACTGCCTGTATCCTCCACTTTGAGCTTTAAAAATAGATGATGATCAAGTTTTAAATTGTTGTTGCATACTCCAAAAAGGGATTTGTCGCCATAAGAGATCTTGAAGTTGACGGACACTAATGAGCGTGTATCGATCGTGAGCTTGAAAGCCTGCCCGTGGAAGTCGGATTTGAACGAGAAGTAATTCATGGAGATTTCGCGGTGCTCGCAAGTTCGAGGGTTTTTGCATTCTTTTTCGCATCTATGTTTGTAAGTAAGATTAATTTTTTGGCAGAAGCTGCTCTCAATCACTCGTAAGTTTTTCCTTGATATATTACATCGGTAGGTAATAAATCAGAATTTACTAACATTTGATTCAAAAATCAAAATTATGGTTTCTTACGTGTAGGGGGATGTTCTCTTGTTGCTTTGCCCTCTTTTGTTTCTTTTCAATCTATATCCAGGGTCGCAAGTTTTGTTGATACATTTGAAGCCTCCATCGATGTTGTGGCACATTTGGTCAGGCTGACAGTCGTGCTTTCCAGTTTTGCACTCATCTATGTCTTCAAAGAAATGATCAGAAAGCCGAATTTTGAGAATGCTTTACCTATGCATCTGTTTCCGTGGACATCATATCCAGTCGGGCAGGAGCATGTGTAACCAGGGATTGTGTTCTCGCAATTGTACTGGCACGGATTACTTCGTCGTTCGCACTCATTTATGTCTGCAAATATTTTTAAAATTCGATGAAGGGACACATAAAAAGATAAGCAAGTTATATCTTGAATATACCTTGACATGTATGGCGCTGGAATCCGAACGTTCGTTCTTGGAATCCGTGATTACAGTGACAACTGTAGCTTCCCATTCTATTTACGCAAACCCCATTTTCCCCGCATTCATGTGTATTTTCTCGACATTCATTGATATCTAAACGATCAATGAATCCTTGGCAAAAAAGAGCGTCAAAGATTTCAAACCTCGGCAAGTCCTTCCGACGAATTCCATTCCAGGGGCGCAGTCGGGAACGCAAGAGTATGAACCGATGTTGTTGACACATTTTTCATGAATTTTGCATGGAGAGATTTGATCTTCGCACTCGTTGATGTCGACGCACTGATTGCTACTCGGGTTTAGTTGGAAACCAGACTTACAGAGTCGTTGATGAATATCACAGTGATAACTAAGAAATGTTTTTTTTTCACTTATTGAAAAGAAATATTTACCTTCCAATAGTGTTTATACATTTGAACCCATTGCATTTGTCCCTCAAGCATTCATCAACATCGACACAGAGGTTTCCACTTTCATCAGGAGCAAATCCGGGCAAGCATACACAAGACTTTGAGCCAGGCAGATTTTGACATCGCGCATTTGACGGGCAAATATGTCCCTCGGCACACTCATCAACGTCGACGCAGTTTCCAGTTCCGTCGTTTCTGAAGCCATCGGCGCAAGCTTGCTGTCCTCTGCATCTAAAATCTCCATAAGTGTTTATGCATTCTTCGTCCTCTCCGCAATCGTGCATTCCGTCGGCGCACTCGTCAATGTCTTCACAACGGCCATTGTTGTATCTGAGTCTGTTTCCACATTGAAGCTGGCATTCATAGCTGCCTGGAGTGTTAACACAGTTTTCATGTTCCATCTCACATAATCTAAACGGGTCCGGGTCATCGCACTCATCTATGTCTTCACAATAACCGAGCTCATTCATTTTCCATCCGAGATGGCAGTGACAAGTCGCATCTCCGACAGGATTCGGCCTGCAATAAGATCCATCTCCGAGACAATCAAGGTCATTGCAAGTCTTATATCCTATTGTCGTTGTCGTCGGCGCTTTGGTGGTAATTTCGGAAGGATGAATGCATCGTTTGATTCCGTTTTCGATGACTTGGTGGTATCCGTCGTCGCAGACGCAGGCAAAAGAGGTGACTTGGGAGACGCAGTGCTGGTTGGCAAAATTTCGACAGTAGTTGTGCCCCACGAACTCACAATAATCACGCTTTGTTGTTGTGGTCGTTGTTGTTGTCGTTGTGGTGGTTGTTGTCGTACTTGTAGTTGTTGTTGGCTTAGGAGGTATGTACAAATAAGTCGCACGAGTATCAGCACCAGAGCAGCAGTGATAGAAACTTGAGCGGCAAGGTTCAGGCAGGAAGAGCTCTGCGGAGCAGTGACCGACTTCATCTCTCATCTTCATGCCCAACTGGCAGCATTCACAACAATTTGACCTCTCGTCATTCTCAGTACCCGAATAATGACAGCTTCTTTCCATCGAATAATCATGTACGCCGTAATAACACTCCATCGCTGCCGTAGTTCTTTCGCAACAAATAGAACTTGTCGAGGAGCAAATAGAAGTCCCCAGGTGCTGCGAATATTTTCCTAATTGATCTTCACATTTATGCTGAGACGCAGCCCACAGCCTTCCGGAGTCACAACATGAGTCGATGTCCGATTCCGCGTAATTTGCGGCGACTAACGGCGGCCTGACAATGGCTTTGGCGTTGCCTTCAAGTTTGACTAATTTCTGGAACATGTAGGACATGAAATCTTCGGGTTTAGAGGGTAGTGTTGTGGTTGTTGTGGTCGTCGTTGTGGTTGTCGTAGTTGTTGTCGTGGTGGTGGTTGTTGTTTTGGTTGTTGTTGTAGTAGACGTTGTGGTTGTTGTCGAGGTAGTCGTTGTGGTAGTCGTTGTTGAGGTTGTTGTTGATCTCTTTGTCGTGGTTCTTCTTGTAGTGGTTGTTCTCCTCGTCGTTCTGACTTTTGTAGTAGGGGAACTCACAGTCGCTTTTGTAATCTTCACCTTTCTGGTGGTTTCTTCTGTTGTATAAATGCCCTCTGTATAATTTGGAACATCATCATAATCTGGTTCAGTCTCCATCTCTTCTGTAGGTGCTGCAATTGGTGGCATAACAGGCTTGAAAGTTGGCTGAAAACCTTGTCCATCAGTAGGGTCATTTGTTTGGTCGCTATTAGAACCACTTGATCCATACGCATCATAAACGGGCCAATTTGAAGGAGGATATTGTCCTGGTGGTCTTTGAGGACCCCTCCATTGAGGATTTTGAGCTTGGGGGCCCCAAACTGGACCTTGTTGTGCTGGAACTTGAGCCTGTCCACCCCAATTGTTAGGTTGACCTCTTTGGGGAAAAGCCCATCCTTGTGCTGAGTTACCATAATCAGCCCACGAATTGGCCGCACTTCTTCCATCATTATTACTTTTGATCGCTAGAAAGTTTTATTTGAAACGATAATCGCTTTATTCTCACATCTATGAGCCCATTATAAAGTGATAATCACCTGCTGAGTCTTCAGTTTCGTTGGTTTTGACAAGAGGCAGCACGAACTTGTTTCCGGTAGATTGATCAACATTGCCTCCGCCACTGCCGATCGGGCCACCTTGCGGTATTGCTGGGACCTGACGTGGAGGAATGCCATAAGAACCGTACGCAGAATCATAGTTCCCGTAATAGTCGCCGTAGTAATCGTAAGTCGGTCCGTAGAACGAGATGTTGATACTGGAAGAGTTGTTTGGCAGTGTTGGACCCATTGGCGGCGACGCACCGTAAGCCGGAGGTGAGATGGAAGCAGTGCTCTTTTCAGCTAGAAAGGACGTTTTTCGATGTAAAACAGGACGAAGTATTACCAAGAGATACGAGATTGGCAATCGCTTCTGGACTCATCATTTGGCAAACAAGAGGCCCCGGCGTGGCACAGCTACAATACACAGAGGGACCGGAACCTTTCACTGTGCCGGATGGGGAGTAGCCTCTGCCAACCGGAACTATTCCACTTGGAAAGCCATTTCTCTGGCAGTCGATCATTTGATACCCTTGACCGAGATTGAAATATGTAGAACAAAGCAGTCTTGGGACTATTTTAGATAGACTCTCTAGCATGTTGGCTATATCAACCCCTTCCCTGAGTCACATTCGCAGAACATGCTTTGTCTTTTAATTTGTCCTAGAAAAGCTGTTTAGGAAAGTTTAAATGATGGATGAAAGCACCATAATAATATGAAGGAGCCATGTTATTATATGAGGATGGAGCGTTGCGGAATGATGAGGTACCTTGACCCCTTGAGAAGGGACTACCATAGGCGGGAGGGGCTAGACGGCCAGCGAAGCCGCCAAGTTGACGAGGTAACCGGCTGCGACCGCGGCCACGACCACGCGTCGAGCGATAACCAAGTCTGGAGACACGGTCAAATAAATGGATTTACACGAGTACTCTTTCTTTTGTGCTTAGAGAACCATTTTATTTGGAACTGCTGAAGCTCTCCATTATCATTTCCAACTTCTTTGAAGCCTAAAGCTTTTTCTATAATTTTTTCATTTGACCGAATCCTATTAGACATCCTCCTCGAGTTGGGTCTCGCTTCTTTCTTGAACAAATTAACTTTTTGACTTTTCGGAATCGGCTCATCGCTCTCCGAAACCGAGCCATCTTTATATAACGGCAGGATGTACTTAGCGCTGCTCGGGAGGTTCCATATTTTAATCAAAAAAATAAACTCGGGACAATTTTTCCCACCTCGCACGAAATAATTTGCTGAGGGAATTTATTTTTCCGATATCATTTTTTTCAAAATTAGATTTTACGTTTCGATAGAACCGCGCCTAATCTCGTTTGAACTTGGGATACTCGGAGCACTGCGAGGGCGATAGAATCTGAAGGAAATTTGATTATTGGATTTGACACGTCTAAAATGTGTTCTGGCAATTTTCAGGAAGAATGACTGAAATTGTTAAAAAAATAAAATAAGAGGCGACTGAAATTGTCTCAAATAATTATTATTACAGTGGAGTGATTGAACTATTTTGATGTCCGAAGAAAATCGGGGATTTTTAAGGCTCTCCTTCAATAAACAATCTTAGGAAGCCCTATTTATTTGACTGCTGCGTCTCAAGAATTATGTCAGTCAAGCATTAGATTTCCCAACTTTTGAAAATTTGAATTTTCCATCTGCCAAAGCTGTTGCATGAAAAAATAAAAGAAGGGGTGGGATAAATCAGGGCTCGTCCGGTTCGACTGTCAGGACTTCTCCGTCACGGTGGCCGCTTCTGACAGGTGCATCCGTTAGTTTTATTTTAGCCCTTCCCTTAAGTTTTTAAAGCTTGCTATTTTGGTTCTATTCAAAAAATGAGTATAAAGTTATTCTTTTGAATTGACACCTAGGAAGTCGATTTGAAAGGCGAACTTCCGAATTATTCAAAATTTACTCTGTTGATATCGCCTTCTTTTAGTCTAAGGACCTCTCTAAGGATAGAAATCTGTACCTGTTTCTATGTCTTTTGATAGGAGTTCGCCTTTTCCAGCGCACTTTGGATCGATCTTCGGCAAATGTCAGGCACAATGTCAGGAGCAGGAGAAAAGTCGAAATTTGCATCTAAAGGAAACATTTTATTATTCCAGCTTTCGCCGACAGCTGAGATTCAACACTTTGAAATGTCCACACCGGGGCGTCTTAAATGTTAAAGAATTCAAGCGCGGAAATAAATAAACTTTGTCGAGATTTTTCACGGAATTGAATACCAGAAGCTCTCCTAAGATTCAACTTTTGGGCCCATAATAAAGATCTTTATTTAAAAAATGATTTTGATAGCTTTTGAAGCGAAATATGCATACAGAAATTCTATCTGCCCCTCGTTAGGTTGCGCAAGGTCACAACTACAACTGTCCCCCTCGTCTCTTATCACCGGATATTCGACCACGATTATTAGGTGTAATGGTAGAAAAATGAACCCCATGATCGCCTTTTTAAAACTTCAATTATGATGCAGATTTAGAATCGCTAGGTCGTGGCGATCATTTTGATACCAAGATCATCGGAATCGGACTAGATTTTCGACCGAGAATGACCATCTGAAGTCCCAAAATGAGCGCTAGAAATTTTCGAGCGCCCGGAAAGGGATGAATACTCCATCCAGTCATTTAACCCATAGTCTCACTTTGTAGAGCAGGTTTTATTCTCCCAGAATCACTTCACAGAAATTGTGAACAGGGATTCTAGTAAGGACCAGCGCCGAAAGAGGCCCCCCAAAAACGTGCAAAATCGAGGCGAAATCGTTAGTGCGAGTTCTCGGAAACCAAATTTGGCATTGATTTTCCCCCATTTTTTCGGCTTCTTTCGGCGCTCGTCCGTACAAGAGTCCCTATTCACAACTTCTGTGAAGTGATTCTGGGAGAATAAAACCTGCTCTACAAAGTGAGACTATGTGTTAAATGACTGGATGGAGTATTCATCCCTTTCCGGGCGCTCGAAAATTTCTAGCGCTCATTTTGGGACTTCCGATGCTCATTCTCGGTCGAAAATTTAGTCCGATTCCGATGATCTTGGTATCAAAATGATCGCCACGACCTAGCGATTCTAAATCTGCATCATAATTGAAGTTTTAAAAAGGCGATCATGTGGTCCATTTTTCTACCATTGCACCTAACGATTATCCATCATCGTGCCGCGGCCGTGGCCAAGATCAAGCTTATAAAAATACGCACGCGCCCATGCGACACAACGTTGTTTCTGTTTTTGCTTATGCCAAAAAAACATGTTGGAACTTGAAGCGCAATTTTGGGACATTTTTCGAACTTTTGAAGAATTTCTTAAACCGGGAGAAAATTTCATTTTTGCGAAATTGAGTAATCAAAAAAATTTCAAATCATCAAAGGGCGGAAAAAACGGGCCAATAAAAGAAATATTGCGGGTAGATTATCTACAATCGACATCCCGCATTTTTGCTTTTTTGATTACGTTACTGGGTATTCTAGTACTTTGCTTGGATTTGAAGGAATGACCACGTAAAGATAAAACCGCAGAAGCAAGCGATTTTAAGGTGGAAGACATCGTAAAGCCCGATTTTCAATGATTCCTTAGACTACATGCGGGAACCTGTGCAGAAACTAGTAATTTTGGCAAAGCTTTTTCAGGAACCTGACTCAGGTTTCTGCACAGGTTGCAGAGCAAAGCCCTAAGTCTTGCGAAGCCCCTTGCTTACGAAAATGAGTCAAAAAGTTGTTCGAAACAGACCACAGCTGAAAGAAAAGAACCAAACGAAAAGCGCTTAATTATGATTGACGAGGGATCAAGGAGGAAGTCAACGTAATTTTTGTTTTCTCATCGTCTAGTATTATCTAAGATAATTGATGAATCGCCGTTGCGTAACTGCCGAGTCGTCTGCAGGGGTTTTTCACCGCTCGTTGCATTGCTTGCGCGACTTTAAAATACTGTAGACCACCTCCATTGTGGGGATTTGAAAATGATAAGCTCCCGCAGTGCTCGTGCCCTTCGTCTGATAGCTATTTCGAGGATACCCTTAACTCTAGAGTCTTAAAAGGCCGCAAAGATCATTGACCATTACCTCACTATCGCGAGATACGCGATCTATGCAGTCACTTCGGTACTTATTGCGATACACAGACAGAAAAATTTCTCGAATGGAAAATAATTGAAAATATCCAGAAAAGCGGATAAAACCAAATTTGTCAAATCCTTTTCATTTTTTCTCTGATCCGTTTTTGATCCACCGAGTATTCTGATTTCTTATCTTGAGACAGAATATATTCTAATCAGCTTTACTTGTCTGTCGAGAATCCCTCCCTTTCTTTCTTACCATTTTCATCCTTGAAAAATACAAGTGCTAATTGAAATTGAAATTGAAATTTTTTGATTTTTTGCTTCGGCAAAGTATTTTTAGCTTATTCGAAAAATTTACAAAAAAGGCGACTTAGGTCACGAATATTATCCAATTATGGCATCTCACGTTGACCTCATGTCCGTTTTGTATATTTTCACTGCCACAGCTCGCGTTTTTCTTTGAAAATAAAGATGAGACGATACTGTCAAAATCTACTGGCTACAGTAGGTAATTAGCAAGCTTCAAGTTTGCGAGAAATTTTATGATGCTTCCGCCTTCTTCACACCTCGTCAGAAGCTGCTCTTGAGAAAATAAAAGATGTCATTTTCTTGACATGAGCAGGGCGAATTATGTCGCGCCCGGAAAATGGCAATGTTAGTCTGCCGATTAGGGGATCAATATTGAGCTTTTTCTAGCGCTCGCTTTATACCAATCTAGCCGTCTTCGCTTCCACCGAAACGGTGAACAAACTTGTTGCGAAAGAAGCATAAGATTTCCGGATTCGAAAGACTGAAAAATGAAAATTATGAGTTTTCAGTAGTTAGAGCAACAAGATTGAAACCAGCTCGCTTGTGTTGTTTTCCACAACCTTTGTTTCTTTGATTTTTACATTCTGGGGCGGCATCTCTTGTCGCCATATTTATTAAGACATATTTTAGAACATTCAAAGAAAATAATTTCTGCGTTCATCTCGCATAAAACAATCTCATAATAATGACGTCATTCTGATCATAATTTTAATTCCATAGCGTCTTTTCTAAAATGAACTTTTTTCCTCCAAAGTTCTCGATTTTTTAAAGAAGAAAAATCGAAAGTTTGTTTAGGGACTCTTGTTGAACAAGTTGCGCAAAGTTTAAAATGTAAAATAAAGCGGGAAAAAAGGGAAAACAAAGCTGCGCCGAACTACCGGACATGCTCAAGGTCACATGATATCAGCTCAAAAAAGGGCAGCAGTTGTGGGTAAATAAAGCGATAAGGGCCTTCAAAGCCTTTTATCAGTATTAAATATTGGGATTTTTTTAATAGATTTAAATTGGTCAACTTCCATTACTATTTGGCTGATAAAAACGATTCCCAGGGCCGAAAAAAAGGGATGATCAAAAACAAAGGCATGTGAAAATTTCTTCCCAGAAAGGGGTTTTTATGATTTTGGACGAGGCGTCAATATTGTTTGATCAAGTGCCTTAAAATTGTAGCGTTCAAGTGCGCAACTTGTCGCGAGCTCTCTCTTTTTTACGAGGAGGAGCATCTTCAAAAAAATTTTGAAAAACACTAAGATTCGGCATTAACAAAAGGCTCTGAAGACGAGCCAAGTTTGTAAATATGGGAACCGAGGGTCCCCAAACAGCGATTTTCCTGGATCAGAAAAAATTATTTTCTGACGTTAAAAATTGGACCAGATCATTTCATTCTTCCTTGCCAAGAGATTTTTCTATGTAATTATTTTGCTATAACAGACTTATGTCGATCAGCATTGTCTTGATCTTTTAATAATTTTGCCAATAAAATTAGTAAATCAAAACTAGAAATTACTCAGTGAAAAACGAAGTTTCTGGTTTTTCTGAAAAATATAATGAACATTTGAAAATCAACCTGCTCATTTTGGCTAAAATAGGCAGAGAAAAAAAGAGCGGAAATTAAAAAAATGAAAAGCCGGTCAATTGCGAATTGAGCCGCTCCCTTCCGGCACCTCGGCGACCCCTCTCTCAAGTGCTCGCCCAGAAATGTCCTTTTCCAAAAATATTCCTGACAGCTAAATGAACACTAAGAATGCTACCCAGTCCCTGTCAAAAACCAGCTACACTTCAAGGATTTAATTATCACCCAGTTTACTGGATTCCCGCTTTCTAGTGCCAAATGCGAATGAATTAAGGGTGTGGCACTTGAAGATGAACTCTTTGCAGTTCGAAAATTTCTTGATAGTGACGATTCCGGAACCGTCTTTGTCGGATGGGTGTATTTTGAAGGGCGGGCTTGTTTCCTAGGACTGCTCAAATACGCCCTTGCACTTCCGGAGTACCCCTTGAAAGCCAAAATTGTCGGAAATGGGCATTGACCCGATTTGGAGCTGCACTTGAATGACAATTTTGAAAGGATCCCTTCTCTTTTTTCCCCTTTAACATCAAGTACACCAAAAAATTGAAAAAATCTGTCGACGTAATTTAAAAAAACATATTTATTAATACTGATGATATCCTTTTGAATTTATGGTCTTTAATTTCTAAGAACGTAAGAGTGAAGCTACTGTAGACAGGGGACAAGCCCCTGCTCTAGAAAAGTGTCAGATACTCCAAAATGCAGCTAGAATCGGAGTCATTTCTATTCTGCACATTTCGGATTGCAAATTTCAAGGATCACTCGAAAATGGGATGTCGGGCGCGTAGGGTCTGCCAGACCCGGGGTCTGCAAAAACAGACCCGGGGTCTGCAAATGCAGACCCGGAGTCTGCATTTACGAACAAAATTTTGGCTCCTTTGGCCCGTTTTGATTGAGTGGTCGTCATTTGCCCAAGTCGTCATCTGCCCAAGTCGTCATCTGCCCAGGTCGTCATCTGCCCAACTTGGGCAAATGACGATCTTGGGTGAAAGACGATCTGTAATTGAATTTCAATTTAAAAAAAGCTTTTCTGTGTTTCACAGGAACGGACTCATCACTGTCCATGTCCGGAAGTCCGGTCGATATATTTCAGAGTATTATACTCTTCCATACTTGGAGCTAGCTTCCGGAGGAGATTAATAACTTTTCTCTAGTTTTCAAAAGTTATTACTCAAGTTCGAATGTATACCGAGACTCGGCTGCCGATTCACTCGGCCCGAGTACCATCGGTTCCACTGGGACTGTTCCACTTCGACATTTTAATTCAATCAATTCAAATTAAATTTCATTCAAAGTTCAGACTAAACACAAAACCGACTTTAGCACCTTTTTCCGGCCCTAAGCGTTAGCAATGCGTATACGCGCAGCTTATTTAAAATAGGCTATTGTTGGCGAAAACTCATTACACCTTGCTTTTCGAAACGGTGCTAATGTCCCAGATTCTAGCAGATGAAATTGTATTCTCAACAAAAACTGTCGAATTTGAACTGATAAGAGGCCAACTTCCTGCGAGAAGTCTTCTTGCAAGTAGTCAGTTAAACTTGTATCTAGCTGCATTTTTCTTAAATTTTGAATTCAATTGCATCGACGCGCTTTTTTTAAGGTTGGGGTATTTAAATCTCCCACTTACTTCTTTTTAGCCCCGGAACACCATAAAATAGGTGGTGGTCTAAACTTTGAAGTTCTTACGTGCGATAAGAACTTCGTGTGGCCTAAACTTTGATCGTTCCCATGTGCGATTCTTTGAGAAAGTGGCCTAAACTTTGATTCTTCCTATGTGTGAAAGTGGTCTAAACTTTGAATTTCCCCTGAGGCGCTCTGACTAGTTTTATGTGTGTCATCACCTTGAATGAAAAACGTAAACCATATTGGTCTGCATAAAGCGTAGTGGCCTTAGCGGGCGGTGCTCTAGTCACCGATGGCAGAACCGCCTCCGGGGAAATTCAAAGTTTAGGCCACTTTCTCAAAGAATCACACGTGGGAACGATCAAAGTTTAGGCCATCAGAAGTTCTTATCGCACATAAGAACTTCAAAGTTTAGACCACCACCTATTTTATATATTTAGAATCGGTAGGAAAAATCTAGAAACTTGACCGTAACCGATTCTCAAAAATCACTTCCGGTAGCGATTCTAGAGCCGGAAATTGATGAAATTTGGGAGAAATGCTAGAGTCTGACCTATCAAATTAATGCTCAGAAGATTTTGAATCATCTTATAATCAATATATCACAAGAAAAAGTCCCAAACGTGGTCAAATCGACCGGTAAAATTAAGAGTCCGTTCCTGTGAAACACAGAAAAGCTTTTTTTAAATTGAAATTCAATTACAGATCGTCATTCACCCAGATCGTCATTTGCCCAAGTTGGGCAGATGACGATCTTGGGCAGATGACGACTTGGGCAGATGACGACTTGGGCAAATGACGACCACTCGTTTTGATTCAGAAATGTTAAAAGATGAAGTTTTCTCTTAGATCAGGCGCGGAGCGCACCGAAGCGCCTGTTTAATGTAAAATTCTGATACATTTTTTTCATGTGCAGACCCGCGGTCTGCATTTTGCAGACCCGGGGTCTGCATGCAGACCCTACGCGCCCTACATCCCGAAAATGTGCTACTCAATAGTTATTTCTGCTAGTTGTCATTTCTATGGGTTTAAAATATTATTCAATTAGTTAGTTGTTAATTTGCGGTTGTCATACATTTATCTGCGGATTTCAATCGATCTTATCAATGGTAAAAGCGACCAAAATCTATTCATACTTTTTCTTATATATTTTATTATGGTTCGCTTTATAATTCTTACCTTTGTCAGTTTCATAGTTAGTTTTTCTAGGGTCGTCAGCAGTTGTTGAATTGTCTCTAAAAAGTGTCTTCCTCTTCTTTTATAACTTCTTTATTTCTATTCCATATTTTCAATACGGTAATGGTTCCTTTCAGGAAAGCTCCAAAGCCTCTAACAGATTCTCCGGTTTGACCTCCCACCGGGCTCTCTCGCGCCCTCTTCGGCCGTGACCTGCGCAACGCCACCTTTGATAAATAATTTTTGTCGAATTTCCTAAATATTGAAATTTCAATTTTCAAGTGTGGACGAAATATAAATTACCAAACTTGACCCCGAATTAAATATTTGAAAATCTAAAATATGAAAATCGCTGTTTCAAAAATAAATCATTTGGGTGCTAATGAGCCGTCACTTTTTGTGTTATCGGAGGATAATACCGGGCAGATTTAGGGCACTGTGATTTACATATCAAAGAGTTGTCACTTTTCAGCACACGCTCATCAGCCCTTGGATCTGCCGGAAGTCTATTTGTTAAATTCATTAAGGCTCTCCCTACGATATCTTCTCAAAGAAGAGCATCCATCGGTTGACGTACAGGACTATTCTAGTAGTACGACAAGGTATAACATCGAGTAATAAAGGCTTCATTGAAAAACTTGATCTTCTGCTCTTTTACTATTGACCTCAGAATCTGATAGATCAGCTGGTGGTAAACTGACTTGATCAAAGAAGAACTTAGTTCCGGGCTCAATTCAACGTCTTTCTTCGTGAATTTGATGAAAATGAATGAATGACTTTCAACATGACTCTTCATTTGTGGTGTTTTATTTTGTCCTTTTTTTAGGAAAATTTTTCGTTAAGCAACAAAATTACGAGGCGCCATGAGAAAAAGTCAAGTCGGAGGTTTAAAAATCTCAACGGTCCAAAATGCAAATTTATTTCGGAAAGACAAATCACTTGTAAAAAAGGCGTCGCCACGACGTGCTGAAGGTGAACGACGTGCATTTTTGCAGGGGTTGATGATTTTAGCGAAGACGCGAAAACAAGGGCTGGTGTTTTTTCTACTCGTGAAAAACGAGTGCGAATGTTATGAACGAGGAGCTGGAACGGCTTGGGAAATTAGTCATCCCTTCCAGCCTTCTTTTTTCAATAAGAACTAACGTAGTGACACCCTTATCTAGCCAAGAAAAGAGAATATTCAACCGACATCTCTTTTCGCTGTCCACCCCCTTAAAATTTTCTTTTTTTATTCTTTCCTTTTTAGATCAAAGAGAACAGGTCCTTTTTTCATTGAACTTGATTCCGTCGATCTATCAAATTTCCCTGGGTGGCCTTGTCATCCGTAACAATGGCCCAAAAATTATGTTTCAAGTTTATCCTTGTTAATTTTGTTGTTTGGACTTGATTATAAAAGAAAAGAAAGCGTGGGGCGGGGGATGAAAGAGCTTTTCTTTCCTTTCTTTTTGATTTTGAGTTCAGCGAAGCTCGAAGTCCAAAAAATGTCGGAAATACTAGTCGTGAATCACGACTCGTGATAATGAGGGGCAGTTATTTGGGGAGCTGGAAAGGGGCCAAAATTATCGCCCATAACCGGTTATATAATTGAAGATACTAAATAAGGGTTTATCAAAATCAGGTGCCGAATACCAAACTTCATTTTAGGACGCCATAATTTTCTGAAAGAAAATTTTATACAAGATTTTTTTTTGTATTTTTCTCTTCGATATTTCTTTATGAATATACTCATTTCCATTCTGAATAATTCCAGACCCTTAAATCTAGTAAAGTCACTTTAAAATTGATAGAAAAGCCCATTCAGCAAGGACACAAGAAATGTCTTCTACCAGCTGTGAACCTCCAAAAAAATCAACCCTTTTTTGGACGCGTGCCACCGTGTGACCAATCTGATTTCCTCGATTTCCTTGATTTCGCTCCCCCCTTTTTTCATGTTTTCCCTTGTACCTTTTGCTTGAAGCATGTCTCGTTGACACGCAGCTGAACACAATACAATAAACAAATAGTGTGTTAGACAACTATTTTCCCGAAAATGAAAGCATCAAATGCCACTTTCGACAAAATTTTTCACACTTGAACGGAATGTTATGGCGACTGTAAAATGAGGATAATGGCGAGTTTTTGGAATCCAAATGGCAGCACAAATTTATTGACGGCTATTTCCGACGCGAGAAGACTTGGGTTGCCAAACTTTCAAGAGTCTTGAAGGCTTCTTTTTGAGGGGGTAGTCCGTATTGCCTAGGATCCTATATGGTCCACTGTCTCGGTGGGTGAAGGCGCCAAGCCGAGGCAGAGAGATGCAACGGGCCCACCGCCATGTGCTAACTCCCGCAGAGGCTCCACCTTGGCCCAACGCGACTGTGTCGAGGCAACCCGAGCGTGTGATGGCTGAGCCGATGTGTAAACAAAATGAGCGAGTTGAGCTGCTAAATCAGATCAAGCTCAACCCCCGGATAAGCCGCAAATATGGAGATATGGAAGAAAAAAAAAATAGATTTCGCTAGAAATATCCCTAATAGGGTTTTTGGGGGCGTAGAATCCGAATCTGAAGTCAAAAATGACTTTTAATGTCTAGTTTTTGAGGGGCAGTAACTTTCGCGAAATTTACTGCCCAAATAAGAAAGGCCCTTCAGAATCCAGAAAATACGCTGATCTGCAAACGTGGTAACAACAAGATCCCGACTGACAAGCGCTGCCCTGTTCGTGTTCATCTGCGAGTCAAGAATCCTAATCTCATTGCAAGCAAGCTTGGAAAAAAACGAAAAATTGATGGGAGCGAGTACGATTGCTGGCGACATTCTCTCAAGATCGAGTTGGAAGAAGCCCGCAACAAGCTCAACTACGAAGTCAAGCCAGTCAAGTCTCCATGTCAGCACAATCATCCTGCTCCAGTTGACCTTGCTCCACTCCAAAAGGTTTTCAAGGAAAATTCAGTAAAGCGTTCTTTTGATAAGAAACGCGTTGAATTCAATACAGAATACGATTGTCTTCCTGCAGAATGGGACGGTGACCTCAAAAAACATGTCAGCGGCGAGGAGAAATATCAAAAGAAGCTCATCTCTGCTCGCCTTGCTCGACGTTGGACAGCTCCTCAGGGCGAAGTCGCGATCGGCTCACGAACGCTTCTGGTCCAAAACCCACTCTCCACCAGATTGCACGCTAGAAACTCCATCCACGAGCAATTTCTTCAATCAGAAATATCTACTCGAGATGGTTTGCCGATCAAGATCTGGGGCCTCATCAGCGAATTCGCTCTCCTTCACGATCAAGACGATCCCTGTTTCATCGACGGAACATTCAACTTCTGCAGCAAGCTCCCATCGGTGTATCAACAATACAGCTTCGTCAAATACTTCAAGTCAGCTGACGGCAAAAAGGGACTCTCCTATCCAGTGCTGTTCATGTGGTTGCCGAATAAGAGGAAAGACACCTACCGAATCGCCTTCAACGAAGTTCGCCGGCTGTACAAGGAACACTACGGACATGACCTCTACATCGGAAACTGGCGTGTCGACTACGAAGGCAATCCTGCGAAGATCATCAAGGAGTTCTGGCCACTCGCTCTCGTCTACGGCTGCCAGTTTCACTACGCAAAAGCAATCATCAAGAACTGGGGACTCAAGCTCGGCTGCAAGAAGTTGGTGTACGACAAGGAATTACGAGCCAAGATTCTCAACATCTACCTTGGAATGCCCTTTGTTGATCCCATAATCGTCGAAGAAGCCATTCGAAAGCTCGAGACTGAAGTCATCCCATCTGTCTGCCCTTCAAAACGATCGAAACTTGAAGCCTTCCACAAATACTTCATTGATACCTGGATAAAAAAACGACATGCGAATGCCGACTGGAATCTTCACGAACTTCTCAAACGAGGCGATACATTCTGGACGACAAACCAGAGCGAGAGCCTTCATTTTTCGCTGAAGAATTCCTACACCACTCCTCCACCATCGATTCGCGTTGCTTCAGAAGTGCTCAACGATTACAAGTCATTCTTCCACGGAAAATACGTCAACGGTCAGCTTGTGCCAAGAAAGCTTGAGTCTTTGGAGCGAGCAAAGAACATCATGTACCATCACGCAGAAGTTGAACGTCAAGCTTCTGCCTGGAAAATCGAGAACGCTGTCTCCATTTGCCTCCAGTTCAGCAGCAACGAAAACCTTCAGACTGCTATCCTCAATTGTCCCTCTGATTTTGTCACCGATGAGCTTGTTTACACTGTACTTTAAACACTGAATATAGAAATTAAAATTTTAACTCGAAGTCTATGTCTTTTTTTGCTAGAAAATGAAAAAAAGCCCTTCAAGATCCAGAAAATACCTAGTTTGGGCAGTAAACTTCGCTAAAAATACTGCCCTTAATGAGGTTATGGGCTTCTGCTATTGGGCAGTATTTTTCGCGAAATTTCCTGCCCGAAATAGGTATTTTCTGGATTCTGAAGGGCCTTTCTTATTTGGGCAGTAAATTTCGCGAAAGTTACTGCCCCTCAAAAACTAGACATTAAAAGTCATTTTTGACTTCAGATTCGGATTCTACGCCCCCAAAAACCCTATTGGGGATATTTCTAGCGAAATCTATTTTTTTTTTTCTTCCATATCTCCATATTTGCGGCTTATCCGGGGGTTGAGCTTGATCTGATTTAGCAGCTCAACTCGCTCATTTTGTTTACACATCGGCTCAGCCATCACACGCTGGGGTTGCCTCGACACAGTCGCGTTGGGCCAAGGTGGAGCCTCTGCGGGAGTTAGCACATGGCGGTGGGCCCGTTGCATCTCTCTGCCTCGGCTTGGCGCCTTCACCCACCGAGACAGTGGACCATATAGGATCCTAGGCAATACGGACCAACTCCTTTTTGAGTAGTTCCCTGTTTTCATTCACATGTTCCTATTTTTCTTCGTAAAGACCTTTGATGCCGACCTTACGATCAAGTACCGTTAACACATTTCGATTGGCGATCATTTCTGTTAAAATACATAAAGTGAAACTCAGAATAAAAATATTATATTTACGGTCTCTCAGACTATTCTTGACCTCTGCGTCTAACATAGTATTTGACAATTTTTGAGAGGATAATCGACGAAATTGAACAAATTTAGCGACGAAATTATAACTAAGTCCATCTATTATTGAAACTCCTCTGCGTCTATTTCCTGCGTTTTTCTCGTATCCGGTAATAAGCAAGTTACTGTCATCTTGGCAAATGCGAAAATTGCAGCCTCATTTGGCTGCTCTTCGGAAGCGTGGATTTCCGCCACTTGTCCAAAAACTGTCGGCGAAGAGGAGACCTTCACATTGCTGCTTGAATTCTTGAATTTTTGGCTGAACTTTTTCAAGTGGCTCCAGAAGCAGATGGTGTCGACCTTGGCGAGAGATTAGACAGGCTGACGAGTATTTGAGCAGTTTTGCGCCGCGTTTGATGCCTAGTTCCGATTTTACGAGCGCTCTCCATTTCCGGAAATTGGAGCGCGCTGGACCTTAGCTTTAAATTTAAACGCATTATAAAAGCCTTTAACTTCCTGGAGCTAACGACGGCTTCTTCCGCTTCCGTTTTTCTTGCTTGTTTGATTTTATGCGAATTACAGAACGGCGGGGTATTTATGTAAATACCAGAACAGATGATTATAGCAGCCGGTTTAGATTAAAATTAAGTGCTTAGATGCAAGTAGTGCCTCAATACTGTTAATTGACATGCCGGGTGCTAAGATAACAGACTGTCTCTTTGTATTTGGGCATAAAATCCAAGCTCCTGACTCAAATAATCTGAGGAGGGAGGGCGGATAAAAGAGTAAAAAAAAAGGAATAATTTGCTGAACTAAGGAAAAACGGTACAAACGGAACCAGGTTATCGGAAACGGAAATTTTAAACTGAAAGGAACTTAAAAGGTAATACTAGATTGTTCTATGAACGATAAGTTTTAATCTTGAGGTAATACTGGAAACTGAAGCTACTCTGGAAAAAAGTACAAGGCGAAAGCAAGGAACAATGAAGACTGAATCTACCAGGTCTATAAATACATGATGGTGAAGACAGAATATTAACTGAACTGACTACCATGAACTTTGAAAAAACAAGGAACTTTTAAATGAACACTGAATCCAGTATATCACAGTATGCAGTACGAGTACGGGCAGAATATTGAAAACATTGCATCAACTTTCAATAAATTGGGAAAATCAGAAAGACTCAGATACTTCTATACTCTTTCACAACTCCGTTTGTTCTTCAGAATTTTCACTTCGATTTTTTGTAGAATGAGATCCGCAAGTAGCAAGAAACCGACCTTTCCTAAGATAATTCGATCTCAGAAAAAAGTACCCATTCGTAAATCAACACCAAATAAAATCACCAGTGTGAGGCGTCAGAACAATGTGAACTCTAGAATAATCGACCTCACTTCTTCAGCAAATTCTTAATTATAGTAAACTTCGTCTTTTTTGTCAAATTTGATGCAAATAAAATAAGTTTTGAATTGATCATTCTAATTTATTTGTTTGTTCATTGGTATTGGTTGCTGCTGTATGTTTTTAAATTTTCTGTAACCTAATCCTTCGGTTCATTTTGGAAGCACTAGAAATTCTAGTCTAGCCTTGTGGGAAATAGTCAAGGTCAACCTCAAGAATGAACCGAGTCCTGTCGGTAGAGGTCTGGCAAGTTTTCCTTTGTGTTCATCTGCAGCCAGGGATGGCTAGTAAAAGTGTTGTTAGTCTTGTTGAAGAAAGCCAAATTTTAACAAACCCTGACGCTGATCGTGCGGTCTGTCTAGCATTCTGATCCACGACGAGCAGCGAGGAGATGAAGTGCTTTCACTACGTTATTACACTGCGACTGTTACTGTTATTCTAACTCAGTTGCCGCCCTGTTTAATATTCAATCAATTCTAAAGCAAGGTCCATGACGAGGAGCTGACAGTATCACGACGTTTTTTATGCTCTTCGAACATCAAACCCTTTTTTATCGCGGCCAAGGGAGTCGGATAGAAATAATATTTGAATTATTATGCAACTGATAAAAAATTTCGACCGATCTGACTTTTTTCTTCGAATTTTATGCTTTTTTTCCAAAAAATAAGAAAATGAAACTTTCTGAAAAAACATTGTCATTTTTTCTTTCTAAAATTAACCTGAGTGAAGTCAAATCTAGTAATCTTCGTCATAACACTATATTATGAGTCCATGAGCTTATATGCTGGTAGAAACGCAGACCTTGGCAGCGCGCGTAATGTTATTCCAATGCGACGCCGTAAACGTAAACTAGCACTAGCTGACCAAAATTTCAACGTTATCTGATGTTCGACACGGGCTGCTACTTCATAAAAAAACATATTGCGCTGAACTGGGGAAATTTTGAAAACGACGTGTTCGATTATTTACGCTTTCCAGCTCGTTTTCCGTGAAATAATTTCGATTTTTCAAAGTCACGTGTTGCCAGATTTGAAATAAAGGATGAATTTTGAAATCTTCATTCCGAGTTCCACGAAAATCAGCTGCTGTCTTTCACGTTACACCACTAATTCGCACCGCGAAAGAGCCAGCTGAATGTTCAAATGGCAACAAAGAAGCGAAAATTATTGTCTAAAACGTTTGTTTTGATAGATTTGTTGTGTCTGCTGCCCAGCGCGAGCGCTGAGAGTAAAGCCGCCATGAACCGAGATCGGTGTCGATTTCGGAGAATTTTGGTAAGCCTTGCCTGTCCCTGCTGGATCAAATTGTAGCTGGCGTCCTTTGTTTCTGCACGGAATGGGGGAGAGCCTTAATTATCAAAGTTAAAAATGCATGGAGAGCGAATTTTGAGGAAAACGCACCTGAAAGCAGAATATAAGTGATAACGCCGAGACTCCAAAGATCAATCTTAATTTTGAGGTGAGTTTAGCGGAGATCATCTTGACCGCAAAATGGACGAGTTAATCCGCCCTCAGAGAGAGCTGTGTTGTCTCCTCGAGGAAATGAACTTTCCGGGGGACGTATCTCATCGCCACGAGATGTCCGATAATTTATCAAGCGTCCTTTTCAATTCTCACCCTTTCCTGGTAAGTGTAGCCCGAACGGGAGAGCACTTCCGGTGCCACGTATGTCGGAGTCGAGCACATTTCTGTCAATGGACCGGCCACAGTCGTCGCCATTCCGAAATCAGCAAGCTAGAAAAATTTTTAAGGGGATAGCCATCGAAAAGATCGATTATCACACCCTCTTTTGGTTGATTTTAATTCACGTTATTCGGCTTCGTATAAAATTTGAATTAATCTTTTTTTTAGAAAAATGATGCTTTGGAATTTTGATCAACCTTTTTGCGCGGCGACGTTACTCTTGTCAAAATATTTTCGGAAATGTCATCGACCGGAGGTGCAAGAAAAGCCTCCTTCTTTTTGAATGGAAGAAAATTTTGAACTTTATTTTTTCGCTTCCTGTATTTTTCAGGTAATTTCTGTATCTGTATGCTTACGTAATGTCCGCTAGTGCGTAACATACCTTGGCCATGTGGATATAAGAAACATTATGTAGCGAGGCATTCTTCTGAATGAGGACATTCTCCGGCTTTATGTCGCGATGCGCGATCTAACTCTAGGATTCCAAATAAATCTCTCAAACCCGCACAATTATTTTTGCTCGATGACCGTCAGATATGCGCCAACAAGGAAGCGAAACTTAAATGCTTAGAAATGAATTCTCTAATGCAGACCCAATGTCCAAATTATTCAAAAGTTAACGCATTCTCTTTTAAAAATGTATGTATTTGGGAATCGTTTACTGACGGTCGTGTAGAAAAACCAGAGCAGCGACCACATCTTTGATTATCTTCCCCGCGTCGACCTCCGTGAACCGCTTCTGAACGCAAAACACTAGACTTCTGAATCACTTCTTCTCCCAAAAAGTCACCAGTGGAGCCAAGTTCATTTTCCGTAATCCTGAGAAAAGGCACTTACCGCTTCTCGAATTGCATCAAATAAATCGCCGCCATTCACGTACTCAAGGACCAGGCAGAAAGACTTACAGTCGGGTCCATATTATTCTTTAATAATAAAGAATCGGAGCTTATTAGTCGTCTATTTCGAATTTTGAACCTTTCCTTGGGAAGTTCAAAGAATTGATAAAGTCGTATAATATTTTGATGATTGCACCTAAAACTCCGTGAGATTGAAAGAATTTCGCAGAGATAAGACAAGCCCATCATTATGGCCCCGCTCCGGTCAATTTATGGTTTTCATACGTACTCCAATTTTATAACAAGAAAGAATTCCAAGCTACTGAATTTTTAGAAACACGCTAGTTTAGAAATTGTTTTCTGCAAAGAAAAAAAATGCCGAGCGCTTGAATTCTGCCGAACATACCGCTGCATAATGCCGATCTCGTTGTCAACGTGAAGCCTATCTTGGACTTTGGATTTCTTGATAAATTTCAGCGCCTGTTCTTGGCCGCTTTCTCTGTTTATTGCGCGCCGTACGTCAGCGAAATTTCCAGCTCCCAGAAGATCGGCTAAAAAAGAATCAAACCCATTAAAAAATATCGGACTCACGAAAAATGTCGAAGATTCGCTCTAATTTTTTCATATCAGTTCGAGGTAGATAATTGTGACTTCTGATTGCATCTGGATTTCCTGTACTCCGACTAGAACTTTTGGTCAGCAATTTTAGGGTAGACAAATGGTGTTCAAGAGAGTGTGGGTTAGTAGTTTTCTTGGGAAAGCGGCGTGTCGACCAAAAGTGCTATTTACTGTTTTAGCCTGGGCGAATAATCGTCCTCGGAACTGGTGGCGATTTGATAATGATGTCTTTGTTGGTGTTGACTTCGTTGTTGGCTCAATTTTTGCACGCGTTCCTTTTCTTCCCGTAGTCTTTTTCAACAGGGGTAAAGAAATGCTTAGCAATAGTTGCTTTCTCTTCTGTGGGCCCGTTTTCCTGTCCCATTCTTGCTTGAGCTGGGCGTCGTGCTGTGCTTTCCGCGACTTATCAGTTCGGTTCTTATCGCATTTCTGACTCAGTTAGTGGCGGTGATTACTGCTTGCGTGAACCGAGTACCTGCAGCTCTGCCTCCAACTGCTTCCGTCTTTTTGTCAGAGATTTCCTGCTCAATCACGTGACAGCTCACGCCAACGATGAGCTGGATTCAGTAGTCAATTCGGACTAATGATTGCCTTATCGAAACACGAATTGATAAGGAAGGGGAAGTGTGTGATTTGCTATTTGACCAAGACATCCGGCTAACGTGGAAGAAGAAAGAACTCAAAAATTATACCATTAGCAATCAATTTTTAATTTCTCAAATCAATTTTGATTGGTTAGCGCCAAGGAAATAGCGCCATCTCTGATCAATAGAAACAAGCACGTCGTAATTAAAACCCAAAAGATTAATGGAGGACTTAATGTAAACAAGTACTTCCGGTCCGGAAACAAGTATTTCCGGACCGGAAACACGTATTTTCGGGCCGGAAGTGCAGTTGATAAATAATTACCGGAAGTTCAATGTTAATTTTTTTCGTAATCAATTAGTTCCGTTGTATATCCGTAAATTATCCAAATAAAATTTCATTTTTGATTATTTTAAATTTCTACCCAACGCTTTATTTTATAAATAAAAAGGATGAGCGGAATAGAATTGAAGCAAAAGAGAAAATGAGTACGATAATAAATGGAGAAATTTTACCAGATATGCGGTTTGCCTATCCTTACAGAATTCTTTTAAGCGGATCATCAGGAGCTGGAAAGACCTATCTAGCAAAGCAAGTTTTACAACACAGAGATATTTTTCAGAAGAAAACAAAACGTGTTGTCTACTTTTATCCTTGTTTTCTTGAAGATAAGCCTGTCCAATGGGATGATCTTGGTATCCCTGTTAGTTACAGGGTTGGTCTGCCTTCTCAAGAAGAAATTGACGAGATTCCCTCACACTCAACAATTGTACTTGATGATTTGTACGAGGAAGCAATTCAAAGTCAGGCAATTGATCATCTTTTTCGAGTTACAAGTGGAAAGAAAAATCTAAACGTGATGATAATGACTCAAAATAACTATGCCCAGGGAAAATTCGGACGAAATATCAAGCTCAACTGTAACGCGACATTTCTCTGTAGAAACTGTCTTGATGGAACAGTTAACAAACGTGCTTGTAGTCAAGCTGGACTTCTAAAAGCTTACAAAAGAGCGACGGAAGAGAACAAGAATAAGCAGTATCCGTACATGTTTCTGGATCAATCACCTCGAGGCCATGCCTCGAGCTATCGACTGTATACGGATATATTCTCCGATTATCCGGTTGTCTTCTCAGTTAGCGGAATGAAGGCTTGCATCGTACCATACAACGATTTTAAGCAAAATTTCGATATAATCGACAGAGACAATACTTTCGAGGCAGTTGAAAAGAAAGATGCGAAGAAAAACCCGCCGTGCAAAACAGTTGAATCAACCAGAGTCAAATCAAAGATTAGATGCGACAGTTTTACCGAAGACTCGTCAGAGTCGGAGGTTGAAAGGTCAAGATCCAGAAAGCGGAGCAAGAAGTCAAGTGTCGACAAGAAATCAAAAAAGAAAACAAAGAAGCGAAGACGACAGTCAACCTCAAGCGAAGCGTCTTCGGAAGACGACAGTTCCGAGAACGAGAAATCAAAATCAAAAAAGAATAAGCGAAAACGCTCTTCAACCTCAAGCGAATCCAGTACCGAATACGTCAGCTCAGACGAAAAATCAAAAAAATCGAAGCGAAGAAGAAATTCAAACTCATCCGAAAGTCCAAGCTCCGAAGAAGTCAGCTCTGGAGGATCAGATTCAAGCCCTTTACGAAAACGTGGCAAGCGCTCCAGCGTTCTCAGCGAAAGTAGCGGAATTTCTCAGGAAGAGTAAAGTGTCGAGTACCCATCGTCGTATTTCCAAAAAGCGATTTCCTCGTCGACGATTTATAGTCGACACTCAGTTCAAAATATTCCAGGGTGATCTTATTGATTACCAAAAACTCAAATACTCTAATCGACATCACGTTTTTATTCTTCTCATCATTGACTGTTTTTCACGTTATGTTTGGACAAGACCTCTCAAAACTAAATCTGGAAAGGATGTAGCAAACGCACTCAACGACATATTTCAAGATTTTCTTGAGTGGCCAAATTCTTTAATTACAGATGAAGGTCTGGAGTTCTACAACTCAAATGTGCGAAAAATTCTGGATCGTTATGGGATGCATCACTATAGTATCAAAAGTAAAATGAAGGCGGCGATAGCAGAACGTGCGATTCAAACCTTCAGGAAACGTATTCATCTTTTCATGAAAACAAAGAAGACAAAAACATGGATTGACGTTCTCCCGGCAATAACAAAAGGATATAATTCAACTCCTCATCGTTCCATTGGCATGGCTCCAAACCAAGTCTCACCAAAAAATAGAGCACAGGTTTTCACTCGACTTTATCCCGACATTGACTTGAAAGTCAAGCCCAGACTAAAAGTTGGCAACGTAGTGAGAGTAAAAAAGAAAAAAGAACTTTTCGAAAAAGGGTACACTCAAAATTGGTCAGACGAAGTTTACATCATCACAGACATCCGTCAAAGAGCTGGTATAGTTTGGTATAAAATTGCTGACGAAGAAGGAAATCGTCAACCTCGAATAAAGTATTATTTCGAACTCAATCTAGTCGCCAATGATATTGAATCTTTTCGGAACAAGAAGCAAGGAACTAGAAGTTCCTGAAATTTTATTTGATAACAACGAAGAATACTGTGTTCAAATTGTAAGCGCTGTCTGTAATCTCATGACCACTCCACGTGACGTTGACATTTGTTTCATTGAATGTAACTCGATTGCTTCTTGTTATGGTCAACCTAATACGCTGATGATGGGTCAACTCCGTCCAAACGATAGGTGGTGCCATTTTTCCGACCAACGCTCCCTTTTCTTCCCCTTGAACGTATATAACTGGCGGGATACGAGATTCTCAATCGACTTAGGCGAGGAACACGTTGTCCAACACTTTTCTCTCCAGATCGAGATTAAAACAAGAGAATGAAAACCATTATTTCCGCGCTCGAAAGTCGACCAAAAAAATGGTTTCCCAAATCTCAGTCGGGCGCAGGAAAAAGAAAATCAAAAAAAGCTCCAACCAAACTCAAACTCACTCCAGCAAGAAAAAAACCTTCCTCAAAACCAAAGAAAAAAAGAAATTTTACAACAAAAGACTTGAAAAAGTCAAAGAAGTCGTCCAAAAAGAAAAGAGCATGAACTCTTACTATATTGCTAAACGTTTAGAACGTGTAGAAAATTTTCTTGGTGTTTTCTCTATTGATACATTACCTTCTCTTAATGAATATCCTGCTTTTCTAGTTGTTAATCTTTCACCAGAAAAGTCAAAAGGTTCTCACTGGATAGCACTTCGTATTGAAAAGTCAAAAATCGAGATTTTTGATAGTTTGAAACTAGGAAAATATCCAAAAGAGTTAACCGACTTTTTTGGTGATCGAAAAAGATATTTTTATAAAAGAATTCAGTCAGATGCGTCATTTTACTGTGGTTTCTACGTTTGTTTTTATGTTATCTTTCGCTCCCTTTATTCTCTGAAAAAACTCTCCTCTATCTTTTCTAAAAATCTTTCTGAAAACGATCAACTTCTTTTTGATAAACTCTCTCATATTTGGTGATTAAAATTGGTGAAAACGATCTTCAAATTTTATCCATTTAGACTGAAATTATGATAGAAGTTGAGTATTACGACCAGAAAGTCGTCAAGCGTCACTATCCAAGAGAGGTAGATAGTTTGACCGGTCGTCTTCATTTCCACTTCGATGCGGATCCAAATCTTTTTCTCGTCAAAAACAACATTGCGATTCATTTTACGATCGAACTGGACAAGAACTACATCCCCTGCAATGGATTCGCAAGCAAACAATTTGGAAAAACAGAAGTTGCCGTGAATTCTCAAATAATTGATAACTCCAATTCAAAGTAAGAGTTTCTGTTCATAAATAAGGCTAACTGTAATCTTAGCGCACATTATATGCTCGCTGATTATCTGACAAAGCTGACAAACTATGATCCTCAATATGTGATGACTGCTTTCCAGATCGAGGGGTACTACGACGAGTACAATTTTGAGACACTTGCAACTGATGCGGCTAAGGAAGAAATCAGAGACGGTAGGAGACCAGGCTGCTTTGTCAACTCTGATGGGAATTATGTTTACGAACTCATCTTCTTACCTACTCACGGATTCTTCCTTGAAAATAAACCTCTTCCTCTCAACACTGATCTATCACTGACGCTCTACCGTTTAAAGCATGAGTTCTCTACAATTTTTATTGGAAGCGACCCAAATAATAAGTTGCCGGCTGGAGAAGCTCTCAAAATAACAGATGCCTATGCAATGGTTGAATATGTGTCCTCTCCAAGCTTGAGAAATCATTTTGCGAGAATCAAATCGAAACCGATCTCCTACAAATTTAATGACACAATGATAAAAACAATGGCTTTACCCAAAGGACGTAAGCAAGTACAGCTGCTCAATGTTACTGGTGGAAATACTCCCGCGTACATGTTCTTTGGTCTCATCAAAACAGATGCCTTGTTTGGATCGGATGCGTTTGAGTCCACAAATTTTAGTTTTCATCAGGATCTTACTCAAATAAACGTTACATTAAATGGACAGTCGCTTCATGGTTATCCTCAGGTAAGATAACATAAAAGAATAAAAAAATTTATCATATTCCTAGAAAATCACGAATCAGTATCCAATTCTCCCTTATTGGAAATTTCAAAATGCTCTTGGAAGAATCTCTCAAAGCAACTTGTCTTATGTGACATCCATGGATGCGTACAAGAGCAATGCAATTTTTGCTCATGAATTTGAAGGCGAGGAAATATCACAAGGATGGCTCTCCTTCACATTCGATTTCAACAAACCCCTTGATGACGACGATGACTATCATATTGTTATATGGTCGATTGTATCTGTCAAACTTACGATCGACGAACATAAACAAGTCGAAAAAACTTTATTGTAAAGGTAAACATAAAATAATCACTGGTTATAAAAGATGCACTGACTAACCAGTGCTTTAGCACTTCTGGACTTGATTTTGTCATTTTCGTCATTCTCAAAAAGATGTTTGTCACGATTAAATCTTTCACTTTTCGATCACACAACGGAGGCGGATTTTTCAAAGTCAAGGGATCTTATATCCCAGGCTTTGAGACTCATTTCGACTACACTCAACCTGCTACAGAAATCAACTTGAGAATGTTTGAAAAGACTGCCGCTGAAGTTTCTGAAACGTTCGCTACTCTTCTGTCCTTCACAGAATCTCATCAACCTGCGTCCGTCAACCTTACTTCCGAGTCAAAGCAATCCGACTGGGAAAGAGAGCACAATATCCCCGCTTCCTACACTTTCCGATTTAGTCGACTTCCGAATCAGTCAACTCCAATGCAGTCAACTCCAATTCAGCCAACACCTATCCAGCCAACACCAATCCAGCCAACACCAATCCAGCCAACACCAATCCAGCCAACACCAATCCAGCCAACTCCGATGCAGCCATCTCCCATCCAGCCATCTCCGATCCAGTCAACTCCGATTCAGTCAACTCCAATTCAGCCATCTCCCATCCAGCCATCTCCAATCCAGTCAACTCCCAGGGTGGCTATTTTGGACAAAATTTTGGGGTCTGGCCATCCAATTTCCATCCAATAAATTTTGAGTCGGAACTATCCATCCAAAATCCAACCCAATCCAATTATTACCCGATTCCCCAAAAATCCCCAATTCCAATTAGATCCAATTGGATTTCCAATTTTTCCAAGGCTTTTAGTACTTTGAAAAGAAGCGAAACAGTAAGTTTTTATCCGAAAAGAGGATCAACATAGCCAAGACAATGATTTTTTATCCGAAATTGTTCATTTTTATCATGAAAATGACCCTTCTTTGCATAGTTTAGCGATGTATTTTCATTGGATCCAATTCCCCAATTTCCCCCAATTGCCCAATTTTCCCCAACAAAATCCGGTACCCTGGCCATCCAAATTCCATCCAAACCTTATTGGATTGGATCCAATCCAATTCCAACTAACCCCCAAATCCAAAATAGCCACCCTGCAACTCCGATTCAGTCAACTCCAATTCAGGCGACTTCCGAACAACCAATGTCCATCTAATCTTTTCGTTTTCTGATCGTTTTCTCCTTCTTTACTCGAGTAATAAACTTTGGTGTTTTTTTTTTATTTCTTTGTCGTTCTTTCGAGCAGGTTCCTTTATTTATAAACATTGAAGACGCAAAGTTTCGCTCGAGTAGAATCAGTGATCCAAAGCAGGCACCGAGTATCCAGCGCTTTTGAACCTCATAGAAGAATTTATAGTTGATCTCATTCTCATCAAAAAATAATGTTTCGTTGTATCGAAGTTTCCTCAGCTGATTATATGGTTCAAATTGAAGCCTTCGACTTTGAGCATAAAGGTTGTGGAGGAGTTTTTTACATTGATGCCATGTGCATGCCGCTTATCGACGTTCACTTTCCTGGTGGATTCCCAGCAGCAGAGCTTGATCTTCGGATAACAGTCTCGACAAAACAAGAGGTTGAGACGGAATTCCTTCAGCTTTTGGAATTTCGCCACTCAAAAAAGCCCGTGCCAATAATTCTTCTTGAAAAAGTGGTCACTTCCGAGGGAAAAAAATCGGAAGCAATTTATGGTTGCTGGACGTTTAAATACAACTTCCCGATGCAACTCGAGCAGACTTCTCCAGAGGATTGTTCAAATTGTGGATCACCAATATTCAAGCTGAAAGAATGGAAGGTGACAAAGTATAATCATTGAATCTTCAAATGAAACTGTCTTTTCTTGTGGTGCTTTGCTTTTCTTTCT